CTCCGCTAACGCCCAATCATTTCATGTATGGCCAAATCGGTACTCGGTTCGCACCTGCAGGAGTGGACGAGAGCGAGTTCAACCCTCGGCAACGCTGGCGTGTAGTGCAAGAACTTGTGCTGCACTTTTGGCGGAGATGGATGCAGGAAGTCGTGCCAGAGCTGAACCGGCGACTCAAGTGGAGGACGGCCGAGACAGACCTCAAGGTCGACGACATCGTTCTAGTGACATCCCAAGACAACCCACGGGGCACTTGGCCAATGGGTCGCGTCACCGAAGTGCACCCTGGTCCAGACGGACACGTGCGAGTTGTGAAGGTCAAGGTGGGCGACAAGACCTACACCCGCCCAATCGTGCGTCTTTGTAAGCTGTTCTGTGAGTAGCTCCTTGTTTGCCTATTTCAGAACAATAATCAATTTCGAATTTTTTGGTCACTGTGAATTTCGGCACAGTGAGAAGGGAGAGAAATGTTTAGAACAGTATCTCTTTGTCGTTGTTACTATAATCGAGTGGCACATTCGCACTACAATTCTACGAGTGCTAGTTTGAAATTACGTTACGAATTGTTACGTTGTACAGCAGGTACGAAACAATTAATATTTACATACTCACCGGTTTTCGTTTCGGAGTCCCGCGCTGTGACTCAGCTAATAGACCAATCCCGAAAAGATTGTCTGGGTTCGAAAGGGGGCATGTCAACTGAGAGTACACTGTACAACACATACATGGCACTACCTGATCAGCATGCCGCACAGGACGTGTTTGATAGTTCGCGTGTGAATGCGAGGGTAAGTACACGGTTTTCTCGTTAGTTGCATGCAAGAGAGACGATGCGACAGAAACTTACTGAGAAAGCAAAGCGCTTCGTAGTTTTCTCTCTCGCACTGGTAATGATCTGCTGTTGGAGTTGAAATGCTAAGACATAATCCTTGTTTCGCTCTTCTGTGTAGTGTGAAGAGGTCAACGAACATGTAGAGCTCACTTTGATGAAGCAGGCAAGGCTGTGAGCGCTGTGGCTCAAAGCGATAGGCCCTAAATCTTACGAGATATTTCGAGTGCTATTGTTTGTTGCGAGCGCTTCGTCTTCGATGAGTCCTGCCTCTTTCCTGGCAGCTGCCCTCCTATAGGACCAACCACGAAGTGACTGTACTCATCTGCAGCCGATCAAAGTTATATTGCACAAGACTGAGATATCGTTTTCGCCAAGCCAGTGCCCCGCCAAAGGCCATCGCCGTGTCACACCGTCGGAACTAGTTCATGATGAGAAACATCATTCGCGCGAGCGTGATGAAGAACTATTTCGAAAGACACCATAGTCTTTACCCCTGGGACGACAACTATGTGCACGTCCTGCAAGGGGAGAATGTCACCAGCGACATCACCGAAGACGACGGCAGTATTTCGGAAACCTGGAGTCAGCGGAGGTCGTCAAGCTCCTCCGCGATCCGGTACATGTACAGTATAGGTGACATGTCGACACGAGCGTGCGGAAACACAGCATACACTGTAGTAATGTTGCGAGAGTTTGCGGAAGGAGTCCAAGTCGGGAAATCCATCAGCTCCAAAAGCTACCTGTAGGTGGGCGATGAGACTCCAGCTTCAGACTACAACAGTCAGGACTTGTAAATAGTTGAACTTTGTGAAGCAGCAGATCGAGAAGTTAGCTGAAATCGTAGCTGTTGCAGTATGTCGGCGCTATGTAGCTTGCATTTTTTACGGAGAGTCGATCGCCACGCGAATGTTTCTCTCCTCACCGAGAGCTATCTGGCCTCCAAACTCCGTCAGGGTCTGCCTAAGGTACCGAAGGTCCTTTGACTAGCTGCTGGCAGGACTCCATCAAGTCCTTTAGCTTCAGCTCGGCGAGCAAAAGTCTCTCTCTCCTCCGCCATGAGCTGACACACACAAACTGAATACAAAACGATGCACTTCACACGTGCTGGCTTGCACGCGTGCCCCCTTTCACGAACCCAGACAATCTTTTCGGGATTGGTCTATTTCTATTTCGTTTGCCTTGTATTGTCTGACTAGGGGCGCTGTCACCCCGTCAGGTGCGAGCACCCTTGGACAGAAGCACTTCACGACACAAGTGTTCATTTTCGTTTTTCCTCTTCTGCTTCTTCACAGTTTGAATGTGTGCTTTTTTCGTACTCTGCTCTCGATCGAACCATGCGCGGGTCGATCTCCATAATTTTATCTTCCGTTGCCATGACTAGCATTAGTACGCGTTCTATACTCACTCGCTGCTTGGCACGCTTGCAGCGCGTCTTTTTTCTGTTGCAACCCAGTGCCTGCGTGCACGGTACGGGATTTGCGATGCCACATCAGCGTTGGTGTGTCGTTGTGCTTCGTTGTTGTTTTTGTTCTTTGCTGAGTGTGGTCGTTAAAACTGAGCAAGAACGGGTCGTTGACAAGGCGTGGTTTCGATGTGCATGCCCTCCTGTCAACTCCAAACCAATTATTATGTGGGGCTTTCAGGGATAAAACAAGACTGGAATGAGCAGCGGGACGACGAGGAGGAGGAGGAGCGTACCCAAGGAGGTCAGCAGGGTGTCTCTGGGCAGCCCAGGCCGCCAGGGTTCATGGTGTTCGCAGTGCCTGGTACTGTGCCGCACAGCCGTGCACACAGAGTTGCTTTGCTCCTGTGGTGGCATTATAATTTATTACAACACCTCAAGACTCGGTGGAAACACCGGCCAATGGCAATGTTAAAAGAGAGTGGGTGATTGCCAACCAGGGCGATAAATAAAAGTATTATTTAAAGGGGATGGGAAACGATTTCTGCCGTGAATTCTCACTTGACTGACTCACGACTGCCATCCGGAGCACACGAGATGTCCATCGAACCTTCGACTCGGCAACCCTGCAAGAAGCACCACTCCCTGCTCAATACACAGTGGTTCGGGGAATTTACCCCTCATAAGTTGAGCTTGAGTAGGCTAAGTTATAATATTAATAGTGCTCTCCAGGTACAAACATCACCATGGATACAAACTAACTTACAGAGACACTCCGTTTGTTGGCGTTTGCGGCGCGACAAACACCCCGTGAACCTCAGATAGCGCCAGTCAGTGTCGCTCCTGGACGGTGAGAACAGGCGTCAAGGACCCTGGGTCATTCACAACGCTGTCACCTCCAAACCAGCTACTACTAGTAGTCGCTAGTGCTCTTCAGGCACAATCTTCCTCAAGCTCAACTGATGAGGGGTGAATTCCCCGAAACCCTGTGTATCGAGCAGGAAGTGGTGCTTTCTTTCAGGTTTGCCGAGTCGAAGGTTTTTTTTCTTTTCTTTTTCGGCCAGTCGGCTAGCCGCTACTATCCTTTCGTCTTGGGGGTTAGACAAGGGCAAGTACATGTCATGTAGTTGCGTGAGCCCGCCTTTCGGCACCGGGAGTTGCAGCTCACTCGCCTCGACTCAGCGGAGCTCCGAGTTACTGATCGAACCGATTGCAATGAAGTCTAATGAACAACAGGCTTTGCTGTTTTCATTACAATCGGTTCGATCATTTAAGAATAACTCGGAGTTCCGCTGAGAGGACCTAACAAGGTGGAAACAACTAGTTTGAGCGTATTGTGGCACATGTTGCTTATGCTTTGCCAGTAAAACTATTACTTGGCCAGACTATGAGCCCCAAAGTCAGAATTCGGCTGCTCTGACCCGAATTCAGACTTTGGGGCTCCTAATATACACTGTACTGTAATGGTCGAATCTGGACATTCTTTTAGCCGATCGAAAAGCCGAGTACTTTGGTGTAGGCGAAAGCATGGGCTGATTAGGCTGGCAAATGTCTACTGTTACCAGTAACTGTAGCAATTTTGCTATCATATGTTGGTCATGATTATTTTGATGGTTGACTTACTCGTTTTCTTTGTTTGCCTTCTCTGGTTTTTTTCTTGTCTGGGTTGTTGGATGAGTTGGGTTTACGGTGCTGCTTGGATGGTGTTTGCGGATGCGGGTTTGCTCTTTGTTTTGGTATTCCCTAGCTGACTTGATTATTTTCTTTTCTAATTCGATCTTCCCTTCTATTTGATCTGATTTTTTTCTATCTTACTTGACTGCTTTTTGTCACCATTGCCTTCTTTGCTTGCGCTCTTCGTATTCTGCATCCGGTGCATTGCCCAGTTTCCGACAACCAGTTTGTTTTCAAACTAAACGGGTCAACTTCTCAGGGGGGGGGGGGGGGGGGGTCATGCGCCATATCACCATGTACAGTCCATTTCAAAACTATAGCCGCGTACCTAGACAAAAACCGTTATGCCAGCATCTATACCACATAAAATCTGTGATCACTTTGTGCATAAATTTTTCCAATTTGGGCGTCTGTTATCCAATCGTTTAGAAACTACATGTATGTGAGAGTAATTGTGGAGCGGACCTGAGCAATATTCCGAAACTATTCTCAAAAAGCTCCAGCCAAATTTGAAATAATAATTATTTCAAAAACACTGCGCGTCTATAGTTTTGAAATGGACTCCGTAGGCGTTGGCGGATAATGCTCGAAAAGGTGGCAGATTCTGCTCGAAAAGCAGTGAAATTGGCAGAACCATACAAACCTTGTGGCGGGCAATTCCTCGAATTCTGCTCCATTTCTTTATCCACATACCAAACATGCATGAAACTTACCAGAAAAAGTACCGAATTCTGCCAATTTTTCCGCCGGCATTATCCGCAGATGCCTATCACCATGTCACTACACAGGCTTTAGGTACGACCCTGCCTATGCAGGGAGGTACAATCATGACTATTAAACTAGGGAGTACTGAAGTACTGATCTTATGACTCTAAGGTATAAGCATCCAGGTGTTACAGACAGACTGCCTGGGTGCGAGCACATGCACCAGTTTGAGATTAAGTTAAAACCAGGGAATCTTAGGTACCGTATTCACGAGTAACCGTACATGTATGCTTCTGGTTGATATACATCTACATGTACATGTAAGCGACATGCATGCAGTACTTTCATCTGCACCGTGCGTGCACGCAGCAATCGAGCACTTCCATATGAAGAGGGCAATCAAATCATTTCTAATTGTTCGCACCACACAACCAAAAAAAATACAAGTGAAATTGTGTAGGAAAGAGACGGACGGACAGAGCACTATACATGTACATGCAGATGTACATGTACATGTGCGTCCCATTGCTGGTACTGTGAGACCACTATGTATACGCAGGAGAAAATAAGGTCAAATAATCCATTCGCTGGCTAGTAATAAAAGATCAACGTCAGATCATTTTTTTCGATAAAAAAATTAGTAAATTATCATGTCCTTCCCCAAAGGGAATTCCGAGGGGAAATTTTCCATTAGATGCAATACACGTGCATGTATAATCTCGCTTGCACTATAGTACATAGCCAATCTGATGATAAGGACACCATGATGCTGCATACGTCCTGGGTACTTCAGTCCGCCGCAGTACAGGATGTTCAACCCGCAGGATGGGACGTTCAACCCGCAGGATGGGGCATTTCGACCCGCTCGCCATCCGGGTCATTCAAACCAGCACACGGTTTAGTGCGGGTAGCTGGGGGGATAGCCGGGGACGGCTGGGTTGGGCGGGGCACCATATCCGGGCACGGCGGCCGGGGGCTGGCCAGGGTACGCCTGACCAGGGTAAGGTTGAGCGGCTGGTGGCTGGCCAGGGTAAGGTTGAGCAGCAGCTGTGCACAGTGGAAGAGTGGGAGAGAGAAGAAATGCAAGGGACACAGTCAGAATGACACAGAGCTTTTGTGTGTTTGACTCGGGTGGAGAGCCAAGGATTAATTTATAAGAAGAAAAGAGGACCAAAGAGCTACAAGTTCCACTGTATTATCCACTAACACCACCATTTTGTTTGTTTGTTTGTTTTATTTGAATTCGCTGGACCAAACGACCAGAGATGCTCAATAGCAAGGGGGCGAATTACGGAGGAGAAGTACAGGTTCCTGCACGAGTACGAGGGCAGTACCGCGGAATCCAGCCCGCGCCGCGATAGCGGCAAGGGCTGGATGAACAGCGGTACTGGCCGAGTATGAGTGACTGGAACGTGTTTCCCGTGTGCACCCAAGCCAAATAAAGAGATACATGACAGACACACCTGCATTGTGTTTTGTGATTGTTTTCTGGTACAGTTTTTTGTAGTAGTCCATAGTGCTTTTTTTCTCGTGGGGCCATTGACATTGTCGACTGGGCATCGGGCATTCTGGCTGTTCTGTTCCTACGGATTCTTCCCACGTCTTGATCGGAAACCTCGGCAAATAATTGCGCGGGTCCTGCAGTTTGCTGAGCATTGCGCGCTTTGGTTGAGGCTCATCCGGCTCGTCCAAGATCTCCTTCGCGAGCGACTCCGCAATAAAAGTTTCAGTCTCAACCTCAACCTTTCGGAGGAGCTCATTCACATCGCCAATATCGTTCAACAAAGGGGCTTCTTTTCTCCCAGTTCCAGATCAAATGTGGGAGCGCCATGATGACAGTTGTGGTTGCAACCAGTCGCTCATCTGCTTTCTTTATTCTATTAGTAACCAATGAAAAACCATGAAGTAGAGAGAGTCAGTCCAGTGACGACGGGCAGTGGAATCCGTTCCTGCCCGTCGTCAAGTGACGACGGGCAGTGGAATCCGTTCCTGCCCGTCGTCACTTGACGACGGGCGGTGGAATCCGTTCCTGCCCGTCGTCACTTGACGACGGGCAGTGGATCCAGTTCCATCACCTTTGAGCAGGCAGGACCGCGCTTTCCAGCCTGCGCTGTTTCATCTGTCATTGGTCAACTCCAAGGCGACAATCACGTGACATACGGGAAGTGAAAAATACTACGGGTGTTGAGTACTAGCGTAACGTAAAAGCACCCCACCCCCTCTCAATGTAAACAACACACGACTGAGTTAGCACAACCTTGACTAGGCAAAGTTATAAAATATCAGAATGTAATCTCTGCTCGGGGGGGGGGGGGGGGGGGGGCACGTTACTGTCGTTAGGCCCCGGCGGATAATGCTAGCAATATATCGAGCGTAATTAGCACTTTCTGGAAACTATCACAGCGTCAGCATAGTCCGGCAAGTTTTGCAGAAAACTAGCATATTCTTGCGAAAACTAGCATGTTCTTGCAAAATATGGGATTTTCGTGAGAAGTCAAAATGCCCTCACGACTACTACCGCGCCTTTGCCTGCTGAATAATAATAATTCTGTGTGCTTCTTAATCTAAACCACTATTTCAATTTTTCCGAAACAGAATTCAAGCTTTTATATCACATTTATCAGTGCTATTTTGGAGCAGAATGCGAGCATATTGAAAAGCCGAATCCATCCAATTCTCGAGCATTATCCGCCAGGGCCTAGTGCACGAGCCTATCTTACCCCGTGTTGGCTACACACCTGAGTTTATGCTACAACTTACGTGGCGGGTATGCTCCTACAGGCTGGGCAACGGGGGCTACTGGCGGCGGAGCTGCATGGCCCACCGGGTAGCCTGGTGTCGCCACGGGAACCGGCACCGGCACCACGGTGATGGAGGCGTGGCCGTGCCCATGGTGACCATGGTGTCCGTGGTGATGGTGGCCGGCGTGCGGTGGCGGCTGGTGGTGAGCGTGAGCGTGAGCGTGGATACCATGGCCGTGGTGCGCCTGGTGGAGGACGTCGGCGCGGACGGCGGCGTGCTCGGCCTGAGCGTGCTTCATCTGTGCCTGAGTCTGTATACACACACGCACACACACACACACACACACACACACACACACACACACACACACACACACACACACACACACACACGTACAGGGCAGTGCAACAGGACAAAGGCAGAAAGGTAGATTACCGGTAAGACGCAGTTTTTTTATTGGGGGTGAAAATTTGCAGTGGGGGACCGGGTTAGAGTACTCTGATGAAAGTAGAATACTAGCAACACCTGTTTTGTTTTTTTGTTTTTAATGTACCATGTGGAAATTTCAAATGGTGAACGGTACTATTCGGCCAATAAAACCAACAATGGAGTAACATCTGCTCAGCCATTTAGTCTAGCACTGCTCTTCTTAAATTTGACCTTTATTACAAGACTCTTCTTTCTTTTTCATTTCGTTCTCCCACTCTCACACACACATGCTCACAGTTAATTCTGCCGTCGTGAGTCCCATTCGGGACGGATACGAGAATAATAATAATAATAATAATAATAAAACCATGTGGAAGGTATGTGAAAGGCATGTGAAAGGCACGAGAAAACCATGTGAACACCTTCTGAAAGCCCTTTTTGTGGTGGGTTTGAGACCCTAATGGCATATGCTTCACCATGCAGGACTGGGTGAAGATTGCACCACAAGTGCATGCCGGAGCTAGTCCAGAGAGCATGGACACTCTCTGAATAGCAACTTTCCCCTCTCCTCAGGTTAACGGTCTAAAGGGAAAGCTCTGGCCAGGATGTGTGCTTCTTCGTTTTCGGCGCCGGAACACAACAAGCCGTCGCATGTAGATCTGAGGTACCACCCAAACGTAACATACCGTTATAATTTTGTGATAGATCTGATCCTAATGTCATGTGCCCTGATGTACAGTCATGTGCTGGTACATTCATAGCCAATCAACATAATGAGCAATAGTCTAGTAAGTAACAGCTGCAGGAATGATAACTTTGGGTATGCTCTAATTTCAGAAATTTCAGGTGCACCATATTTTCGGTATGAGGGGAAAAAGGCCAGGTTAGGTGCCGTGAACAGGATGTTTAGGTACAGATAAGCAGTTCCCTATTGGATGCTGTGTGTGCGTGTTTGTTCGGTTTGTGGAAGCTTTAGTTATGAAACAAATACACCGAACATTTGTGACATTTCAGTAACCGTGTGAGCACTGTAGCAAACTATTCTAAGCACTCGCAGGTTCAGGGCTATCAAGTTAACAGCCTCGGGCGTAATAACAATCAAAATTAATTTTAATGATAGAAGCCATATTGAACAGACATGCACATAGCAACCATTTAAATACACTTTCAAACTAACGACTAAAGCTAACTCGTGAATAACAACACTTTTCCCGAGACTAGGGGTGTGCGGATAATGCTCGAAAAGGTGGCAGATTCTGCTCGAAAAGCAGTGAAATTGGCAGAACCATACAAACCTTATGGCTGGCAACTCCTTGAATTCTGCTGCATTTCTTTATCCACATACCAAACATGCATGAAACTTACCAGAACAAGTACCGAATTCTGCCAATTTTTCTGCCGGCATTATCCGCAGATGCCTACCCAAGACCCACGGTAGGACGAGCTGCCCAGGCCTCACCACCACCACTGCCGTTTCGGTGCTGCTTTCTCTATACATACGAATGTACACGGTATATCATGTGCACATTCACATGTCTGAAGGTTTTTGGTTTTATAGAAAAGAAAAAGGATCAAGGAAATACAAGTTACGCTGTAGTGTCCAGTAACACCACCAGTTACTACTTCCTTGGTCCTTTTTCTTTTCTATAAACTAATCCTTGGCTCTCTATCCGACTCCGTTTGTGGTTTCCAAAAAAATGAAATAAAATTAATAAAAAACTTTCCTCGCGCCCGATCAAGGGTTGTTATTCACGACGTTGAGGTGCGTTCTTACATTCTCTAGCTTCTCGGAGAAGAAGAAAAGAAAAGTTAGTTGAAGAAAGTGGCATAATGCAAGAACGGGTCTCCAAGGATTCGGATATATTTTGCACATGTGAAGCGCCAAAGGGGACGTGATCTTGAGTGCCACGAATGTAGTACGCACTGTGCGTAAGCAAAAAGGGAAATGCGTACACTCATGATCAACACAATGCATTTAGCTGTAGTTCGAATGCGCTGATCCCAAACCGCGGAAATCTCCAAGTTTCAACCACCTCTGAAGCTTGGAGAGCTTGGAGAGCTTTGGAGAGCCTCCTAAAATTCGGAGAGGATATAAGAACAGCTCTCGAACTTTTCCGAGAGTCTCCAACTTTTCCGAGAGGGTTTAAGAACGCACCCTAAATGTAACATGTCCACAATTTAGAAACTTGCATCGAAATATAATGTAGTTTACCTCAAGCATCACCGCTCCGGCAATGTTCCCATGGGCTGCAGCTCTTGCGGCTTGGTTGTGGAGGCGAGCCTCCTGGCGTTCCGCTCTGTGCTCCTCCTGGAATCCAAAAAGTAAAGGGCAAACGAACATCCCCACACACACATGTGACACACAAACATTTGACACATGCACATACAGATGTGCGCGCACCCCCCTCCCCCCCCCCCCCACACACACATGTACACACAGCAGCATTGTTACATGCTTATTCCTGGTTGTTTTGAGACCCTCGAGAGGAAGTTCACGTACAGGCGAAGAGACAATACAGTGCTGCTCAATGAAATCCAGTCGCGAGAGTCAACTTGAGTTGGCGCCATGCTCCGTTTCGCAGCCCAGCGTTCGCAGGTCTAGGGCTGCGCAACGCCTGGCGCGTACTTGAGAAACTCGACTGGATTTCATTGAGCAACACTGTCATGTAGTATGTTGTCAAGTTGTCATGAGTTGAGAGATCACAGCTTGGATGACCGCAAGGCCACACCATACTGAGCTTGGTGGCAGAGCATCGCTGGTCTAGGACAAAAGGCCTGGCCTAGCTGGTTTGAACCCTGTAGTGAGTCCCGTGGCAGTCAATATTGTCTTTCCGACGTTCCCCTTTTCATTCCCTGCAGCAAGAAATGAATACAGTCAGACCTCCCTTATCTGGTCCTCTTTTATCCGTATCCCTCGCCATCCGGAAGAAAATAGCGGGTTACAGATGTTGAGCATATGTGATGCATCCAACATAACCGGTGTTTGATTATCCGGTTCCCTCGCCTATCCGGATATTTTCTTGCAAAACGGATGTGTTTGGTTTTGCGATGTCGGACTGTACAGTGAAGCCTGTCTAAGACGACCGCTCAAGAGACCTTCAACATGTGGTTTCCATGTACAGGTGATTTCCCTGTTCAGGGTCATGTGATTGGAAATACATGTAGCATCCCTTGGTCCTATTTGTACTGGTCCTCTAGGAAAGGTGGTCGCCCTGACAGGTTTTACTCTAGGTACTTGTGTGTACCCGTTGCTTGAAGAAGACAGACGCAAGACAGCCTAGCCTGGCTGTCATACTGTCCATCCCCACGTTGTAAAGTGTAAGCTGCTAGTAGTCTGAGGTCGGGACTCGGAGTAAGGTGTTTTATGAGTGCGCATGGCATTGTACTTAGGGCGCGCTCGAATTGTCTCTCTTTGACTTTTCAAGGAGTTTCGTTTCTCTGAAGAGGCGGCCTTATTGGCCTCTTCAGAAAAACGAAGCTCCTCGAAACTCCTCGAAACTCATCTGATGGGAAGGTGGATTAGTTTCGAAGAGTTTGGAATAGCTAGTTCACGTAGTACGTGGAGATGGTCGATCTGATCGGACGTCATCATCGCCATGACAATTCCACTGTAACACTCTGAAATGATAGAAACCGTTCTAATGCTGGGACACTTCAACTAATCTCTCTATAAAATTTGAACAGTTGATGAAGACGATTCGAACGCGCCCTTAGTCTTTGCTTGTGTGAAGCAATACGTTAGTCGTAGTGTAGCATTGTCTTGCACGAGTCTATGCGCACTTTGGGGCGGGGGTAGTATGGCCCAGGTATTTCACGGTGTGATTCCAGAAACCACTGGCACTGCACCCAGCTAGTTACAGACCGTGATACAGCCCACTCCAAGTCCAACCCGGTTTCACACCACTGAGACAACGAGCCTGGTGCCGTGGTGGCGTGCGATAACCATGATACCGGCCGGGACCTTGATTGCTTGAAGGGCGTGTGGAGAACTGCCGCTCCGGCCGGGTCAAAATGCTACTTCCTGAAGCGGATTACTGAGATTCACGAGCCTGAACAGTGTGGCTTGAAAGAGTTTAGAAAGGCATTAGATTTTACGTGCTAACAACTTTACACGACCCGAGATAGCCAGTAGCAACCTGCTAGAAGGGTATGCCTTTTCATTTAGCCGAGCGCAATAGAAGCCGCGTAATGACAATGTAGCGTTTCTCGAGGAGGCCACCACTCTGAACCTTAGCAATGATAATAACATGCACGCTAGCACGTGCTCTGGCCTGACTGAGCGTGGCAAGGAACCCTACCTTTCTCGCTTGGTTCTCGGCGCGTCGCATCTTGATCCTTCTTGCTTCTCAGTCTCGCCTGGTGGAGAAAGCGACCGGGCGATGTCAATGACCTGCTGTGGTGTTATCGGTATCGGAGCGACACACTACACACTGAATTCCACTACTACAACTCAAGACTGCGAAAAAGTCAAAAGGGGAAAGAGCATGCTGAAAGACCTGCCCTTTTGTATCGTTTGCCAAGTTTTGGGCACTCCTATCGATCCTGGCCTACTCGTCAGTCCTAGTGCCCCAGTTCAATCAGTATGCGGTCGTGCGTGCTCTGCACGGGTGTTTGCAGTGCATGAACTCTGGCCAGTCGTCCCCGTACGCAAAATGCGTACGCATTTGTATTTACCGTACATTTCCTCGTGTTTTGGGCGAATCTGAGCGGTACGACGCTGTCGAATTGGGCCTGAATTTGCCCTGAACCAGCCGCTATTGAAGTAAAATTAGGTGTTTTGAAGGCCACACGGGAACACTGCGGCCATGTCTTCTTTCCTGCGTCGTTTGTTTGAAAATCGGCGTGTTTTTGAGCTCGTAGTTTCGTCTTCGTTGTGGAATGGCCGTGCGTACATTCTCCTTGGAATTACCAAAGTCACACCCCCGTTTATTACATTACTAAGAGTTTTGCCGACAGCCACGATAGTTTTTATCCCTGCTTCCATACGTCCTTTCATTGAACAGCCAAACGAAACTTTGTGGCGCGCCTTAGTTTTTTGTGGCGCGGGGGTCTCAAGTTTGTCACTTCGAGTTGTACACAACAATCACATCAACACCTCAAAGGACCAAAAAACCAAGTGAGCAAGTATTTCAACCTTGCGATTCTGCCAGGCCTACTCTGAAGATGGAGACTTCTACTCGGTAGCACATACTCGTATCAATAAGCTGGGAGGGAGAGCGTGGCGAGTAAAATGTTGGGATGAAAAGAGCCACATTCTCTCTCGGAAAAGATCGTCGTTCCTGCACTGGCTACACACTTGCTCTACCCACTCTGCAGAAGGCTAGAGTTTGCATGCACGTGCGAGATTCGCATCCGCCGCGCACATAGGCAGAGTCGAAATTTTTGTACTCTCGGATTTGCCGCCATCTTGACGAGTGGCCACTGCGAAACACCCGTGTCTGCTTACATACATGAACATTACTAGCACCCTTCCCAGCCATCTCGGATGTTTGCAACGACTGACTGTGTGGCAGCGCTAGTAGTAGTAGTACTATTACGCACACATTGATCCGGAATGGACCGGATCGTCACAGTGCGGTGACCATGGGCCGGTCATGGCTTGGGAGATGATCTATTAGCATGTGCTATGCCATACCCAGTGATAAAGAGGCCATGGAAGACGTCTGGCGAGCACCCAGATTCCAGTCCAACGTCAGTGACATTTTAGGGAGCACAGTCAGAATCCGAGACTCTGCATCTGGTGCCTGAAGGTGCATGGCTTGGTGGACATGGATGCGCGTCCTGGAATGCAGCCTCCCCGGCCGACAGATGGCCCCGGCGTATGGCAGCTCACGTGGCATCTGCTGTCCGCCAGACGCACAGCCACTAGCGTCATCCGCAGAAATGCTGACTCGCCGAGAATTACACGCTGCACACTCACTCTGTTAGTGCTAGTAGTAGTAATGTTACTGGGTCTCGATTCGAGCCTGCAAACAAAGGGAGCCAAAGCTAGCAAACAGACTAAATGCCAGGTGGTCGCATAACCCAGTAATGAGAGGAAGCAAAATAGTACCAAACACTGAGTTTGGGCTCTTTTGAGTTTTGGACAACTGGGAGTTGACGGTTGATACCATATACATGTACTGGAGAACAGAAACATGGTCCAGCACTGCATGGCATAATTAAAAATTAAAATTAAATGTGACTGCAGTCTTCATCCTTGTTTCGGTCAAAGTCAAATCCTGTAAATTCTAGTGATGCACCACTGTCAAAAGACTTTGCTCATACCGGTACATGTAAACACTGACTTTTAGTCTTAGTCATCCAAGAGGAAGGACAACATGTTTCGAGTTATGACTAATCGTCCACCAATGTAACGGTAATTATGATTATAATACCAGTACAGTCAGAGAGGCCTCGCAACCCTTGGCAGTTTCTGCTAGAAACCGAGTGAAATTGGCAGAACCATACAAACCTTATGACGTGCAATTCCTCGAATTTTGCTCCATTTCGTTATCCACACACCAAACATGCATGAAACGTACCAGAAAAAGTTCCGACTTCTGCCAATTATTCTGCCGGCATTATCCGCCAAGGCCTAGTCCGGCCCGCCCCTGCGACTACAAGCGACCACAAGCCACAAAACTAACAGGGAGTAGATCTAGTGAGGTATTCAGCAACACCTGCATGACAACTGCAGCTCCAACACATCTACGAGCGTCACGTCGCTGAATGTCTCAATACTCCCAATCAATGCTGTCATGAGTACACGATCCCCGTTATGTACGCTTGATGTTGTGCCCTATTGTCGCACGCTCTGACTGCATAAGATCTGGTTACATAGTCATTGGTACACACAAGACAGTTAGTCATAGCATGTTGCCCTTTATCGTATCCATGAATACATTAGCTTACCATCCGAGTTCCCTATGAGAGTCTCATGATGATTGATGAGACGGGATCGAAAGCCGTGGCGTTTTGTTTCGGAAATATTGTATAATTATAATGTACAATTCCATAGTGTATGAGAGGTTGCTACAGAGAGTGATATCGGTCATTCAGTTGATAGATATAGTATACATACCTGGAAGAAAGCTTCGCAATCCTACCGTCCCACCACGGTAGGGGCAAGCGGACTATGCTCGGAAATGACCGGATTATGTTCTAGCGGATGCTCTCAGGAACTATGCTTTTATTATGCTTCACCAAAAAGACCAAAAGAACAGATTATCATCATGAAAAAAGGACTCAGACCATTGTCATGATGTGGACTGGGAGATTTGTGGAAGTACAGGACAATAATATGAAAGATGCCTACCAAATTCACAAGCAAACGCTGAATGTTTGGGAGATTTCCTATAGTGGCTGCTAAAATAATTATTATTCCAAATCGACAAGAAGCGCTATGTATGGTCCTTCAAGTTCAATAGCAGCTGTGTACATAACAGCCTCATTGGGCATCTGCCCTTGTTTTTCGGATGCCATTTTATGCTCCTTCTCAAAAAAGGACCTGATTATGCCAACAATTATGTCTTCAATTATGCCTTCATTCAATAGCAGGTGTGTATAACAGCCTCATTGGGCATCTGCCCTTGTTTTTTGGATGCCATTTTATGCTCATTCTCGAAAAGGACTTCATCGTGCAAAAATTTATGCCGGCATTAAAATCCGCTTACCCCTACACCACAGCGAGCATTAAGCCATACGACTCCCTGATGGCTAAAACCCTTCTAGTGACGATACTGATCATTTTTTATGATTTTTCCATCCTGCAATGCAGGCCAGTCACAACTCTCTCGCTCCTTCAGTACTAGCTCTTGCGTGGAGTAGAGATTCCGGGCAGATGGTGAATGAGTGAAAGGCAGAGAGGGGATAGCCATGTAAGTAACACCCTCGGATATAACAACAAATCGCGAATAACAGCAATATCTTCAGACCAAGTAACCACTTTGCCGTGTACTTTGAGTTTTAACCTCGCGAGTCGCGATTATCCACAATTCGCAAAAAAGACCTCTCTTCTCATGATCCGGACGAGGGTTGTCTCACCGTTAACTCGTCACCATGGTTCCGAGTTTGAGTCACGTTGGCCGGGCAACACGCCGCCCAGGGCAACGCATCACATGTGCACAATGAAACCATGCGGCCGGCGGTCACGTCATGGACTCTTGGCGGTGATGTAAGAGATTACGCAGCCCTAGTCTAGACTAGACTAGAGAAGAGTTCCCTGATCGACTCTACGTCTGTGGACCATGCAATGCAAACAAACAGTAACTGACGCCTGTGAGTGTGACGACTGACGGTCTGACAGGATACATGCACTGCATGCACCCCGCTTATCACTTTTCAAAAAACCTTCACTCAGCCTTCAGCCTTCACACGACCATCAGAGTCAGACGAGACCAGGCAGACGTAGAGACGAGTAGCAGTCGATCGAATCAAAGGAGACGCATGCACCAAAACGTAACAAACAGGTCTGATTTGTTGTTGTCGCTTGCTGGCTGGCAAGGAAAGGGATGCTGGTGATTGTTGTAGCCTATATGTAGGTGTTTTGAGGTGTACGGCATTCTGAATAATACTGCGATAAGTGACTTGGATATACGCCCTCTGGATCCCTGGCCCTTCCTCTCTAACCTATCGCCGTCCACCAGAGCCGCAGTCTAGCCCCCCTGTCCAGCTCAAAGTCGAACTACATTCTATTTCAATGTAACGTCGACTCGTCAGTTAGTTGGATAATCCACCGTCGATTTGTTGCGACAGAACACGACCAGTTCATGAGATGCGGGGCCGTCTCAGCTTCTAGGCCAGCCGCAAAGCTTTTCATTCCGAGCGCTTCTTGAGGTCCGATCGAAGCGGCTCAATCGATTATGTTTGAATGAAGTGTCTTGATGAACCGTGACTCCAGCGCGAGAAAGGACGCGGAAATCCAACGCCGTCAAACAAAACAGGACTAGACTGGAGTCGCATTGATTCTCATTGAATGGTTGACCTACCGCTCGGCTCGATCACATCTAGACCAGCGGCCGGCTCAACTGTGCGCTCAGTGCAACACGTCTACATGTACCTTCCACTGTGAGTTAGTTGGCCTGGGTCGTGTGTTCGCCTGCGCTACCGACTGTCCAAGTCGGCAAGCCTGGCCAGCCCGTGCCGATCGCCTCGTTTGGGTCGGTCCGGCGGTCGCGGCCGGCCTCGGAGCTGAGTATTTGCAGTACATGTAGTTAGTTCTGTGAACCGAACTGTCGCTGGCCCCGGCTCCAGTCATGAGCAACACCGGCCGCCACCCGGCATCGTCGTCGACGAGCGATGGCACACTCGAGACCATGAAGCGTCTCGGCGTTGCGGGCCGTGTGCCGAGCACGGCGTACTTCGTACCGGGCCGCCTGAGCATCGAGTCGCAGGCGCTGATCAACAAGAAGCTCGGGCAGCTGACGCGCGTTATCGTTCAGCTGAACGAAGTGCGTGTGGACCACGACCATCGCGTGGCCTGCATCCAGTATGAACATGATACCGCCATCGATGCTCTCCAGGCTAAACATGATAAGGTAGGGAGAACATAGTCATGGAGCCTTAGAGGTACATAATGCATACCAGGACTTGTGGAAGCAATTTTATTATTAATTTTTTGACTGGTCCTGCCATACCCTAGCCTTTCATACAGTTTGTGTGTGACATGGAGGGTATACATAGTACTATACACAAAACCTCCATAGCAGTAAACACACACATTGGTGGCCAAACGGTTGGTCTGGCCATGGCCCGACCAACCGGTCGACTGTCCCGATGTGACGGGATTCCGCTTGATCCAGAGACGCACGTTCGCTCCACAACACTTTGGTGCATGAAAATTGTCCGGTCCAGACAGGATTCCGCTTGTTACGGGGCCCAGCAAGCACAGGTTCAACTGTGCATGTATAGAGCCGGGGTGGTTACCAACAGCCAGTGCATGCCGGAGTATGTGGTGTGATGTGTGTGCGGAAAAATATGAAAAAAGACCAAAAAGTAGGCATTCACTGACCAGAAAAAGCCACTTCATAGCTGTGTGGTGTAGGCCAGGCTGAATAGTGGCGGTCACTGAATTCTTCAGCCTTGCAAGCTGTTGAATGGTGCAATCCCAGCACAAGTTGCTATGACTTCTGCTGTAGCATCGCTATCATCGCCACCGGCGACGGGCGTCAAATGGTCAAATGGTGTAGAGCCTTAGAGATTATGCGAATCATGATGTGGTGGTGAGTCAGCGGAATCGGTTATGGGTGCTATGTATACAGCGCTAGTGTGTGTGTGTGTGTGTGTGTGTGTGTGTGTGTGTGTGTGTGTGTGTGTGTGTGTGTGTGTGTGTGTGTGTGTGTGTCGGGGGTTTGCTTTAGCCAGTATACCGGTGTGTGGCAGCTTTGCAAGGGCATCCCAGCTGATGATGCATCAGGTCACGGTCACACTATGTCAAGTTTGAAGCTGGACGCAGTGTCGTCAAACCCAAGCAGTTGACGCTGACATGGAGTCAAACTGCATTTTTTTCCTTTTGCCGTCGAGGTCTGACGCACTTCACAGACGATTTGGTTTATCAGAGTGATTGGATTAGCGGCATTGTAGTGTGCCACCTTCAAGACGGCTCGCCCAAATCCACGGTGCAGCCATCATCACTCACGGTCCTCTCAAGACCTTAAAACTCGTGAAGACAAAGTCTTTTGTTGTGTTTTCTTTTTTGTCGTTGCTATTGTGGGTACTGTAGGAAGGCCAATGACCTACATGGGGATTCACCAAAGTAAAATTTTAATGTTAATGCTAATTTTTTCCCAAGAACTCAGTTGGCGAGCCAAGGAATACAAAACGCCCCACTGCTTTCTATTTTGAGGTACAAATTTTTTTTAAGTTTTCTAAGTTCGTAAGTGTGTTTTCAATTTAAATATCACATTGTTTTTTTGTTTGCATCTGCGCCTTGATCCATAGAGAGTGGTGGCGTTCCCAAGGCGGATGCCGAAAACTCGGGCTCCAGCCGAGTCTCACGCAAACCGTGATTTTTTGATATCAAACCGCAATCAACAGGACAAGCTGAATCGACCTTTGTGTATACACGTACTGGATTCATGCGGTGTAAAACAGTGGAGACAATGTACATTTTTTATAAATCATTGTTTTCTTGTGCTCGTAACGTTGCAGGCAATGCAGGATCTCACACGTAACCTACACGACTCCAACCTTCAGATCACTACCCTGAAGGAAACCGCGTCGCTACTGCAAGCGGAAGAGAGCAAGCGCGAGGAACTCGGCATGCAGCTGTGCAAATCTCAGGAAAGCGTCGCTAACATGAAGCTGGCACTGGATGTGTCGGACGCCGCCCACCGCACGCTGAAACTCAAGCTGCAGGACGCAGAGGGCGAGGCCAGGCGGGCGGCCACACACCAAGCGCAGCTTGACACACACGTCGAGTCTCTTCTAAGAGATGTCGACAAGGCCAACGCGGAGGTCCAGCTCGCAAACAAGACCCGGAAGAAGGCCGAGGAGGAATCGGCCGCATGGCTAAAAAAACGCGAAGCACAACTGAGCAAAGAGATGGGCGCATTGCGTGCACAGCACAAATCAGACATTGACTCCATGCACAAGGAGCTGCAGGATGTCACGGCCGAGAATGGCGAACTGATCACGAATGTGGACCGCCTCGAAGCACAACTCAACAACGCACAGCTGCACGCAGCTGCAGAAATGCAAAAGCTGCGGGACGAGATTGCCAGCCTGAAGACGAACTTGGAAGAGGTAGTCACGGCCCATGGTCAAGGCTGTCGTGACACAGCGCAGCTCTCGGCAGACTTGGCCGAAAAGGACAACCGCATCCTGCATCTACAGAAAGAGCTCTCGGCAGCACAGCACGAACAGGCTGAGCTGGAGAAGGACAACGCGGATCTGAAAGCGTCATCCAACATACTACAGGTCACTAACCGCTCACATGAAGAAGACGGCCGCAAACGAGCAGGTACAGTGCGTGTGTTTGTGTGTGTGTGGGGGGGGGGGGGTGGTGTGAGTACGTGTGAGTACATGTGTGTGCGTGTGTGTGTGTGTGCGTGCGCACACAGGTACACATCTGTGTGTTTTTGCCAGCTACTTCGGTTGGTGGGTACACAATCGTATCCTACATAATGCAGGGGTGTAGCAAGCACCCGCTACGACTGGTACGACCATGGCCGTGCCACTTTTTGAAAATTGTGGTCTGGTCCGGAATGTGCAAAACCGTAATAAAAAAATCAGGATCCATCGATGCATACATGTATGTGCATCAGACTTTGACCTTTTTCTAGACCCGTACTCGTAGATCTGCCATGCATCTGCAGTCGTACTGAGTGCTGACTGTACTCGACTGCACATTGTACAGTCCCAGAACGCAGGATTTTGTGTCTTTTTTAATGTCTTTTTTACAAAATTTTCCCGGGGGACGTCCCCGGACCCCCTCCAACATGGCCTTTGGCCGCGCCGACTTTTTGTCATACCACTTCCAAAACCCCTCCTACGCCCCTGTAATGGTCGATTCCATTTCCGTTTGGCTGTGTTGCTTGACGTTGTATTTTGCACATGCTACCTTCATTGGTTTCACGGCCCATATTCTTTCTATTCAAAGCATACATACAGCTACATGTGCCTATTGACCAATGGGCTACTCCCAGTTATAGATTATCTATCGTGTAATCCATCATACTAGATGAACCTGCATCAGATCCACCCTAATTTAGCCACCCACAGGAGCAGCAATTTCATTGGGGAGGGGGAGGGGGCAGTGGTGAATGCGATTGGGTCCTGTATTCCTGTATGCGTCCCTCGATGCTGTTTTTCCTATTCTACACCTTGTCCTTGACCATTTATTGCACATGGTGTGGTACATGGGCCCATAGTTGAAGGTGTGGGCGGACAAAAAGCACGGCAATGTCGAATTTCAATATTTCTACCCGCCTAACATTGTCGTGCAAGGTACCTGGGTCTGGTCAGACTCCGATACAGTGCAAGAAATTGGAAAAGAATTGAGCTTTCTGGAAATAGCGTGTTCTTTGCTTCTACATTATGGCTATTGGGTTCTGTTTGGTGTTGAGATGAAGGTTTGAAGAAAGCGAATAACTTATTTATAGCAAAGGAAAGGATAAAAAAACTACTTACAAGTTACGCTATAATGTCCACCAACACCACCAGTTACTTGAAAACTGCTGTTTCTTTGCTATAAATTTATCCTTGGCTCTCCATCCGCTTTAAATATCTGATGTTGTATTCTCCGTTGCGTGTCTGTACATGCACAGCTGAACTGGGTAGCCTGCAGGGTGAGTGCATACAGCTGCGCTCCGTCGTCAAGACGCAGAATGCCGAGCTGGCACGCGTCAATGCCCACTGCCTGGAGCTGGAGAAACAGCGTGCCCAGCTGGAGATGTCGCAAGACCAGGCCACCGACCAGCTGAACACGCGCTTAACACATCTTGTCAAGGTAGGTTAGCCCCCTCCCCCTCCAGCCCTCACATGTTCCAGGCGCGGCATTAGCCATACATATGTACTAGTATTCGGATTAGCTTTTCTACCAGAATTTTAGCGCAATATTTATCGTAGTTATATGGGGTGTTCGAGTTGATTTGACTGCATCCTGTGTGCTTGTTATGGATCTGGTAACGCGTTGCAACTTTCTCTTTTGCACGATGGTTCTGTGTATTGACTATGCACTGCCATATGTGCACTTCCACGAGGGAACCATGGATGCAGTGAATGGGATTTTCGGTCTCTGACCACTTTAGCGGTGGGTCTGGTCTACACACCACCCACCGCTTTAGGAGCTGCATCAGCGCCCTGATCCTCGAGTGTGGTGGCGTTCCCACCGATGCAAAAACTCGGTCCAATCGAGCCTCACGCAAACCGTGACATTTCATTATAGACACTGTACTGTCTGTCATTGTACTACCGGTGTGTTCATGCTTCATGCATGCTAATGGCCCTCACTGTACCCACACACTTCTGTACCATTATTTATATTTGCACTCTTGCAGGAAAACCAGACGCTGACCAAACGTCAGACGGAGCTCAAAGCACAGCTGGCAACCGAAGCACAAGACCTGCGTGCCTCGCACGCCAGAAAGGAGCAAGAGTTCGAGGAGCGCCTCGCCCGTCGTCTCAAGCAGGCCGAAGGCCAGGCCGAGGAGCGGATAGCACGAGAGCTGGACACACGCCGGAAAAAGCACGGGGCTGACGTGGAGCAGCTCAAGCGGCAGCATGCGGATGCACTTAAATTACGGGAGGACGAATTCACTGCCAAATTTGCTGCTGTTGAAGCAAAATCACACCGAACTGTCACAGATCTTAGATCGAAATGTCAAGAATCGGAGAAAGTAGCATCGCAAGCGCAAGCCAGGCTTACGAAACTAGAAGCGGATTTCCAGGCGCAGGGCAAAGCCATGGAGGAGCAACGAGACAACCTCAGCACGACCTCTGACGAGCTGGCTGCTGTCCGCACCAACCTGGCAAGAGCAGCTTCGGAGTTGGCGGATCTGAGAGCGCACAAAGTGGCTGCGAGCAAGGACGTCAAGAAGCTGGAGGTATGGCAACACCGATGCTTGTCATGTGCAAACGTTTATAGTGAAAATGACCAAGTACACGAGCTGTGCTGTAGATGGTCTATGTAATTATTTGTCCACCGAGTCCAGGGGGATCCCCTCAAACCCCTCTCCCCCCATTCTCATTCCGGAAGAGTGCACAAAATGCTTGACTGTAATGCATCCATAGCATGCCAGCCTCCACGGACTAAAACCAATTAGCACGATGAGGAGGGGGGAAGAGGGGGGGGGGGGGGTGCTGACGAATACGCCTCTTCTCATTTTCTCAGCAGCGGTCTCTGAACTCGAGCTGCCTCTGGAAGCAAAGTGACCACTGCACACTCTATACTCTATACAGCTTGTGCCAGAGAGGCGCCAGTACTCGCCTGCATAGGGCCGAGCCGGGCATGCGAGTGAACTCGGGAAGTGAAGAAATGAGCTCTGCCGTCGGCGATTTTGACCACTTTGGAATGCCTTTCATACTTTGCTCCAAAGTGAGCCAACGTTTTGGTGCACTACCGGTGGAAGCCTCGCCTCCTCCAATGCATGCAGACAGAGCCCTTGGTATAGTGGAACGCGGAATTTGACCGGTAATGCACTAAAGGTTGGTTCATATTGGGGCAAAAAGTGCGAGGGATGCTAAATTTGCTTCTCAAATGAACGCTTGGGGAGGAGTTAGACACTGACAAGTTCTCGTACTTGTTTTCCCCTGTTTTCTGCAGCTTGAACTGATGGCTGCTAGACAAGAGAACGAGTCCAAGACAAGGGCGTTGGAGCAGGAACACAAGACCGCGCTGGCGAAGCAGAATGCCCGCCTGGCGGACCAGTGGACGAAACGTCTAGCGTGAGTACTTACCGCGCTGTGTGTTTTTCTCGCTCACGGAGAAAACCACTGCTTTCTGACATAACGTGCTGCATCAGCACCGGTGAATGCTAGAATGGTTTGGGCTGTGAGAAATAAACACCTCGTGCAAATGTAACATGCATCCTGTGTGCTCTTTCTATTGTTAGTACACCATCAAGCCGAGACCTCAAGTCGGCCTAGTGGTCGCACCTCCCTTTTGCTGCTCCATTTTAACCAGATTGGAGCCAGTGTAAACATTCTTCTGTCCTTGGATATGTCCACTGCAATAGATCTCTTCCGAATGCTCACCCATGAAGGTATCATAAGAGATCCCTTGTGATGCCCTGGTTTGTGAAAATCCGGAAGAGATCTATTGGAGTGGTGTAGCCAACAGGGCTGCCGGACCCGGTCCGGTTGGTCAGGTTATCACCGGACCAACGTCATGGCCACTAACACATGTTTGCTCCTGTGGAGGGCATGTGTATTGTGACCTGCACTATCACACAACAACTGTATGAAAGTAGAAAGGAAAAAGGACATGGAAACGAGTTAAGAGTAACTCTCCACCACTGTAACTAGATACTATATACAGTCAGAAAGTGCAACAACTACATTTATTATTGGCTCAACACCCCAATTTCAAACTGTATGAAAGGCCATGTTATTGCCGGACCAATCAAATACTGCTTCTGACGGTCCGGGCCATGGGCCGCAAAGGTTGTGTGCTGACTTCAGAGCGATATTGTGGTTGTCTTGTGCAGGGATGAATGCGGACGGCTGCGCTCCGAGTTTGAGTCAAACCAAGACACGGTCCACCGGAGCGCCGTGGCACAGATGACCGAGCTTCACGCCCAACAGCTCGACATGCTGCGGGAGGAAAGGCAGACGTTGGAAGCGACGCGGCGTGAGGAGTCCGAAGCCTGCGTAAGTCCTGGCACACTCATATCTCATCCGAGCGGTATGGAACCTGGCACTGCCCCTAACTTGGAAATGTCCGTAACTCTGAATCTCTGATGAGTGTTTTTGAACCCGAAACTGCGGAGTAACGAGAAAGCTTTTTGGTCTCTGTTGTTCTGCCTTGTGTAATACGCTCTGCCCTTGTTACGGCATTGATTACTATTTGCAGCAAGGACCTCAGACACTTTGTCTAACTCTGAGTCATGTACATTTTGATAGGGAAAGGGCCAGAGATCTGGGACATGAAGTCACTATTTCAACTAAACCTGGCCAAAAAGTAGTAATATTTCCACTAAAAGTCGCTCACATCGTGCCCGGTAATATTTGATTGTATTGCTATCGTGTGTGCGCGCGTTTGTTCTGTGTGCATTCTGTGTACACACCCTGCCTCCGCCCCTCCAGAAAACTGAAGTCAAGACTCTGCAGGCGGCTCTCACGGAAGCCAAACAAGCCTGCAAGCAGACACAGGAAGATCTCACCACCGCATCGAAACGGCTCATGACTAGAGATCGGCAAATGACGAGTGAGCTAGCTGCGGCCAACAAGCGATACGAAGAGCTGAATCAGCGGCTCACTGCAGAACTCAACAAGCTGAAGGTCAGTCGATTGTTCGGTGTTCCAACAGTGTGAAAAATTGCTATTATGCGACAGCGGTGAGCGTTTGGTTAGATACGAATCCCGATCAATCAAATCCCTGATCCAGATCCACATCAGTAAATCCCTCGTAATCAACCGATCACTTTTGTTCATGCCACGGCTGTTACCTTTTTGATGTAGAAAAAAAGATGATTAGAAAGTCACTGTAGTGTTTAGCTATAAGGGTATCTACCTCATGGCTTTGGAAAAATTATTTTTCATTGCTATCAGGTTTGGCTTCATTTTCTCTGTGCTGCGCTGATGACTCCACCAAGGACGAAACAGTTCTGTCCGCAGATTGAGTATCTCGCCCCTGCTCATGTAGCAGTTGAGCACTCTTGTGTGGGGTAGTGCCTTTGCTGTTTGCGTTATGCAGAGCTCACTGACTTGTCAGTTTGAGCACTCTGGCAAGGTACGTTCGGGCCTGGTTTAAATCTGGGTGTGGAAAATTTATTTTTCATTGTATCAGGTTCAGCCACATTTCCTCTGTGCTGCGCTGATGAGTCCACAAAGGACGAAACAGTTCTTTCCGCAGATGGAGTATCTACCTCTCCGTCTCTGTCTCTCCTTTTCTCTCTTTCCATTTCTCAGTCTCTCTCTCTCCTTCTTTCCATGTCTATTTATATCTCTTTCCCGTAGTGTAGCTATGAGATTTCTTTCACAGTATTCTGAGGACAAACCTGTACACCCAAGACGATTATTGCGGCCACACTCCAACCCCAATCCTGATAATTTAATCCCATTATCGAAATGAAACAATTGGACGTATGCATCCATTTCCCGCCGTTATGTTTTGCATGGCAAGTCCACTACAACCGTACACACTGTCATACCAACTCTGCATAAAAGATCATGAACTTTGTGAGGTCATACTCATAAAATTAAATTTTATGAGTATGACCTTAATGTACTATAACGGGTTGTACCTGCCAAGTATGGGGTGACTTGCCCCGCAAAAAGGTGACGGCCATCTTAGATGCATACCGCCTAATCCACTCGTTGGACTGTTTCTGCTGACCAGGAGCAGCTAGAGAGGCGTGAAGAGGCGCAACGATGCGAGGTCCGAGAAAGGCAAGAGGCAGAGGCGGGCCTGCGACATCACCTGGAACAGGACAGGCAGCTTGCGATTGAAACCGCCGCCAAACAGGCGGCTCGCCAGCTTGAGTTGGAACTGGGTGAGTCACTGCGGATTCTCATGGAGTGAATGGTTACCAAGGTCATGCTGCGATTGCTTCGGTGTTACATATAGCATACAGTAAACATGTGACTAACGACCACCCCTTGGGGCCAGAGAAAGCGGTCTTTAGTGGCAGGGGGTCCTTAGTTAGAGGTGGGCACCGCACAACCATAATAATATATGAATAATAATGAGACCGTCCGTGCCAGGCAAAGTGGTCCGTAGTACCAGGCTGGTCGCTAGTCACGGTGGTCTTTAGTTACAGGTTTTATTGTACCTCCAACCTCCAAGTACTTACTAGCATTCAGGGTTGCTGTGGAACGGCTTGCCCTATGGTTGGCCACTGAAATGGTGTTCCCCGAACTGTCCCCCAGCCTTCGCAATAAAAGGGTTGCTCTAGAATGACCTTTTGTGGCCAGTGCGATGAAGTTCCCCAAACTGTCCCCTGCCTTTGCATTCAGGGTTGCAGGACACTGAATGTCAGTTGAGCGTTCCGTGCTCCAATAACTTAGAACATTGCAAAAAAGTGGGTGATGCTTGTAAGTAGGGGTCAAACGGGTGTACCTTTAACTAACGAACGGGTAATTTTCTTAACGGGCGGGTTAACGGGTACCCTTTAGCAGCCATGTTTAAGTTTTTGCGCAATGTTCACATAAATCAAGATTTTAATTAATCTGTTCTCGGGTTGCATTTTGATATCAAATTGTGATTCGCAAATCAATTGGTGTCTGATAGTCGCAGGAGTAGATCTACTAGGTGCGAAAATGCAACAACAATGCAGACATCCAGCGTGGAGTTGTAAATAATTGACGCCCGCCTGGAATACACGATCCCAGGAGTGTTGCTTCGTACTGACTGGTTCATCAAAATCCAAACGGGTACCCTTTTACTAACGGTACCTGAGATTACCGGTCGGGTACCCGGGTACCCGGTACACCCCTTTGACCCCTACTTGTAAGCGGTAGGTCGGATAGGAATCTTGCTGAAACAGGAGGTCCTTAACCCTTTACCGGTCTACCATAAGCGTACCGATACTATAGTATCGGTACGTTTGGCCCTCATTTTTTTGAGGTCTTGTTGCTAGGAGACAGCTAAAATGGCGCTCTACGCGTAGCTGAGGTCCAAGGCTTTCTGACGATGTGCAAAATAACCATGCTTACGATACAAATTTTTGCCGTATCGATCAACTGAAGTTTGTTGAAATTGGAAAAGACGACCATCCGCCATGCGCGCATTTCAAGAATGCGAGTGCATCTCTTGGGGCCGTGTTTGACAAGCGTTCTGAGAGCAGTAACATCACCAGTCCAGGCCGGATGTGCCGGGAGGTTTGCAGTGTAGTGTGTTGAGAAAAGAGCTCCGTTGAGTCCTGCTAGTTCAAAAATATATCGTCCACGAATGAAGAAACAAAATTCTCCAAACAGAGAGGAAGCCTTCTTGCTGCCGACACGGCGACAGCGACTGTCACAAGGACTCGTCAGGTGCGATCAGCTGATTCGCCTGGCCGTGACAATCACGGCATGCGCAAGCTCGCGCCTGAGTACTCATCTGAGCGAGAGTGAATCTGACGCGAGCAGCGCTGAGATGAACAAACCGAAACTGCGATATCGTGGAATGGGAATTGCTGCTGCTGGCGTATCGCCGATGGCGAGGTGTTGGTGCTCAATGGCGGTATTGTAGAGAGCCTACATTTCTTGTAAAGACGTAGCCCTTACCTGATTGTTTATCGTACGACTTCAGCTCCATCACGACCTTGGTATGCCCTTCGTGCTGTGATATTCGTGTATTTCATTTGCAATTGTATTTTCTCTCAACTTGAAGGGCTACCATGGGCCCTATCCTTGCCTAGACCTAGTCATATTTGAATTTTCTGGACGCGTTCAGGCATACAGATTTTGAAAATATATGGTTTACCCATACCTACATCACATGGTTCTTGAGTTATTGCTGGTTGTGTGTACATGTATTTGCGTGACCACCCCTCACATACATTGAGTTAGACCGGCAAAGGGTTAACCTCTGATACTCCTATGGTCAGAATTGACTCCGAACTACCTTTACCGTTGCTACACTGTCGTGCTGTGCACCGTCGAGTGCCCACTGCTCATATACCGCGTGTCCATGGTTACGGTGCAGTTCCCGCATACCGTAAAAGCGGAAATTTCCGGTGGTGTTCTATTTTCGGTAACTTCAGTGCCGAAAATTTTTACGTAAAATAAAAAAACTCACCGAAAATTTCGGTACTTGTACACTTACGTGGAAAACGGGTTTACCGAATATTTCCCTCCACCGAACCGCCGATTTTGGAGAATACTGAAAAATTACACCACCGAAAATTTCTGCTTTTACTGTACATGGTACACCAGGGGGCGCCGGAAGCTATTCAACATTGCTACGACCATGGAGTCGGGGGGGGGGGGGGTTCCGGGGGCCCTCTCCCAGGAAATTCTACGAAAATTGGGCCCAAAAAGCCCAGATTTCATTACTTCAGAAATTACAGAAAAAATTTTGCCGCACCTGCCGCACCGGTTCCGACGCGCCTGTACACATTATATTATTGATTGTGTGGCGTGCCCAGTTTGTAGAGCTGGGACACGGGGTCGGATTTCACCCTGCAGCCCTGTTCTTGACGTTGTATGTGTGTGTGGTATATACATTGTGCTCTGCAGAGAGAGTACAGTCACACCATGAACAGAAGAGGAACGAGGAGAGGGACACTCTGGAAAGGATGTATTCCGAGAGCATGCGAGAACAGACCCACAGACAAGAACAGGAGAAAACTGATCTTATGGAAAAGGTACAGTTCACCTGCAGCTTCCTTTTCCTCTACCAACCGCCGTCGCATCGTGTTCATTTTCTCGGTTGTTTTCTGTCTCACAGTCTTTCTCGCACACACCCATTGTGTGTGTGTGTGTGTGTGTGTGTGTGTGTACATGACTGTGTGTGTGTGTGTGTGTGTGTGTGTGTGTGTGTGTGCATGTGTGTGTGTGTGTGTGTGTGTGTGTGTGCATGTGTGTGTGCATCTGTACACATGCTTGTCGTGACTATCTTGCTCTTGTTTGCGCTAGTATAAAAGTCGTTGTGCGCTTTCCTCACGGTTTTTGTTGTTTCCTTCCTTGCATTCTATCTTCCTCCCATCAGTCTGCTTTCCTTGTCTTCCTCGACTACGGTTGTATATTGCATAAAAGCCTGTCTCAAACAGAAACCTGTTCTGATTACAAGCCTGATTTTCAAGATAAACTATCGGCACATAAGCCTGGTTTTAGTGTTGACACGCATAGAAATACCTGTCTTGTATAGAAGCCTGATGTGAATAGAAGCCTAGCATTGACGTCAACTTCCACGGAAATAAGCCCAGTTATAACACACCTCCCACCGCTTAGGAGCTGCATCTGCGCCTTGATCCTAGAGAGTGGCGGCGTTCCTACGGATCCGGAAAACTCGGCTACCAGCCGAGTCTCACGCGGACCGTGACATTTTAATTTTTTTTTAAACACGCAACATTACGCTATTCCATTCCTCTTCTGATAGGTACTGGAAGCATGCACAGCAACAAATGCAGCCAAAATGGAGAGCGAGCAGCGGCTAGAAAAGATCCAAGCCCTCGGCAACGACCTTGCTCAGTCCACGCAGGCAGCTGAGAAACTGAAGGAGGAGATCAGAGCATTGAACGAGAGTGTCGACACTATCAGACAGGAGAAGCTGGACAGCTTGGAGTAAGTAGATGTAATGTGTTTAATGTCACGTACGCATACACCATGGCCGCATTCCGTTTGCAAGGCAACGTGTCGTCGCTGCAAAAGGAATGCGGCCATGGCTTGTGCATGAGTAAGTTCAGCGCCGGTCACTGCACTGCTTGCTGTCCTGTGAGCAGTAGCCTGGATGGACGCAGAAACTGTCAAACTCAAGTGTATTTGTGCACAATAATTATGGCAACTGACTTCCTGATAAGCCTGCCGGAAGCGTCCGAACGGATTCCCTAAAATTGAAAACAAGGAACCGGTGGGGCACAAGTCTTGGGTTGGATTTTTTTCTCTCTACAAAATCCACATATCTCCAGACACTGGGGTGAGTAATGGAGTGTGGTGGTGGGGCCCATTAAGCTCCGCCGACCAGAGGTCTCGGCTTCATAGCTCCATGGACGCACTGGAGTCCACAAACTAAACCAGATCTTGAACAGTCGGATGTGCACAAAGTACCCCCGGTCAGACTGACAAAGGAGTACTAGGGAAACATGAACCTTCCAAGTTGGAAGGCTCGCGCTATCCAGCAATCGAGCAGCGCTCAAGCTCACTTTCAAGCCATGGAACGTCTCTGTACTAGTCGTCAGTCCGGTGCTAAAGTGTGCACATCTGACTACAGTCGAACCTCTTTAGGACGAACACCAAGGGACCGGCGGTATTTATTCGCGATAACGGGAGTTCTTCTTATCCATATGTCTTACCCAGTGAATACACAGTGATGAATCCAATAGCGCTTGGAATTCTAGTTCTTCTTAAGCGAAAGTTTGTCTTATCAGTGTTCTTCTTAACGAGGTTCACTGCATTTAAAATCTGGTTTGGTTGGTGAAATCAAACGCATAGCTTGTGCCCCACAGTTATCCGTGTTTTCCAATTTACAATTTCCTTGGCTCACCCTCTGAGTTCTTCTTCTTGTGTGCAGAGATATGTATGCATCATTGAAGTCAGAGCACAAACAGGAAATGACCGCCGCGAGTGAAATGTATCGCGTGCGCCTCCAAAAAGTCTCACAGCGGGTTCAGGCGGAGCAGGAGACCTGGAAAGCTTCCGTTTACAAGCTGGAAGAAGAGTAAGGAAGTGCTGTTAGTAATTGATTTGGATGATGTCTTGTCAGGGGCATGCTCTCTCTCTCTCTCTCTCTCTCTCTCTCTCTCTCTCTCTCTCTCTCTCTCTCTCTCTCTCTCTCTCTCTCTCTCTCTCTCTCTCTTCTCTCTTTCTATGTGTGTGTGTGTGTGTGTGTGTGTGTGTGTGTGTGTGTGTGTGTGTGTGTGTGTGTGTGCGTGTGTGTGTGTGTGTGTGTGTGTGTATTTCTCTCTATTACTCTTTCTCCGCTGTTGTGTCTGCATATGTGTGTGTGTGTGTGTGTGTGACCATAAGTGGGATCATTTCCAAGTCCAGCCAGAGTTTGCGGATTTCAGGGGTGTCTTCCGTTGTGCGGTTCAATAGCCGAGTGAGTCATCTTTCTAAAATTCCTTTTTAATCTCTCTCTCCCTCTTCCGGGTAAGCTCGCGTTGTCAGTCATGGCAGCGTTCCAGTTCAAGTACGAGTTCAAGTGTATTGTGTCTGTGTGTTACCTGTACGATTTACAGGCTAAAGGAATCCGCCGAGGCGCTGGAGAATCGACCGCCAAGGCCCGAAGACTTGGCAGCCATACGTGATCTGGAGAGCGAGCTCATCATGCAAAGAGAAACCATACGCACGTTACAGGTACGTTGGAACGATAACATGTACGAAAAATGTTAACCTGCGGACAGAACTGTTTCATCCTTTGTGGACTCATCAGCGCAGCACAGAGAAAATGAGGCCGAACGTGATGGCAATGAAAAATAGAATTTCCAAAGCCAGATTTAAACCAGGCCCGAACGTACCTTGCTAGATTGCTCAAACTGACAAGTCAGTAACATATTCAATTGCGCTCTTGTTATATCCACTAGGCGAGGGAATGCAAACGGTAAAAGTCTGAAGAAAAATTAGGCAATCACCACCAGGACTCGAAGCAGGGACCTTTGTTTGAGGCCAGAAATGCTCCAACCACTGAGCTATGGTGTCTAGTGTATTGGTGCTTTTGACAGCATATAATGCAGATGATTTTGTCATCAAAATGTTGGCGTGGAGGCAAGAAGCCTAATATCTGATGATTCTCACATGAAAACGACCTTCAAATCTTCAAATATTGTTCCATTGTTCCATTGTTCCATTGTTCTCGTGGCATGAGTGCTCTCACTTTACTTTCATCGAAATTGTGTCATTGCTATGGTCATCCCAACCAACTCTTGTCTGTCTGTCCGTCCTTCCATCCGTCTGCCTGTATATCTGTATGTCTCCTCACCCGCCTTTCTCGTGCTCTCTCTTTCTCACTCTCTCTCTCTCTCTCTCTCTCTCTCTCTCTCTCTCTCTCACTCACTCTCTCTCTCACACACACTCTCTCTCTCACTCTTTCTCTCTCTCTCTCTCTCTCTCTCTCTCTCTCTTCTCTCTCTCTCTCTCTCTCTCTCTCTCTCTCTCTCTCTCTCTCTCTCTCTCTCTCTCTCTCGCTCTCTCGCTCTCTCGCTCTCTCCTGTTCATGCCACGATTGCAGGATGCCTCCAAGGACGCCAGAGCCATGCTCGCCCAGCAGAGTGACATGATCAATAAGGTGTACCTCGCCGGCTCCAAGAACCCATTCCAGTTCTGCGTGGAAACGGTGAGTATCGTTGCATGTTGGTGCATCTGACAGGGGCGTTGGAAGTGTTGTGCAGTGAAAAAAATACTTATGCCAGACACAACGGGAACGGGTAGGTGGAAAGACAATATAAACGGAGAGAAAGACGGCCTACAACGACTACATGATAGAAGAGAGACTGAAATCGAGTCAGAGCGCTTGCAAAGTTAAAGGGCCTGGGTTGCTATGGCAAATTGGCAGAAAGTATTCGACATTGGTGCAATCTCCGGGGGTCGTCTACCGGGATAATCTTAGGCAAATTGGGCCGAAATGGCCCATATTTCATTGCTTCAAAAGTCACAAGATGACTTTATTGTTAGACTCAGGTGGAGAGCCAAGAATTAATATACAGTCGTCCCTCTCTAATCCAGCACTTTATAAACCAGCACTCTCGATAAACCAGCACAATTTTCAGTAGCCAAAATGTCCTCTTCATGCACATTGCAGCAGTAAATCAGATTTGTTAATCCAGCACCCTCCCCAATCCAGCAGATTTTCCGGGGCACAAATGGTGCCGGATTATAGAGGGACCACTGTACGACGGAACGATTACCAAAGAGCATGAGCTGACTGTAAAGTAACTGGTGGTGTTAGTGGATATTATAGCGCAACTTGTAGCTCTTTGGTCCTTTTTTCTTCTTAAAAATGGAATTATTGGTGCGATTTTGGCCGCACCTGCCGCACCTGTTCCGACGCCCCTGAGGCTGATCATGGACACGAGCTACCGTGTTTTCCCGGATGCAAGTCGCACCTTTTGATGCTAAACTTCAAGGGCAACGAAGGCGGCGGTGCGACTTGCAGTCGAGTCTGACTTCCTACCTATGTGACTGCCGGCATATTAAAAGAAATGTATTGCCGTAGCTCAAACCTGAAGGGGCGGGGGGGGGGGGGGACTTAATTTATGAAGTGCAATAATATTATCTGGAGTAAAGTGGATGAAAATAATCCAACAATACAAAATTTTCACGCGTGCGTGTGTGTGTGTGGGCGCGTGTGAATGTATGCATGCGTTTTTGTGTTCGTGTTTGGCTGCATGTGGGGCGGGTGTCCTTGATTCAACTGCTCAACATCATTCAGAAACCAAAGAAGGCACCACAGCAGCTGCCACCCTTGCCTGCTGCCCAGCGACGTGGCTCAGCCCCGCAGATTCAAGTGGGTGCTCAGTCAAAGTACCAACTGGCCAAGGAGGAACAGCTGAAGAGTCGCAGCCAAGGGGTCATGATCTCCACGAAAGCCCAACAGGAGATCCTGCAGCGTCTGCACAAGATAACCAGGGACGCCTGGAGCAAAGCGGACGAGCCGGCCCAGCAGCTAGCATCGACTGCAGGAGCACACACTCCAAGCGCGCAGGGCCACACCAGCTCTCTTCCGCCTATCAAGACGAGCAAACGAGCTGGCGAAGCATCACCCACCGCTCGTCATCGAACGCAAGCCGGCGGTACGACGACAACACAGCATGCGTCAGAGCAGCAAATGGAATCGTCTCGTACTGCCGGTCTCAGAAAACAGGGACGGTCATTACCTGACTCGCTTAACCTCCCAGTAGTCACGAGTCGAAAGCCGTAACAACAGGAATTACCCTGAGATGAACAACGACTAAGACTTAGAGTATTCATATTGGAACACTCCCTTCAGTGTAGTGGAGATTCGTGATTTCATGCATTCAGTGGTAATCATTCAAATTGAGATTATTTCATCCCCGGCACCGACGGCTTTAGAACATGTTGCAACAATACTGTATAGCGTGCGTGTGTGTGTGTGTGTGTGTGCGTGTGTGTGTGTGTGTGTGCGTGTGTGTGTGCGTGTGTGTGTGTGTGTGCGTGCGTGTGTGTGTGCGTGCGTGTGTGTGTGTGTGTGTGTGTGCGTGTGTGTGTGCGTGTGTGTGTGTGTGTGTGTGTGTGCGTGCGTGCGTGCGTGCGTGCGTGCGTGTGTGTGTATTAGGCTCCGCGGATTATGCTCGAGAAATCATGGAATTATGCTTTCGTGGATGCTCGCATTATGCTCGCAAAATCTTCATAACTATTATGCTTTGAGATGCAGGGGTACTTATTCACTTTGTTGTGCCGGCTTATGGAGCTTGAAAGTTCGGAAAATTGTGTTTTTCGTACTTTCAAGTGGCCATAACCACGACAAAGTACTCCTATGCCAATATCATATCTGGTGTCCATGCATGCTAGAAATCGATATCGAAAAGAGAAAACAGTACTTCTTCAATTCATCAGATGAAGGCGTTGGAAGGGAGAACATCTGAAGCAATAATGTCATTAGTGATTGTCACCATCAGGACTCGAACCAGGCCACATCAATATGAGCACCAACACCTTTCCTCGCCCCATTTTTGTCTACTAGTACTAGTATTGCACCTCCGAAGTCTGGGTGTTCTCGTGTTGCCGTCGCGTCGCAGCCAGCTACAAGCTCGCGGGTAAACGAATGCTGCATGCAGCGCACGCACCTGGAGGTCACATCTTTCCTACACCTTCCGCATTTACCTACAAAGGAGACTTTAGTGGTCGATAGAAAGCAGATTTTGCACAATCGTAGTCTAACACTACTGTCACGTGTAGTGTAGTATACAACTTCGCTAATAACGACTGCGGATATAACGACATTTCGCGAATAACGACAGAATTTCCATGCCCAGAGCAAAGTCCCATCCAACTGTAATACATATATAAATGAGACTTCGGGAATAACGACACTTCGCGAAAAGGACACTTTTCTGATTCCCCGCCGAGTGTCGTTATAAGCGAAGTTGACTGTAGTCCTACCCGGCCACTGCTGCCGGTTTGCCAGAGATAGGGGTCATTCCGAACTAGGACTAGTAGTAGTAGGAGACCAGCCACTTAGCGGGTTCGTGTGGACAAGCCGGTCTTGCTACGCCCAGCAGTCAGCGGCGTCATCTCTGAGTCAAGAGACGCGTGGAGCTTCTAACACGAAGCAGATCTGCACTGTTACCACCCAGCCCAAGTACTAGTACAAAATTTAATGTACATGACTGTATCCGAAACCGAACGGATTCTGGTTGCGGAACGTTCGATTTCCATCGGATAGTGAGTCTTGCCAAGCTACTAGTGGTACAGTGCTGGCAACTGAAATCCTACCCCCTGAGCGGTGGGTTCACGTTCTAGCGGTCTCTGTTACGTACAATGTAGTGTTACCATCCCGTGTTGGGTCTTTTCGATTTGAGCGCACCGCTCAGGTTTTCGGATTTCAGTTGCCAGCACTGTCTGTACTTGGTGTAGAATAGTACACTGATGTCATGTACCATACCACTAACGATGTAATAACCCGACCAGTACTGACATGCAAGAGTACATAAGCTCCCAGGGAGCCGAGCCTATTAATTTTTACTCTTGCTAGATCAACCACAAAGAATTGCATTTGCGTGGATCTCTGGTCCGTAGTGTAGATCTACCGTGATATGCGCAACTGGGAGTCATACATGTACATGATTGTACATCCATCCATTGCATGTATAAACAGGAAGGTGGTCACCCGGTAACCACAATGCTACAACAACACCACAGCTCATGCAAAGGCTGTAGGCTGTTGTGTAGGTCTGCCAAGGCATGCACACTTCACGGTCCCTCCACGCAGGTCCACCTGGCAAGCAGAGTGGATGTGTGATTTGTGGGCACGGCATGCATGAATGCAAGGCAAAGCCCGAGTGGTTCGCAAGTAAACGAACCCACACACGCGCACGCATCGCGAGTTAGTGGTGATGACGGCTAGGCTGCAGCGCCGGCGCAGGTAGCACGGAGTGTCCGCTTACAAGCGTCGGAGGACCCAAACAGGAATCTATCAAAACCCTCACGGAGTCACCAGCCGTGTATGGGCGCTATGTCCGGCCGCTATCGCCAGCTCTTCGTCCCTCCCACGACAGCGGGAGGCGAAAACAGGTTGCTTGTAACAGGATCAGCTGATCCGCTTCAGTTTAGCATAAATCCAGCAGGGTAGAATGAATTGGATCTCAGTTCCAGTCTGGCTCAGGCTCATCATCCCAGCACTCCAGTTATCTTGCTCTGACGGGATTGCCAGAGCTAATCGCCTGCCTGTTCAACTGTATTGGTGCAGCCGGCAGCAAGCAGGTCGTCCAATACTCAGAAAGCAGAGTTGACCAGGAAGCCGGAATCAACGCCGCTGGCAGAGCAATGGAGAGTCCGGTGGCACCGCATTTGGTCGGCACTCGTCCGACGCTGATGGACGAGCTTGTCGAGCAAGGTTACGACCTCAACAGGCTCAAGACTCCAGAGCGGACATTGCAGACGATCAAGCCGAACATGGACGATCAGGATCAGAACATCAGGCCACCCTACTCATACATAGCTCTCATCGCTATGGCCATTCTCCAATCGAAGGATGGCAAACTAACCATTGCTCAGATCTACGACTTCATTGAGAAGCGATTTTCCTACTATCGCAACTTGCGACCGTCCAAAGGCTGGAAGACCAACGTCAGACATTACCTGTCAATGAGCAAATACTTCTATCAGCCGGAGAAATTTTTTTCAAGAGGAAGCTACTGGATGCTGGCAACGAACTGCGAGCGCATGTTTGAAAAAGGCAACTACAGGAGACGAAAGCGGGACCGTCCAAATGAAGATGAAGTGCAGGGTACGGGTCACTATAACCCGTCGTCGTACGCGCTTGGCCATTACACTGACAACGAAACGGTCTTGAGGCAGCAGCCACCGCAACAGCAGTCACCGCAACAGCAGTCACCGCAACAGCAGCAACAGCAGCCACAGCAACAGCAGCCACCGCAACAGCAGCAACAGCAGTCACCGCAACAGCAGCAACAGCAGCCACAGCAACAGCAGCCACCGCAACAGCAGCAACAGCAGCCACCGCAACAGCAGCAACAGCAGCCACAGCAACAGCAGCCACCGCAACAGCAGCAACAGCAGCCACAGCAACAGCAGCCACAGCAACAGCAGCCACGGCAACAGCATCCACCGCAACAGCATCAACAGCAACAGCAGCAACAGCAGCCACCGCAACAGCAGCCACCGCAACAGCAGCCCCAGCAACAGCAGCCATCGCAACAGCAGCCAGAGCAACAGCAGCCATCGCCACAGCAACAGCAGCCACAGCAACAGCAGCCACCGCAACAGCAGCCACCGCAACAGCAGCTACCGCAACAGCAGCAACAGCAGCCACAGCAACAGCAGCCACCGCAACAGCAGCCACAGCAACAGCAGCAACAGCAGCCACGGCAACAGCAGCCACCGCAACAGCAGCCATCGCAACAGCAGCCACAGCAACAGCAGCCACCGCAACAGCAGCCACAGCAACAGCAGCAACAACAGCCACGGCAACAGCAGCCACCGCAACAGCAGCCACCGCAACAGCAGCCACCGGAACAGCAGCCACGGCAACAGCAGCCACGGCAACAGCAGCCATGGCAACAGCAGCCATGGCAACAGCAGCCACGGCAACAGCAGCCACCGCAACATCAGCAACAGCAACAGCAACAGCAGCATTTGGTCGGCACTCGTCCAACGCTGATGGACGAGCTTGTCGAGCGAGGTTACAACCTCAACAGGCTCAAGACTCCAGAGCGGACATTGAAGACGATCAAGCCGAACATGGACGATCAGGATCAGCACATCAAGCCGCCCTACTCATACATAGCTCTCATCGCTATGGCCATTCTCCAATCGAAGGATGGCAAACTAGCCCTAACCCAGATCTACGACTTCATTGAGAAGCGATTTTCCTACTATCGCAACTTGCGACCGTCCAAAGGCTGGAAGAACAGCATCAGACATAACCTGTCCCTGCAGAAATACTTCTATCAGCCGGGGAAAAAACATACAAAAACAAGCTACTGGATGATGGCACCGAACTGCGAGCTCATGTTTGAAAGCGGCAACTACAGGAGGCGAATGCGGGAACGTCCGAATGAAGATGAAGTGCAGGGTACTGGTCACTACAAACCGCCGCTGGACGCGCTTGGCCATTACACTGACGACGAAACGGACTTGTGGCAGCAGCCACCGCATCAGCAGCCACAGCAACAGCAGCCACCGCAACAGCAGCCACCGCAACAGCAGCCATCGCAACAGCAGCCACCGCAACATCAGCCATCGCAACAGCAGCCTCAGCAACAGCAGCCATCGCAACAGCAGCCACCGCAACAGCAGCCACAGCAACAGCAACAGCAGCCATGGCAACATCAGCCACCGCAACAACAGCCACCGCAACTGCAGCCTCAGCAGCCACAGCAACAGCAGCCACCGCAACAGCAGCCACCGCAACAGCAGCCTCAGCAGCAGCAGCAGCAGCAGCAGCAATCATCATCAGCCACAGCAGCAGCACCAGCAGCAGCACCAGCACCATCACCATCACCACCAGCAGCTTCCCCAGCAGCACCATCACCAGCAGCACTATCACCAGCAGCACCATCACCAGCAGCACCATCACCAGCAGCACCATCACCAGCAGCAGCATCACCAGCAGTAGCATCACCAGCAGCACCATCACCAGCAGCACCATCACCAACAGCAGCTTCCCCAGCAGTAGCATCACCAGCAGCAGCATCACCAGCAGCAGCATCACCAGCAGTAGCATCACCAGCAGCACCATCACCAGCAGCACCATCACCAGCAGCAGCCACAGTAGCAGCCACAGCAGCACCATCACCAGCAGCACCATCACCAACAGCAGCTTCCCCAGCAGTAGCATCACCAGCAGCACCATCACCAACAGCACCATCACCGGCAGCACCATCACCAGCAGCCACAGCAGCAGCAGCCACAGCAGGACCATCACCATGGGGCTCTCCGGTAGTACATTGGGTCCCGGTAGCACACTGGGTCCCGGTAGTAAATTGGGTCCCGGAAGTAAATTGGGTCCCGGAAGTACATTGGGCAATGCACTTGCCTGCGACCCGAGAGGTTGCGGGTTCGAGCCCAGCAGTCGCACATCTCTGACGGCAAAATCCCCACAACGCAGCTCACCAGATCAAGGTGTGGGTTCTCTTCACTCAGCAGAGTCGAGTCGAGCGAGCTGCAACTCCCGGTGCCGGAAGGCGGGCTCACAACTTTCCATGGCTACTTCCCCTTGTCTAACCGCCAAGATGAAAATATAAGCCAACTGGCCGAAATGGTTAAAAATAAAAAGGAAAAATCACCAGCAGCAGCCACAGCAGTAGCCACAGCAGCGGCCACAGTGGCAGCCACAGCAGCAGCCACAGCAGCACCAGCCACAGCAGCAGCAAGCACAGAGAGCTGCTGAGTAAAAATAGCACATCAGCGCCCCCACCTAGCTTCAACGACGGCTACCAAATTGCTGGACTACCTTCGGGATGCGGACATTGACTCCAGCGGCTGCCAGCGGCCGTATCGCTTGTACCATCCGACTCTCAGTTCATTGACAGTCACCTAAGCTTCAGCAGCACAGACCCTGGCGGCAGCAGCAGCAGCAGCGGTGACGCGGATCTGGACGCCGGAGAGTGTCGTTGGTGAGCTAATCAGTGCTACCTGAGTAGCCCTTGCTGATCAACATTACAGTATGCCCAAATTATGCCAGTGATTATGCCAGTGATTATGCCAGTGATTATGCCAGTGATTATGCTGGAATTATGCCAGTGATGGTGCAATACTACATGTCATGTACATGTATGCTGCCGTCCAATCTAATGGTATTGTGAACTCAGTACAACTGTTGGCACAGTACAATGATGGACATAGTGGGTACTCAATCTCCGTTATGTAAAGCGGTTGCATGTTCTTTCCTTTATACAAAATAACAGACTCGGATGGAGAGCCAATGATTAGTTTTATAATACAGAAAAGGACCCAGGAACTACATGTACATCGCGTTATCGCATGTGCTCATTGTCAAGTAACTGGTGTTATTAGTGGACATTTTAACTTATGGCGTAACTTGTAGTTCTTTGGTCCTTTTCTTTATACAAAATGTACTTATTACACAATGTCATATACATGATTGTACCTATGCATTGTGTTTAAATTTCAGTTTCCTTGCAGATCTTGTTCACCCCTACTGTTGCTTGAAAGCAAATCCAAAGTATGATCAACACTACAAGATTATCCTTCAAATGCCGGTACTAGTGCAGAAGCACGGGCTAGTGAAATAGTCAGGACACAGGTGAAATCAAAATAGCTAGGCAAACATTGGCACTCACTGCTCAATATTATGAACAGCACTCTAAGTCCAGCAATGCTGTAGGGCAAACGTGCCTGACATGTACATTGTATTTGCACCATCTCGTTATCTCATCCAGGCTGCTGCATGCATGTAGCATGTGACTTCACTTGTGCCATAGTTGTGGGTTCATACAACCAATTTACTTTTGAAAACAAGACATTTAATAGTTACCGATATAAGCTTAAAAGTAAGTTAGTTGGTTGACTCCTCTATCCTGGACTAGGGCTTGAAAGTGATGACGTCAAAAACGGCCAGGGAGTAGTAAGTTGACATCAGATTTCTATTTTGGATCCTCGATTAGGCTCTAAGGTGTGACTTTGCTATTGCCTCAGTATGTGGGTGCATAGCAACCCACTCATGTCGTATGCAGGGGTGACTTTTACTTCGCCACCAGTTGTAACCCCGCCCCCAGTAGCCAAATCAGTCAGTTTCACTGGCTACATCACCTTGCTGTGAGTAAGACGGCTTGAAATTATGTGCTTGGATCCATACAAAAACTGAAATTTTTGAAATTGTTGCTATGCTGTGACGTAGCACTTTCAAGCCCTAAGAGCATTATGACTTCCCCTTTTTATCAGTGTCTTACAAACACACTGTGACACCACACACACACGCACACCACCCCACACACACACATAGTCATACACATGCACAAACGTCTACATGTCGGACAAATGCATACTCGTTCCGATATGATTTCTCCTGTTCAGAGAAACAGTAGATCTACGGTAGTTCCGATATGTGCATTCCCTTTTGGGTGCAGAGAAATGATGGAGGATGCGTGCAACACGCTACTTGCACTGTGAAAAGTTGTAGCTCACAGCAGGAAGGGGTAAAGAGTTTGCTGTCTCTGGACTACTCCTATTTCCGCTCCCTTTTTGTTTGTTTTGGCATCATTGTATGCACCAGAACGCAACTAAGTTACTAAAAAATTGCGATATTAGCAACAGTTGCTAATTACTTTTCAGCGCATGACTAGACTCATGACTGGGAACGCGTGCCATTGGTTTCGATAGTTTCATCCTCGCACTTCAAACAAAAAAGTGACGATAAAAAGAGCAAGTCGGCTGATGCTTGGTTTCATCATTCCCCGTTGCAGAGATGAAGAAATCAGTGTGGCTCAACATTCGGCCATTGTATCGACTGGACAAAATCCTGTCAGTGTCAGCCCGACCACCATGACCACAGGCTCAGCGTGGGGATATCGCGTCAGCCCTGGTCACTGCATGTCCGACGCTCCAAGCGGACAGCATGCAGCAAGCAACCGCCGGGGACGGAGTACAGTGGGCACTCCCAGAAGAGACTTCCCTGTTTCAGCAAGAACTTCGGATTCGAAAGTGGAGACGAAAACTTGTTTGTGCGGCGCTCAGCCTTTGCACTTGCAGGTACTAGGTAAGTAACTGTTTACGAATCAATGGCCTGACGACTAGCTTTGCAGACACAGCGCATACAACAAAGACACGATTGTGACAAGCCAGTTCATGCAGACCCAGCGCGTACAAGCCAGTTCATGAAACGCGAAACCGAAATCGAAAACGCACAGCAGGGGGGTCAGCTAGGTGTTGCGGGCTACGATCTCGCGGGCTACGGGCCTACGACTCAGGTTTCAAATAAATCGATGATCACCCTGGTGATCCTGTCGCACAGCCGAGAATTCTCCCGTCGTGTGAAAGGGCTACGGAAGCCGCGGAGCTTACAAAGTTAGTTACAGGAGCAGCAGCACTCATTGACGATTGTACGAGCGTAGAGCACTTGTTCGCAGTGTTGACATTTCGCTGCAGAAGCTACTGGAGTAGAAGTACAGTGACAGAGACTAGAGAGTGCTCGCTGCTAGCCAGCCGGCTGGACTCACGTCAACCCAACGAAAACCGAAGCTGCAAGACAAAAATGATCAACCCACCACTACGGCACTAGTACTTGTCAAGAAACACAAAACATGACAGCGCATTCGTTATCGCGTAGTGAACAAGCACTGTGACTTGCATGCTTGGCTTGTTGCAGTTCAAGTTTTTAGGGCGATTCCGGACGACAGGCTGACTTGACTTGAGCTTGGAACGTCCAGGATCAGGAGAGGCTGAGACCGTTATCGCTTGTCGGATTCAAACCTGACAGGTTGTCAACGCTCCACCAGAAAAACTACTCCACAGTTCATGTTCGACCTAGTCTCCACAGGAAGCTGAGTTATTTGATTGCAGAAGACTAGTCCAACAACTACGTTCATTTACACTTCGCTATACTGTTCAGCTGCCTGTTCGTTGGGAAATTGTTGTTCTTCTGATTTGGTGGCACGGCGGCGGTGATAGGACAACCCCCTTATCTAACGGTGTGAACATCTTGATAAGCAACTCGACCAGCCTTTGCGTCATTCCACTATTCTATAATCACTAAAGAACTGTGTCGATCTGGTCATCCCGGTGACTTTGTGAAGCTTGGCCCATAGCGGTGGTTGCTTGGGAGGTAAGTTGTCACTGGTTGTTTAAAACCTCTTGCCTAGCCTGGTCAGTGAATCACTCCTCCATTTTCGTCTGCTTCGCGTTTGATGTTTGTATGCTCCCCCCCCCCTCCCACACACACATACCCATAATTACAATGTATAGTTACCGTAGTTCCGCGCATATAAGCCCATGGGCCTATATCCGGATATAAGCCCACCTCCGTTTATAGGCCCATGGGCTAATATTAATAAACAGACCCAAACACCGTAGCACAGCATGTCAGTGCAGACTACATAGTAGGGAGGTTTAGTTCCCACGTAACGGAAACGCGTACGTGGGTGATCCACGTAAAGTGGATGAAGGGCATCCACGTTGCAATGTTGTGTTTAGTCACACGGAACAAGCAAAAGCATGAAGCGAAAGGCCCAAACCTGGTCAAAGACGAAGCTACCCGGGCCTAAGAAGCTCATCCAATATTTTGATTTCGTGCTTCGGAAAATTCTTCAGCTGAGCACCCTCACAGCTCGCACAATGCGCTCCATTCTGATTTTCACCCACGTTCTGGCGGAACGTGGGTGAGCCTCCATACACGGTATGTCGTGAATCAGAAAACGTCTGTACGTGGGTCACTGAGTATCACGTGGTACACACACGTAAAGTACCCACGGATTACGTGGGACTAAACCTCCCTAATACCAGTACCGGTACCTATGGTAGGCGGACAACCGCGGACAGACTTGTACTTTTTCGCGTGCCAGCTGCCTTCAAAATTCGAATATAGGTCCAGGGCTAAAAAACGAACCATTATTACTGATTTATTTTCCCGGAAAATGCATTATTTCATATATTAGCCCATGGGCTTATATGCGCGGAACTACGGTAATGATTCTTCCATTGGAATGAAAACCAGCATAATTCTTTAATGAAGTACTGTTAACCCAACAACCTTTGTGATCCTGAAATGTTCGTGATTTTCGTGATAGGTGTGAAATCGCGAAAGTACGTGGGCGCGAAGCACGAAACTGTAGACTCGAGTCAATCATTAAATTGACTCCTATCGCAAACGTTTGCCGTATGCGTGCGCGCGCGCGCGTGTGTGTGTGTGTGTGTGTGTGTGTGTGTGTGTGGTGTGTGTGTGCCAGCTAGTTCGGTTGTGTGTGTGTGTGTGCCAGCTAGTTCGGTTGGCAGGTACACTTATGCCTGATTGTGTTGGGTCTGTTGCCAACAGGCTCGGCTGCTTGAAGGTGTAATGTTGTACCTGCCACCTTTGTTGGATCCAGGGTTCATATACTTTCTATTTGAAGTATACATACCTGTTAACCATGGACTACTTCTGGCTAGATTAACTCTTGTGTACTAGTAATCAATGGTGCTAGTGAAGCTTTTATCAGATCCACTCTGATTTAGCCACTCATACTAGTAGCAAATATTACCTTCACTGGGGGCAGGGATAACTGCAGTTGGATCCCGGGACGGATACCTGATGCCGTCAATCATTTTTCTGCACCTTGTCCTCACCCACTTACTGAGGTGTGGTGAGCCCATAAGTGGGATCATTTTCAAGTCCACCCAGAGTTTTGGGGATTTCAGGGGGTGTCGGCCGTTGGGCGGTTCAATAACCAATTGAGTCATCTTTCCAAGATTCCTTTTGAGTCTCTCTCCCCTCTCCCGGGGGGACTCACGTGACCAGTTTTGGCAGTGAGCAACAAGTACAAGTGTGTGTGTGTGTGTGCGTGCGTGCGTGTGTGTACATGTGTGTGTGTGTGTGTGTGTGTGTGTGTGTGTGTGTGCGTTCACGCGCGCCCGTGCGTGTGATACTACTCCACTCTCGTAGGGCCTGAACGGCGGCTCTTGTAAGTGGACGGTTTCATCCTGCCTGATCAAGCTGCAGCCCATAGACGTACAGCTGCGCGTACACGACGTATAGCTGCACTGCATACTGACATGAAGCAAGACCAGCTAAGAGCCACATTGAAGACGGTGAGAAATGAGCATACCGTTTTTCGATTCCAGTGAAATCTGTAACTAACGACCACCCTGTGGGGTCAGAGAAAGCGGTCTTCAGTGGCAGGTGGTCTTTAGTTAGAGGTTTGCACCGCACAACCATATTATAATAGAGAGGTTCCGGGGTACGATTTTTCGTGCCAAAACCCGTAGAGGCGCTGCGGATTTTTTATGCGTCTTTTTCGAGCAGTGAAATGTTCCGGAGTACAGAACTTATGTGTTTGCCGTCATTGCCTAGGTTACGATCGCAAATACGTCACATTCCCGCCCTGTGCCTTCTATTATGAAAATTCGTACCGAAATCAATTTTTCCCGCGGAAAATCGATGTTTCTCGTACCAAATTTGTACGCGAAAAATCTTCCTGCACCCGATGACGCAAAGTCTCCATACGAAACATAGTTCGTATGAAAGCCAGTCCACACGGAGAATATTCTCCGTACCGAAAAATCATATGGAGCAGCGTACCCCGGAACCTCTCTATTCTAATAATGTGAGACCGTCCATGCCTGGCGAAGTGGTCTGTAGTACCAGGCTGGTTGCTAGTCACGGTGGTCTTTAGTTACAGGTTTTACTGTAGTACCAGGCTGGTTGCTAGTCACGGTGGTCTTTAGTTACAGGTTTTACTGTACATTTCGAAAGTAGAGAGAACTAAAAAGGCCCTTGACAGAACCCTTTTCCAATGACATAATGATGACATCATAGTGACATCATAGTTATTACAGTAGAGACTCTGGATCTCTTATCCAGTGCTGGTGTGCCCAGTTTTCTCCGTCCACTGGGCGTCTTCAAGTACAGGCATGTGCTCGCATTGGAATGTGGAAATTTCCTTGCTTTGCATGGCGCTCACCTGCAGTATTTCTTTCTCTACTTCCTCCGTATACAAAAACTTCGTGACTTTTTTTACGGTGTTTTTAGCAAGAACCTGCTCAACGAACCGCGAACCGCGCCGAAGTCTCTCATTGACAACCCACGTTCATGTCGAGGTAAGTTTCGTTGATCCCGAACAGATTCTCCACGGAAGCCATGGGTTTGAGGACGTTGCCGACAGGAACTCAAGAGTCAAATGGAAAAAAAACTAACACTTGCTCGAAACTGACACAGTGACGAAGTGGAGCTCGCAGCTGGAAGTGGAACACGGACTGATGGAGTCACGCGGCACTCGCTGCCCTGAACTGCTGAAGCTGGCCAGGGTCGTAAGTACTTGCGGTGCGCGGCCCCTCACAGCGTGAGAACATAAATCGGTTCCGCTCGCACGGCAAGATGAAACAGTCTTCGTGCAACCAGCGCAGACTCCGGATCAGAATGTTGACGGGCTGGCTTTCTTCGCCTCTCTCCAGTCAGACGTCTCCTTTGTCGCCAAGGGGAATCGCAGGGACCTCCTCGAAGCCGTTGTAGAATGCTGGGAGGATTATCATGGCGAGAAAATGCGAAGCGTGTGGATGTGCTTGTACGACTCGTTTCACGGCATAATGGAGGTCGCGGGTTGGAATGATTGAATATAGTCGCCATCGATTCGTACACAGCTCTAGAGATAAAGAGGATGTAGCCAAAGTCCAGCGTCGGATCATCACTGCAGCTGTCAAGAATCTGAACGGAATGCGAGCGGAAGCAGCGACTTTTGGCGATGCGGAGTCAGCGTCGTCAGGTGACAATGACACGAGCGACGAAGACTCTGAAAAAACTCAATCTCATTCGTCTGAGTTGCTTTTTTCTTTGTATATAGCTCGTTAACAGGTTAGACAATGCCACAAGTGTTATTCCAAGTCAAACGGAACAATTCCAGAGCTGTGTGCAGCTTTCCAAAAAAGTCACGAAGTTTGTGTATACGGAGGAAGTGCAAAATCCACATATCTAGTATACGACATCATGATGTGTCATACCCCTTATATGTGGCAATTATTATTGTGTAGGCCCGTGAATTGTTTTTTCTGATGTTGCCTGAACTGTGAATCCAACAGAAACGAATGTTGCAACATTTCCATTACGGCTGTGGGCACGGGTCGGTGGCGATCTTGTCGCAGCAACTTTGGGATGAAACACGTTTTTATGTTTGCGAAAATGTCAGTCATTAATAATAACAGCTCGCATGTACCCCATGGGTGAGATCACCCATGGGGCTAACACATCTGTCGGTAAAAGAGTTAATGAGAGCGAGAAATACATGACATACACTCCTCCATTCTGTTATTGCAGGGAAAAACTACCTCGATTCCACGATGAGTGTAGGCATGAGGAATATAACATTAAGCACAGAATATTATTTACCAAAAAGATATTTGAGTAAGCGCAGATATTTTTAGCATGATAAGTCAGTCATTGGTAGACTGGATTATAATGAAGTCTCTTCGTGTATTTTGGATGGCAGAAAAGCAAAAATTACTGTCTACTGTATTGGGTACATCACTGAAAGTGAATGTGTATTTGGAGAGGGTGAAGAACGCAAAGCATTTCTTTCTCTTTAATCGCTTAGTTTCTGGTTTTTAGTGATTCTCACATGGCCGCCTGTCCTCAACTTCCAGAATGTCACGTCGCTGTGCCAGCGACTCGAAGACACCAGGTTGTGTCAGTGTAGTGAAGATGCAGCACGGTGGAAAGCAGCTGCCGCAACGGCGAAGAGCATTCCAGAATGGGTAGGTTCTTTAAAAGGAGAGTTAATGGTACGTGAGCCTGCGCGTTGACACACACATACACACACACACATACACACACACACACACACACACACACACACACACACACACACACACACACACACACACACACATACACACACACACACACACACACACACACACACGTGCATATGTGCACAGTGCGCACATGTGTGTGTGTGTGTGTGTGTGTGTGTGTGTGTGTGTGTGTGTGTATGTGTGTATGTGTGTGCCGCTTACATCGTCAACGTGGAAGAACTGCTAGTGGAGTCCTGGTGGGATTTCGGATGCCCACACTCCTTTTGCTTGGTGGATTCTTTCGTGGACAGTGTTTTTTCGTTACGTGAAATTTTGAATTTTTTTCCTTCCTGTTCATTTTCAGTCGTTGGCACTGTAGCTGTCAGGCTGTTGTTACAGTACAGCAGTCGTCCGTTCTGCTCCATTGTTTCATCTGTTTTGCCAGTTCTGCTAGCTGATTCTATTTATTTGCCACTGCCCCTCATAGTGCTCATGCTTGGGTGGAGGGCGGCGTGACCCGTTTAGGGTAGCTGTATCATAGTAGTAGTAGTAGTATGTGTGTATGTATGTGTGTGTGTGTGTGTGTGTGTGTGTGTGTGTGTGTGCGTGTGTGTGTATGTGCATGTGTGTGCCGTACATACACATGTGCATGTGCATGCATGTGTGTGGTTAGACGCATGCACTGAACGCTTCTTGTGCCTCTCCAACCGGCTAAGTCACCCAAGCAACGAGAGTGGAATATTTGTGTTGGTAGTGGGTCAAAAACCGCTTGCTGAATTGTTGCAATTTTATCTTTTCAATTCTTTTTTCGAAGCGATCAGAAGCTCTCAATAAGCAGAAAGCAAACCTGTGAATGCACAGGGTTTTGAGGAGGTATTCAACAACTCCGAATCCCAATAAGCAGGATGGGAAAGATACATAGCTCACGATAATCTCTCGATCGCACATCTCCCTATGAACTACTGATCCATGTGTTCTGTACGTATGTGTGTATGTGCGCGCGTGCGTCCGTGCGCGCGTGTGCGGGTGTGTGTGCACGCGTATGAATGTGGTCGTGTGCGGGTGTACGTGTGTACATGTATCTGTTTGTCCACATGTCTTACTTTGCCGGTTTTCCCGTCCTCTGGAGCAGCAAGGCATCATTCTCGCTGTCAAGCGAGCCATAAAGGAGAGATTCCTGACGGGGTACTTGTGCGATCCACAAGTGCAGACCGCTCTTCTTCGCGTTGACATGGCCCGACTCAAAAAAACGAGCGTTACACCGGGATACCCTCGCGAGTGGGAGTTCTTCGTCTCCAAGGCTGAGTCCTATGGTCAACTTCTGCTGCTGTGGAGGCTACTCTCCGAGAGTATTGACTGGAGGAGCTCAATCAAGGCTGTGGTAGGGTTCTGTGAGGAATGGCATTACGCAATTTGCAAAAAAATCAGGCGTCATTGTAAATGGTTCGGATTGCGCAGCACACAAGCATGCGCATGCACACGTGCACGCATGCAGGCATGCACATACACGCACGCACGCACACACACACACACGCACGCACACACACACACACACATGCACGAAAACACATGTACATACAGTCGTCCCTCTCTAATCCGGCACCTTTTGCAACGGCATTTTCTGCTGGATAAACAAGAGTGCTGGATTATCAAATCCTGCCCTCCAACCCGGCCCACATGTTATCATACATGTTGTCGTACGTCAAAACGTAGGGATTTTCTGTGTCAAACCAAGTACTTTGTGAAATACATGTCCATAACATACACTTGAGAATATCTTATGCACTAGCATAGGATATTCCCAAGTGTATGTTACATGTGTTGTGTATGTTACAATAGTCCCTGACAGTATGCGATGTACAACTGCTGGATTAGAAAATCGAATTATGTACAGTTTGAGTGATTTGTTGCAGAAAATCGCTGCTGGAGGCGGAATTCAAGTGCCGGATTAAAGTGTAGAAAATGAACTGAAGAAATCCGTTTTGCCAGAAAACGTGCTGGTTCGCAAGGGTGCTGGATAAACAAGTGCCGGATTAGAGAGGGACGACTATACAAGGGGTGAAACAATTATACCGAATACTCGAATACTCGCTCAGATTTTTTCAATAATAATCGTACTCGTAATAGATCAGAGTACTCGTTCCTACATGGTACATGCAGTTATCACAGAAATCTGCAGTTTCAGAGCAGCAGTCGGCAGATGGTGATGTGCAGATTGTGTGGTGAACATTTTGTTCATGAGTAGAGAGAGCCCAAATGACCCACCAACCAATATACCCGAGAAATATGACTGCCACTCTGTTCAATCAGGGTTGTATCATGTGATTTTAAGGCCCTTGGTGTGCAATTTTTAGAAGATGAAGAATACTCGAGTACTCGAATATTCGATCGGAGAAGATCAGACTACTCGAACTCGGGATCTCAGTGCTAAATTTCACCCCCAGTACGTACAAACATACACATACACAAACACACACACGCACACACGTGCACACACACGCACACACACGCACACACGTGCACACACACGCACACACGTGCATACACACACACACAGTACTACTACTACTAATATAGCATGACTGCCCCATAGGGCCACGTCACTCCCTTGTGACAGGGAGCCAGAGTCAGGGTACGAGAGTCAATGCTGGCGAGCCACATGCCGGTTGAGATCTCGTGGAAGTCGAAAACGTTTGTTTTTCAAACTTTGTTGCAGAGCCGGCACTCATATCCGAAGGTTTCCCTCTGTTTCCAAGTAGGGCGACTGCCACGGCTGCATTTGTGCCGCTTAAAACTGGGTGGCGAAAACTGCCGTTGGCACATTGAGCATTGGAGTTTGCCACTGTCGAGGAGAATCAACTCTAGACTAGACGAGGGCGGGCAAGCTTAGGTGCTGAATGTACTGCGGGTGCACTTGTGGACAGCATGGCCTCCAGCGCTGGCAAACCATCTGCTGCAGATATCGCATTGGAGTGCACCACGCTGGAGATGGATGGGCATCCTCTTCTCAGCGGTACACTTGTGACGAGCCATGTAGTGCGGCTTTGCAAATGTTCTGCGGCATGCGGTGCATTCCACGCGAGCAGGTGCTGGCTTCGGTGAAGGTGGTGCATGCACAAACTGGCGCCATTCAGACCTCTCCGAGGCCACGTCAAACCAGTTTGGAAGATGTTGGAGGTCACCACGCAACACGTCCTTCCAGCGCCGACGAGGACCATGGGCAGGCCGGGTCGTTTCCAGGGACCCAAACAAGAGCTGCCGCGGCGCACGCTCAGGCTCAAGGCGTACAACATGACCAAGACATTCGAGGCTCCGGTGCCAGATCTTCTCTGATAGCGCAATGGGGTCTCCCCAGCGATCCCGCAGCTGCTGTGAGGTGATGTGCTCGTTCCACTGAGCGGTTCTGGACACACCAATGATAGCCCGCAAGCATCGATGGTGGAAAGTGTCTACTGTTATTTCACAAATTTTCGGTGTACTTTTATTTTCGGTACTTTCGGTGCGTCTGTTTCATACCTAAAATTTCAATACACCAAACAAACACTAACACACATAATCCAATAGGGAATTGCTTCTCCGTACCGAAATTTCTGTTCACCTAACCTGGCCTGTTGCCCTCATACCGAAAATAGTGAGCACCGAAAATTTCTGAAATTAGAGTATACGTCTGAGGTCGGCTTGGAGTGGGGTCCACCATTCAGCACTGCGCAGCAGTATGGACACTACACAGGCAGAATACAAATGTCTCTTGGTGGACAGAGACAATGTGGGATCACGGAACACCTCCAACAATGCACCAAATGCCTTAGTGCCGTTAGCAATGCGACGAGCGACGTCATGACAGGATCTGGTGTCAGGTGTGATGACGCTTCCAAGATATACGAAAGACGGTACACACTCGACTTGGTCGCCAGCTACCAGGATGGGGGCACAATCCGCCTCAGAAGAAAAATGACCTGCAACGATAAACCTCGTTTGGGGATGCTTACGGACAGACCAAACGAAGCCGCTACATCATAGCACACACACACACACACACATACACACACACACACACACACACACACACACACACACACACATACACACACACACACACACACATGCACGCACGCATGCATACGAGCGCGCGCGCGCGTGAACATCAAAGCCTAACTTTTTAGTGTCTTCTTCTCCCTCTCTTTGCTGGCTGTTCATATAATTATAGAAGTGTCGGGTGTGCAAGAAGAAAGATGATCTCGATAACATGCGGGTGTGCGATGATTGCAACGGATGCTGGCACACCGCGTGCAAGGCTGACGATGCGCCGAAACTGGCCCATGGCATCTGCTGTGAATGCAAGGTACTGTCCCGTGTTTCCGGACTATAAGCCGCACTGGAGTATAAGTCGCACTGGAGTATAAGCCGCACTGGAGTATAAGCCACACTGGAGTATAAGCCGCACTGGACGGAATACATACATCTACCCTAATTATCACCATTAATTTGATCATCAGAGTACAGGCCGCACCCTTTTTTGGGCGAGTTTTGAGTGTTCCAAGTGCGGTATATACTCGGAAAAATACGGTATAAAATTTAAAATGCATTATGCACCTCGTCCAGGCGTTTTTGGAAACTGCCAACTATAGAGCCCACATGACACATTCATTCCATGGCTGCGATGGCAACACCCACATCATAATTATAATTATGGCAGTCATGCTATGATTACGTGACAGTTGATAACGGAAATGTACCAATACAGGTCCTCCCTCATTATAACGAGACCGGTTAGTACATAAACCCCGTTAGTAAATAGAAATCTGAAATTCCCCGGCAAAACGTGGTCTATACAACTGTTTACAGGTCCGGTTACAACATAATCCGTTAGTACATGATGTAGACATCTATTCAGTCACTCACAAGACAGCCATTGTGCTAAACAGATCTTCTTTAGTTCTCTATCAGAAGTGCGCCATGTCATCTCTCTCGTGCTATACATAAAGCGGTACAAGCACGTGCATGCCTGCACGTGCGTACATAGTACTACATACAACTGCATGTACGATATCTACATTACCCCCCTTCCCTCAAAAAGAAAAAAAAAAAGAAGAAAGAGAAAAAAGGAAAACAAAAACAAAACAAAAACACTTGCATCCGTATCCTGCAGCTTGCAGAGGAATGTACGTACATGTGTTGGAGTAAAAGAGAGACGGGAAGTGTTGCAACTATTAGAAATAATCTGACTCAAAACTTGAGGCAAAAACACCATGAGTTTGAGTTACAATGCAAACTCGACCAATAAGGGGAAAAAATAAAGAAAAATCTAAATATTCACAAGGTAGTTAGAAGATTCTAACCAACGCCAATCTGGTAGCGATTGAAGCCACTCATTTGGTAATGCATGACTCGACGACTCAGATGTCAGCTTCACGTGCTTTCTCTGTAAGCTTGATCTGACGGCCAGCTCTGGTCTGTACGCCCTCGCGGAATACACTTGGACGAGATGTTGGCGGTGACAGTGACATACAGGCCGGTGTTGCAGGTGATGCTGTCGTCTCCGGTGAAGCTGCACGAGACAACGGCAATGTGAGCGCAGTTACCGGAGCTTCGGGCCTGGATGTTGCGCTGCTCTCTGACGGAAGGCTTGTTGGGTCGGACACTGGCAGTGCTGGAGCACACACTGGCTCTGGCACATGCTCCCTCTCTGACTGTGCCAGAGGTTCACTCATGGGTGCTTTCTCCGCTGCTGCTGCTGCTGGTGCTACAAACTCGGTAACATGCTGACGGTTCCGGAGCAGTATGCGTGACCCATCAGTGACCCCAACCTGACGACCATACTGCTCTACTACCTTCCATTCTTTTCGAGGGTCGCTGTACCCATCATGGAGCACTACCCGCGTACCTGATGGCAAATGGGGTAACTTGCGGACACCTCGGCGCGAGTCATGACCTTCAACCATTGCTGCTTTCGCCTTGATCTGCTCAGATGGGTTGACGATCTGTGGGGTGATGGATGCTGGAACCCGTGTCCGAATGACTCTGCTGAACAACGCTTCGCTCGGCGATGTACCTAGCATCCGGTGCCGCGAATTGCGAATGTCGAACAAGACTTGAGTGATGCGGCGGTGTAGCGGTAGATGAGGTCTCAGGCTGGCAACTCGTTCTTTCACCAGACGATGTAGTCGCTCCACCATACCGTTAGAGCGGGCATACCGGGGGCTAGACTTGCAATGCTCAACACCCAACTGAGCGAGAAACTTGGACATCTCAGTGGATGCAAACTGTGGGCCCCAATCCGAGACGAGTGTTGAAGGCAGACCAAACCGTGCGAACAACTCCATCAGCTTGTCGATCACACCCGTTGTCGTAGTATTGGACAGTGGTAGAAGCTCTGGCCAGCGGGAACCATAATCAATAGCAGACAGGAACGTGGCTCCCTCAATGGTAACAAGGTCAATGGCCAGTTTCTGCCAGACACCTTCTATCTCTGTAGGGAGGAGCTGTTGCGCTGGATTGGAGCGTTTACGCCAGCATTCAGAGCATTTCTCTGCAAACAGATTGGCATCCTTCATGAGACCTGGCCACCAAACCCGTTCGCGAAGGGTATCCCGGAATGCATCGATGCCTGGATGACCTTCATGTGCTAGTCGCAGCACCGCTGGGCGGAGCTCTTCTGGAATGACGTAGCGATTGTCTAGCATGACAATCCCTTCAATGACTGTCAGCTGATGGCGTAGCAGGAAGTAAGGCTCTTCCGTTTGGATGCACCCTGACCAAACTGATGTGCCCACTCTTTGTCGGACGCTGCTCAGTGTCGGATCAGAGTCCGTGGCCTGGCGAATATCCTTGGAACGAACCGGACGAGCCTCGAGAATGAGACTAACGAATTCCGCCATTGAACGTGCCTCTGCAGGTGAAGCTGTGCGATCAGGTAGAGGAGCTCGAGAGAGGGTGTCAGCACAAACCATCTGCTGGCCAGGGACGAACACCAAGCTGTAGCGATAGGGCATCAATGCGACCAGCCATCTCTGAAGCCTCGGTGGCACTTCGTCGAACGGCTTCTGGACGATAGAAATAAGCGGCTTGTGATCCGTAAACACTTGCACTTCTCGGCCTAGTACATACTGCCGAAAGCGAGTCAGGCCGAATACCACTCCCAGCATCTCTCGTTCCAGCTGAGAATAGCGTGACTCAACATCTGATAGAGAGCGACTGGCACATGTCACTGGTACCCAACAGCCACTGGTATTCTTCTGCCACAGGACTGCTCCCAAACCGTCTGGCGATGCATCACAGCTGATAGCAGTAGGGACGTCCAATGCTGGTTGAAAGAATGCCAACGCTTGCAAAGCTGACGCTATACCAGCCTTTGCTGAGGTGAATGCCTGCAGGACTTCATCATCCACACTGAAGGGATCACGCTTTGCTAGCCTGCGCAGAGAAGCCGTGATCTGGGCCAAGTTCGGAATGAACTTTCCAAGGTACGTAGCCATCCCCAGGAACCGTCGCACATCAGAGATAGATTTCGGAGGGGCCAGCTCCTGGATGGCTTGCAACTTGTCATCATTAGGGGACAAGCCGGTCGCACTTAGCCAATGTCCCAGATACTTCACACGGTCCTGGTTCAGTCGGCACTTGGTCCAGTTGAGTTGGAGGTTAGCTGCTCGCAGTCGCTGCTTGACTGCTTCTAGCCGTGCATCGTGTTCTGCTTGATTGGAGCCAAACACTAGGATGTCGTCGATGTAGACGATGACTCCTGGCAGGCCTTCCAGAATGTCGGACACCACTCGCTGGAAAATCTCAGGCGCACATGCAATACCGAAAGGTAAACGCTTGAAACGGAACAGGCCACAGTGCGATGAGAAAGTCGTTAGAGGCCTTGCTTCTTCTGACAAGAGTAGCTGATGGAATCCAGATTCCGCATCCAGAACTGAGAAGACCCCTGCGCCATCAAGCTGAGCTGTGATCTCGTCAACGGTTGGAAGAACGTTGCGCTCACGTGTAACTCTCTTATTCAGTTCTCTGTAGTCCACGCATAGTCGCAATGCTCCATTCGGTTTGCGTACTGGAACAAGTGGTGACACCCACGGCGTGGCTTCCTTGACGGGTTCAATGATATCCAACTTGGTCAGCCGTTTCAGCTCGGTCTCGATGTCAGCCCGGATACTGAAAGCTGGGCGTCGGGGTGGCTGGGCTAGAGGCTTTGAACCGTCTTCCAGAGAGATTTCGATGGGTGACACGTTCACCACGTTTGCTTGTGACAGGAGGTTCAGCTCCTTGATGACATCCTGTCCGAAGAGAACGGAGTGCTGACTGGCTGCTACCACGAAACAACTGCACTTCACGTTCTTGCCACCATGTGAAATGTGGACGTCAGCCATGCCCAAAGTCTCTACGACACCGCCATTGTACGCTTTCAGCAAGCGGTCACTCTTGCGCGTGGGCTTGATCACATCATCAGTGAGGATCGTCCGAGTTGCATCTGTGTCTAACAGTCCAGTGCACAGCTCGCCATTGACTTTGAGTGTAGTCTGGAATGTCTTGTCGCCTGCGAGTGCCGAGCTACTGACGGCGAAAGCGGAGTCGTACATGCGACTTGCATGCTCATACTCATCAGGCTCATCCTCTACTGGCCGGGCTCTTTCTTCGTGTCTTTCCACTTTGTTTGACATGCAGACCGCTGCAAAATGCCCTCGCTTGCCACACTTGTTGCAGGTGACGTTGGCCGCAGGACAGTTACGCATGCCTGGTTTGTGACTACGTCCGCAGTATTTGCACTTCTTTCCCTCTGATCCAGAACCAGCTGCAGAGACAGCTTGCACACGCTGGATGGGCACGGGGAACACAGGCGGTGCGTCACTAGCTCTGGTACTATCGTACAGTTTACTGTCAGTAATCGACGCTTCCAACGCCACTGACTTGGTGACGGCGTCGTTCAGGGTCAGCTTCGACTGTTTCAGCAGCTCCTTTCGAAGCTCAACAGAACGCAGGCCCACGATCAGCTGGTCTCGAATTTGGCAGTTGACAATGGTATCCACAGAAGTGGAGCTGAATTCGCAAACATCTGCCTTTTCTCTCAGCCGCCCAACGAACGAAGTCACCGACTCGCCCTCCATTTGGCGGAGTTGGCGGAATTTGTGACGTTCAGACGTGACATTTGTTGACGGTCGAAAGTGTGCCAACAATGCGTCCGTCAAGGCTTGGTACTCATCTCCAGGTGAGCCATCTTGTGTCTGCTCCACCGTGACAACCAGACCTTTCACAATGCGCCTCACTGCTAATCCAGCCAGATTCAAGAACAAGCGTTTCTTGTCAGCTGCTGCCGTCACTTCACTGATTGAAAGGAAATCATTTATGTCCTCGAGCCAGAGTTCAAAATCAGCACCGACGTTGCTCGCAGCATAGTCAGGAATAAATTCCTTGGGCGTCCTGCCCTTTGTCATTTTCGTTCACTGCGCCAATGTAGACATCTATTCAGTCACTCACAAGACAGCCATTGTGCTAAACAGATCTTCTTTAGTTCTCTATCAGAAGTGCGCCATGTCATCTCTCTCGTGCTATACATAAAGCGGTACAAGCACGTGCATGCCTGCACGTGCGTACATAGTACTACATACAACTGCATGTACGATATCTACACATAAAATCCGTTATAGCGACCCTTTACCCAGGTCTCCGGAGTGCCAAACTCTCAGTATAAGATAATATTGACCATACAGGACCAAGGCCAAAACAAGTAGGATAAAGCAGAAAGAGGAAACGTATTATGTCGATGTATTCTTGTTTGATCCAACCGACAACAAGCTCACACCACTCAGTTTGGGATATTTACAGGATACAGGAACAATATGGTACAGGTGAAACAAGAGAGAAAGAAAGCTATACGTCCATCACGGAAGGAACAACAACTAACTAGAAAAGGAAAATATCGAAGAAACAAGTAGCGCAAGCGAAAGCCAAAACGCTCTCCTCAGCAGAACGTGCACATACACGTGCGCCTACAAAGCACCCACAGCAGCGCAAACGACGCCAACGTACTACACTAATCTACACTAATCTACATGCATCAAAATAAGGAATCCAAAAGCAACCAAAAAAGTAGCCAGCTCTGCAGAAGGATCCGCGACTGAGTACAGTCCGCGTAGCCATGGGACCTCATGACGTCAACCAAACAAAAGACACAGAAAAGACGTGTCAGATAAACAATAAATAAACCAAACGCAAATTCAAACAGCAAACTAGTATTAGTAAGCTAACGATAAACTAGTAACACTGAGACAATTCGACTGTCACAAAGTACAACAAAATCACATGCAAGAAGTCCTTTCACTTTGTCCACCTCTCGTTGCGTGACAGTGAATATGGACGATCCTTTGTATCCGAGGAAGAGTTATGTTGGAGATTTTCAATTATCTTATATCGTGTTGAAGCATCGATAATTTATGTTGTATCGAGGGTAGCCCCGGTAAGTCTGAAGTAGTACCTATTTCACCTTTAGCTGCAAGTCCTGCTACAAGATAAGTCTCGTTATAAGAAAACTTTTTCGATGGCCCAGAGATTATTTACTAACGAGGGAGGACCTGTAATTCACTTTTTTCATTCGTTTGAGGGAAAGTTGCAAACAGGGAAAGTCTGAAGAATTGACTGTCACCACCAGGACTCGAGTTAGCGACCCTCGCTTGTGGCCAGCGATGCTCTAACCACTGAGCTATGGTGTAGCCGTCATCTTGGATGACGCAACAACAAGCAGCAACCATTCAACATTTTCTTCATACAGTCAACTTCGAGTATATCGACACTCGGCGGGGCATCAGAAAAGTGTCCTTATTCGCGAAGTGTCGTTATATCCCAAGTCTCATTATATGTGTTACAGTTGGATGGGACTTTGCTCTGTGCATGGAAATTTTGTCGTTATTCGCGAATTGTCGTTATATCCGCAGTCGTTATTAGCGAAGTTAACTGTACTTCGTAACTCATGCTTCCTGTTAAGCAGCCCTCGCTGTAACCCACACACCACTCTTTACGTGGATTTGTTCGACTTTTCAATTTGTTGTTGTTGTTGTAGAAGTTTATTTAACGTCGGACCACAAACAGGCGATTTCGCCTCCTTATTTCAGCATGGATAGCACTTCCTCCAGTTCAATGTGGTTCAGGTCTATTCTCGTGTGCATGTATGTGTGTGTGTGTGTGCTTGCATATGCGTATGTATGTGTATGCCCTGTGTGTGCATGTGTCTGTGGACCTTCCTTCCGGCGGTACTTTCAGCTGTTCAATCGACAATATCGCAAGGCCGAGGCCGTAGCTCACGAGTCACTCAGCTCGGATGCGCAAAGCACTGACACAAGTGACGGCTACACAGCGGAAGAGTACTGCTTTGACTCGGCGGCTGAGGACGGCGACTCCGATCTTGATCATTGCTTTGACGATGGAGATGATCGTCATGGTTGCGCTTCGGGGGATGCAGCTAAGAAATCAACGAAGATGAAGTGCAAGACAGCACGACCACCACGGGATTTAGCAGCAGCGGAAGAGCAGGAGGTGAGCCCTAGTCCAGATACCGTAGAATCCTGCGGATAAGCCCCTGCCCTGGGCTTATCTGTTTCACAAAGACATTTCAGTGGGCTTATATGAGAACATGGGCTTATACGCGGGCACGGGCTTATACGCCGACACCAAAATTGTTTTAAGAGTAGAGCCCACATGCTCTCTTCCATTAGCACTGGAATAACTCGACTCATTTCACAATATTCCAACGTTTCGGCAAATTGCCTTCATCAGGTTCACAATTGTGCTATTGAAAAGCACCAAGGAAGTGAGAAGTACATTGCTGAAAACCACCGTGCAAACAAAAACAACCGATGATGATTGTGTTGAAATGTAAATAAAAAAGGTTGTCCCCTCGCCGAATATTTAAAAAAACCGTACTTGTACTGCGTACACGGTACGACCTAGGCACATGGGCTTGTACGATGAAGCCTTGTGATGTTCGAACTTTGCCTGGGCTTATGCGTGAGCATGGGCTTATACACAGGTGGGCTTGTCCAGGGGATTCTATGGCATAACAATACGTTTCACCCATCTCCCTGGCCTGGAGACTTATGGTTGCTATTTGGATGGTTTTTTTTATGTGCGTCTCTGCACCGTTGGTGCCGTGCTCCTGACTGTCTCTGGCATTATGTTGCGGCTTGTGCAGGCTGTACTTTTGTCTAGGGCCATTGCGATATCAAGAGCCGCGCACGCCCGTCGTCCCAAACGCTGCATGCCCGGACAGCAGCGCATCAGTCCATTCTTAAGGGGCGAGTCCGTCGTCACGCCGACGTCGACAGAATCCCCGGCAGCGTCACCGTCGGAGAGTGTATGTCTGAATATGGACGAGTCAGGCTCGTTTGAATTCTCCAATCCCGAGGTATTAATTGAAAACTAACTTAACGGTTACCTCTTATCCGGTCTAAGACGACTGCTCAAGGAGGGACCTGACAAGCGTGGTCCCCGTGTAAAGGTGGTCTCCCTATCCAGGTTCACTGAACAGGAATGACATCCCTTGGTCCTGGTTGTAGTGGTCCCGGTCTAGGACAGCTGGTCGCCTTATTACCTTGACAGGTTTTTACCGTAGTACATCTTATCCCGTTTTAGATTCGTTTCGTTATTTGTTCTCAAAATCAATGGATATTAGTATCCGACTTCACGTGACTGTTTAAAAAGTAAAACACGAGGTCCTCGTACGTATTACTACTGGTATATTTCTCTCAATTCAATGGATCGGCCAGGAAAATGAACTACCTGAAAAGAGAAAAAAGTGCCAACCCAGCCAGGACTCTAACCTGGAACCTTGCTTGTCATGAGCAATGTCCTAGCAGGCCGTCTGAGCTATGGTCCCATAGTATAAATTATCCAAGGCATTTTAGAACTTAGAAGTGGCGACTTCGGCGGTACCAGTGATGACGTTGGTCAGTCAAGTGTCAAGTTGGGCAGGGAGCGTGTGTTCCTAGCGGGAACAACCAACTTCATCAGGGCATTATATACACTAAAACCTGTCAAGGCAACCACTCGGATAAGGGGACCAACTCTACCAGAACACCATTGCAACCAGGATCCAGAGATGCTATTTCCATTCGAGTGACCCTGGATAGGGGGTCACCTGGGAGGCTGGGAACAAAGACTACGTTTTGCAGGTCCCTTGAGTGGTCGGCTTAGAGTAAAGCGAGATTCACAGAAGCATTTTTGCGATGCGACACGCGATACGATGGCCGAGAAACTGGGAAATCCCCAAATCGCAGCCATGTCGCAGCCCACGCAACTGCCGCAACTGGGCCATTGCAGGAGTTGAGCTTGGCTCAACTTTTGCGATGCGACAAGCGATCTGACGTACGATTTTGACCTTTTCTACAGCAAAGTTGTACAAAGGTCCAAGAGTTGCCTGTAAATTTGTACAAGTTGTACCAAACCGCGTTAATACCATGGTGACATACCCACCTGCATTGAACTTCGCGCCAAATCCGCAGGGCGTCGTCGCATCGCTGACTTCTTCTGTGAATGGTATTTCGCGAGTTCGCATCGCACGCCTCAGTCGTAGATCGCGTCGCATCGCCCATCGCATCGCAAAAAAAGCTTCTGTCAATCCCGCTTAAATTACACAGGTTTAACTTGGTATTGAACTGTTGTACTCTAAGCATTTATGTATCTTAAATTACAGTGAAACCTGTCTAAGACGACAGCTCAAGGGACCGTCAAAACGTGGTCTTCGTTACTGTGACCAGGTGGTCTCCTTATCCAGGGTCATTTGACTGGAGATAGCATTCCTTGATCCTGGTTTCAGTGGTCTTCTAGGACAGGTGGTCGCCATATTCGAGTGGTTGCCTTGACATGTTTTACTGTAATGGTTGCAGGCTAAGAAACACAACAATGCTTCACCCCTCTTTGTGTTTCTCCAGAGTGTGACATCACCTGATGATGATGATGATGATGATTATGATGATGATGATGATGATGATGATGGCGATGTATCGAGCGACAGCAGCCTTGACGACAGTGATGCGTTGCCGAGTGACAGTATTTATGACAACAATGCCATTGGGCTGAGTGACAGTTGCCATGACGACAATTACGCTGCACCCGGCAACGGAAGCCATGGCGGCAATGACGTGACGTCCAGTGACAGTAGCCATGGAGACAATGACGTGTTGTCGAGCGACAGCAGTCCTGGCGAAGGCGATAAGGACACGACTTGGGAACCATCATCTCCTATAACTGTCAAGCCCAAAAAGCGAAAGAGTGGTATGATTGTGCTGTCTAAAGAGTGTGTATTGTGTGTGTGTGGTGGTGGTGGAGGAGGGGGGGTAGGTGACAAGGTGTCTGTGCCAGGCTCTTATGGAGGGGTTTCACATCTTCGTCAAGTCATGTGACTAAATAATTTGTGTAGAAAGTGATCATGTCATGTGACAGTGGAACCAACATAGCCGACATCATGTGACCCATAGATGTAGATGCAGGGGCTGACGGGATCTGGAATAGGCTTTTTCCCAAATCGCCCCGTTTTTTTTCGCCTATTCGGCTTTTCGCTTAGCTGAAAAATACATCTGATTCGGCTGCAAAATCAGGTGATTGTGCAAAAATCGGCTGCAGAATGGGAGTACATTGGAAAATCGGCTAAAAGAATTGTCGGCATATTAGCTTCAAAATTGGTGAGATATTACAAGATTTGGTAGATATTCGGCGATTCTCAAAGGGACCCTCCACAATCGGCGAAAAGCATAGCAATTTTTTGATAGTAACATGGAAATTGTGGGCACAAGTTATGCGATCGAGTCCACCAACTAAACCAGATTTTTGAACAGTCAGACGTGCACAATCTAGCACAAAACTAACAAGGAGTACTGAGACATTCCACACTCAGTTTGTTAGTTTTGTGCTAGATTGTGCACGTCTGACTGTTCAAAATCTGGTTTAGTTGGTGGACTCGATCTCATAACTCGTGCCCACAATTTCCATGTTAGGCCGGGCCGTCCGTAAATATCGATGTTCAGACGATATTTGTTCATTTCTCCCCAGACCCCCTCCCTCCCCCCCTCAAAACGAACATATACATGTTTATGCAAGGGACCGATGTTTTTAATGAAGTTCAATTTCCTCATGAAACGTGACCAGCTGCCACTCTAATTTCACCATACACCTAGGTTTATGTTGCCACGGTCGCACAACCTTGCCATGGCTATGCTCACGAGGTTGACTTTCACTTTGTGTAGGTCATAAACTACATGTTCGAACATCGCCTGTCCATAGATAGAGTTCGATATTTTTTTCTGCAAAGACGAGACAAACAGGGCCCAAACCCCCTCCCCCCCCCCCCCCCCCAAACGAACGAATATCTTCTCTAAAAAAGCATCGATATTTGTGGTCGACCCCTTACAATTAATTCTTTTTTCCTTGGCTCACCATCTGAGTTCTTAATTTTTTGGTAAGTCTCGTTTTCGGTGAATTTTTGGCCGGCCGATTTGTGGATTTTACTAGTAACTATCTTCCTAATGGCTAATGCTAGTGTGAGAGGAGGTCAAAGGACACGAGTGACACGATCTCAACGTACTAGTACTACAAGTACTGAAGAAGAGAGCTCGAGCGTTCATGCTTGCAGCAACATCATTTGTTCCTAAACGCACATTGCAACATTTGGTAGATTTTCGGCGATTCTCAAAGCAACCCTCCAAAATCGGCGAAAGGCTTAGCGATTTTTCGGTAAGTCTTGTTTTCGGCGAATTTTTCGGCCGGCCGATTTGGGGAAAGCCTAATCTGGAATCAACATGGCTGTCGTGTATGGTCATGTCAAGGGTGTGAAGTCACTGTAAAGGGTGCGTTACTGTGGAAATTATTATTTGTTTACGCTCACTATGAAGGTCGGCAAGCAGAGCAAGGGCGGTGGACGAGCTCCGTGGAAGTGCGTGGAGCTGCTCAAGCATCACTGCATGGCTCTCAACCGCAGCTGTCACTGGACAATGAGAGCTCAACTGCATCTCAGATCGCGCCTTCCAAGAAGAGGAAGGAAACGGCACAGACAGGGCAGAGGGCTGCATGCCAGGCGAAGTCAAGTCGGACAGTACCGCTGAGCACGCCGATTGTGTTTACCACACCAACAGCACCAGTGACATCCAAATCCAAGCCAAGACAGACAGCACCGAGTACGCCAACAGCGTTTACCATGCCGGCAGTACCAGCAACACCCAAAGCTAAGCCAAGCAAGTCAAAGGAGCAAGCTACATCGTCTGAGGCAAAGAGAAACACACCCAAAGCCAAACCAAGCAAACCAAGGAAGCAATTTGCAACCCCAGAGGCAACGGGTAACACACCAAAAGCAGCAGCAACGATGGCAGGAGCAAAAGCAACGAACTCATCACCAAAAAAGGGAGAGACAATACCTGGTGATGCCACCCTCGACGATGACTTGCAGGTTTGTACCGGTGCCGTAATCATGATTAAGACATTTAGGTTAAAGGGAAAGTATACCCTAAAGTGAAAACTTCACAGCCTGTAGCGAAAAATGCACTGATTCCAATGGTGAAGGTCCAGCCGTTCCTGAGTTATACCAGCTTGAAGTTTCCACTAAATTTGGTGACATCATGATGACGTCATTAACTTGCCCGGACTAGGCCGGAATTATGATGTCAGAGAGATAAGCTTTGTGCGGGAGTAGATGGGGAAATTTCAGTATTTTGGCTTTCCATTGTCCCAAAGAAGTTGGATGTTTTTCTCAAACTTCGGTATGGGACATACATGTATGGCACCCTGCCGGTATCCCGGCTGGAAAAATATTCTAGTATGAAATTCATTGTTGGGGAGAAACGAGAAAGAAATTGGTTTTTCCCCCTCTACTCCCATACAAATTCTATCTCTCTGACGTCGTAAATCCGGCCTGGTCTGGGCAAGTTAATGACGTCATCATGATGTCACCAGGTTTAGTGCAAAGTTCAAGCTGGTATAACTCGGGAACGGCTCAGGCTGCTCCGTTCAACTGGGACCTTCACCTTTGGAAGTTTCCATTGCACTTCCCCTGTGGAAGTGCAACTATAGTGAAACGTAAGTATATAAATAAAAACGATGAGGCGGATGAATGTGTTGATCGTAAGAAGTCAGCTGTGTATCTACACTTGTTATCTCGTCCTGACTGTCTTGGTGTGTATGATGACTCTCATTTTTCTGTACTGTGTCGTGCGCGTTATGTCCAACAGTTGAAAGTCCTTGAGGCAGTTTGTATACGGATTCATAAGCCTGTTTTGTGGAAGCAGAAAGAGCACGTTGTTGCACTGAAGTTGTATTCGTAGGTTGACACTTCGTTCAGTGCCTCCTCGCCTTTGGTTATGTAATCTTGTTACCTTTTTTGTGTTTCCTCAAATAAATAAAAATAAATAAATAAAAATAAATAAAAATGAACGAGAGAGCTTGGAAGCTCAGGGCCCTACGCTATGCTTTTTTGCCTTGATGACCTAGACAAAAAAAGCATAGGGATGTTATAAATACTTTACAAAATTCCTTTTTTTTAAGACATAACCTGGGATTCGAACCCGCACTATCGCCTGCCCTGCCTGCATCCCCCGATACACTTCGCATACATACTAATTCTTCCAAGTTGCTTCACGTTATCATCTTGCATTTGAAAGCTCTATTTGAATATGCATTGTGGCCAGCCGTCTTTGATTGCACGGTACGGTACAGGATAGGTACGGGACAGGTACGATCGAGGGTAATACGACACCGTCTACCGCCTTGATGACGGCAAAAAAAGCATAAGGATGTTAACAAATTTCAATTCTCCTATTTTTTATGGCATATCCTGGGATTCGAATCCGCAATAACACCCTACATGCATTCCCCCATACACTTCGCATTCATACCCATTCTTCCAAGTTGCTTCACAATATGATCTTGCGTTTGAAAGCCCTATTTGAATATTGCGGCCAGCTGTATGTGGCCAGCTGTGTTTGACGGTACAGTACGGAACGGGACAGATACGGGATAGCGCCAGGCGTGACACAAACACACAAACAAACACACAAATACCAAATTAAAGCTGTGTGGACCCTGGCTAGCGCCAGACGTTACTGAAGTAACGTCTTCTGCATAGCTACGGGAATAAGTAGAACTCCCCTTATCCGGACGCCCTAATCCGGCCGGGCACATCCGTCGACCGGTCACCTTTCTGACCTCATTCCCGAGTCACAAAAGTTGGCTTTTCAACGAAAAATGGCCCCTCAAACCATTGACTGGTGCAAAATAAGTTTACTGCATGCAAAAGTATTGTTGTGACATGGGAAGCCGGTCGCAAGTCTAGCGGCCCCAGGGCGCTGGCTAAGCAGCCGTGGGTAAGCAGTACACCACATTATGCGCTGCAGCGCGCTGGTCACATCGGATCAACATGACTGTGCACAGCACGCAGCGTTCTGTACGCGCTGAGGGCGACGGCCCAGGTCATTCGACTGGATTTCCATGTCCACGACAGTACCGGTATGTAGGTTCCGAGTAACGTGAAATTCCTTGTTACGGCTCAGGTTCAGTCCCAACCTGCCCGGATCTGGGCAGTTTTCCGGTACATGCCTACAGGCTAGCAGGCGGTGTGTCAAGTACGTGTACTGGTCCCCTGCTCATAGCGGTGCGCATTGTGGCGTTATCCGAAGTGCATGTGTATGTACACGTGTTCTCACCTGCAATTCCTTACAGTAGAGTTGCGCGCTAACGAACATGAAGCCCAAGAACCTCCAGCCTGAAATACTAAGAACGCCACAGCCTAAAGTTAAGCAGCTTGTGGGATAGAATGATATGATTCAGAACTGGCTAAGAACGTGCTCTGGGAACTCAGCCAGATTGCTGAAAGATAAGAACTGAGACGTCCCGGGCTAATCCCTAGCTTGGAAACAACGTTCTTGGGCGTGCGACTCTACTGCGCTGTATGACAGTTGTGCACTCTCCACGTGTGTATCTACCTTCCCACAGGCACTAAACGAAGCCGTGCAGAACATCTTTGCGAGCGAACCAGGGGATTGGATGCTGGATATGACGCCCAACTGTGCGTCTTCCCAAAGCATCCGGCGGGTAAGTTGTTTGTCGCCTTTAAATTACTAAGCAGATTTGTGTCGTTCTAGACCATGATTATGTCCATGCTATAATGTTGCTACAGCACTATGGGTTGCCGAAGAACTAGGAGGGGGGGGGGGGGGGTCAGCCTCCTAGCCAAGACCGTTCTTATTTGCATGCACTACAGTCTAAGCACCGTCAAGCCACCGGGTATACATCGGTATGCTGTGTGTGGGGAAACCCACGGCTGGTCGATCGTCGGCGCCCTACTGCAGCCTACAGTACTGTATCGTGGTATGGCATGCTGGTGTGGATGAGCGCAGCCCCCACCACCTTGGCCCGCCTCACTACCATCCAGCATGCCCATATGCACATAACGACTATGAATGACATGTATCAGCCATCCTACACATATACGGCCGTGCACCCCCCCCCCCCCCCCCCCCCCTCCCAAGAGCCCAGTGCATGATTGCCAACACATTTTAATCTCGGTTAAGTTAACGAGTAGGGAAGTAATCAGGGGCGTCGGACACAGTATGGTCACTAGGGTATTGACTGCATCCCGTTTTCTCTCAGGCACCCGTGAATCAAAAAAATACACTGATCTGGGCTCTAACTTTCCAAAATGTTCGCATCAGCAACCCCTCCCCAACTAGTAAATTAGGGGTGAAACGATCACGTGTAGTTCGAATATTCGAGTATTCGTTCGAAAATTTCAAACGAGCGAGTATTCGAAATTTTGCACTCGATCGTTTTTTTTTGTTTTTTTTATTTTTTAGTATTGGCATTGTATTTTTCAAAAACTTTTGTTGTACCGCTGGTCCACTGGTACCATGGTATGCATGCATTATGCATGGCTTTGAGTCAGTATTTTAAGACTTGGACGATGCGATCACCACGGCAAGTAACGTTCTGAGATATGAAAGTACTGATGAAAATCGTTACTTTACACTCTGTACAAGACGTTGGCGAATTTTGTTCTATGTTCACAGATAATTTCTTTCGAGTTGGTCGAGAACTCGCAAATCTAGTGCTTTTGAATTTTGATAAAATACTCGAAATAATCGGATACTCGATCGAATATTATGAACGAGTGATTGATTGGTCAAAATAGATACTCGTTTCACCCCTAGAGTAAATTGTACTTCGGATGGCTGACCGTACCACACGAAAATACCTTCCGACGTCCCTGGTAATGTTGCTGCAATAGTAACTCGGTGATTAGGGACTGTTGATTCTGTCAAAGTTTGATCTCGGTTCGGTTGAGTTAACGTGTAACGGATTATTGTTGATGCAACCGTAACTCAATGATTAGGGACTGCTGATTCTGGAGCTCCTCTCTTGTTTGCTGCAGTCGATACAACTTGATCCGACAGAGGAGTTCTTCGGAATCATCCACGCCCACAGGAGTCGGGAGTACAGAAGTCGTGCCAGTATGATGAACGACGTGCGCCGTGTATTCGCACGATGTCAACAGTCGTGGCCATGCTCCTTGGACGTGCAGCTTGATGACTGGCAGACAGTAGCTGAACAGGTGAGAAAGTTTACCAGGTGCTCTTCGCTGCCGTTGTTGCCGCATTCCTTCTGGGGTTTCATGTTTCTATGTCGGCTCGTTCTGAAAATTGTCTGACCCGATTTGTTCTTCTGTGTCCTTTTCAGTATTTCTCAATCTCTCACCATCGTGTCACTAGTGAGGTTTTGCATTCCGAATTTCGGTTCGGCATCCTTCGGTCATTAATCGAACATTAAATGTCGAATTTTCGCACAAACGTTTGTTTTGCAAGTCGAACAACATGTGTTTTCATTCGTGAGCTCCAGCATCAGCAACGTCCCGTGCTCCTTTTCTGCTGATCACAACGAACCATTGATCGCCCACAGAGCCGAGGGCCAAATCTGCCTCGTCAGTTGCCTCAGAAGAACCGACCCCATGGCCAAGTCAATTTTTATTCGTATCGCCTTGTCTTTTCAGCCACACAGATGATGTTGAGGACACTCCAAGAGACAGGGAGTAGACAGGCAATGGAGAAGAGCAATCAGAGATAGCTGACGATGCTGATGCCGCCGAAGACGCCTGCGAAGCCCTTCTACATGAAAATTCTTGCGAAAAAAACTTTCGGCAAAGTGAGATTTTTCCGACCAAACGTGCCGGATCTTCGAGCGCATTTTCGACCTCGCTTCCGTGTGCCGAATCTTTTGCTGAATTTCGGAATGCTTCACTAGGCTCTTTCGCTCCGTCTAACTCTCCCTGTTCTCTCTAATGTGTGCGTGTGTGTGTGTGTATGTGTCTTCTTCGTTGACCATCAGTGCAACGAAGACTCAGTTTGTAGTTGTTGGCCCCGGCATCACGCTTACTGACCGCGCTCCCCTCCAACTTGGTCAAGCGGAGGTGGAATGCGTACCGCATTTCAAATACCTCGGTTCTGTAGTGGACAGCGGTTGCCGTTCGTCTCGGGACATCGCCGCAAGGATTGCCCAAGCTTCCAGGGCCTGCGGTGCTCTTCGGAGGTCTGTATTCTCCAATCCACATCTGCTGATGCACACTAAGCGGTGCGTATTCAATGCTTGCGTTCTGTCCCTGCTGTTGTATGGCTCTGAGTGCTGGACGCCCCTTCAGCATGACCTGCAGAAGCTCTCAACCTTCAGCATGAGGTGCATCCGATCCATCCTCGGGGTCTCTCGAAGCCGGATGTGGGACGAACACATCACCAATGAAGAGCTACTGGTGCGCTGGGGAGACTCCGAGACGATTAAAGACAAAATTGCACATCGGCGGTTGGAGTGGTTGGGGCATGTGGCGCGGATGCCGGACAACCGCATCCCAAAACAGGTACTGTTTGGCTCCTTCTTGCAGCGTCGCCCAGCACATGGCCCACGCCGCAGATGGAAGGACTGTGCTGTCCGAGATCTACGTGCCCGTGGCGTGGAGGCATCATGGTATGATGTTGCATGTGAGTCTCGCGCGGAGTGGCGCAGCACCTACCAAGAGCCTGACAATGTGCCTGAGCCTCCGCCCCGAGTGGTATGTACGGTATGCGGACGGGATTTTGCACGGAAAGGAGACATGGCTCGGCATAAGTGTCTGGAGGAGCGTGCGCGGCCTGTGTCTGAGCAGCGGGGCGCCAGTCAGTGCGGGCGGTGTGGGCGGTGGCTGAGGAGCCGCGGTGGCTTGGTCCGGCATGTGTGTGCCTCAACGGTGGATGCCGCAGTGCCACCTGGAACTACCGGAGCGTCGGCACCGGCGGAGGGATGTTGTGCCGCGCATTGTGACAGGTGTGGTCGCTGCTTTCGCGGTGTCCGGGGACGGGGAAGGCATCGCTGTTCAAGGGTGGCTCATAGACCAACAGCAGCGGAGCGCTCAGCCTTCCAGCACGTGTGCATATGCGGCAAGCGGATGCGACTACCCGTGCACCTGGAGCGTCATCGAGCGTCGTGTCCTCTCTCTCTCTCTTCTCAAGTTTCCCAGTGATGGGATCACGTGACCCTTTTGCGGCAGTGACTCTACAGGACAGGACAGGACAGGTGTATGTGTGTGTGTGTGTGTGCGTCCGTGCGTCCGTGCGTATATGTTTATTTCCCCTTAACAGTTATGACTTCTTGTCTGTCTGTGTGTGTGTGTGTCTACTGCAGGTCATGATCTTGTCTCACTATCAGGGGGCCAGTGCAGCACAGGAAGCATTTGTTGGGCACTTGGAGAAACACTGCCCACAGCTCTGCCACCTGTACGAGCCAGTGCGGTTCTAACAGACAAATTGCTGGTGTTCAACAGTTGTTCTAACAGATAGGACGCCGGTAGCCTTGAATGTTGACAATGTGGTATGCGTGCAGTTCGGAAAAGGAGCAGAATTTAAAGGGAGCAGTAGCAGTAGCAGCAGCTGCGGGTGTGTCCTTGGGATTGGTGTGCCGTGCATGCCATGTACAGATATGAGTGAAGCGTATCACGCCCCCACTTATCAGGGCTACACAAACGCGCGGCATCTGAGAGAGTCACACAAACAGACTGGATGCGTTGTGGTGGGGACCTATGCACGTGAAGTGAGCTCTGACATCTACAACCATTCTCTTTGGCACTTTCCCGGTTTGCTCTATGACTCAGTATGAGCTAGACCATAGATTTCATTTAGAAAGTACTGCATGCAGTGTCATGTATTCCAATTTGCCCTTTGATTTGATTTTATTCATTTTTAAACTATGCCACCGATTAGCAGCTGCATCTGCGCCTTGATCCAAGAGGGTGGTGGCACGCTCCTGCGGATGCGGAAAGCTGAACCGTGAATTATTTTAATTTTACACTATGCACTATTAACAGTTCAATCAGATATTCTGCAGAGATAATCCTTTTTTTCTTTTTTTTAAACGAATAACGTCTGTTTTGAGTATTCATATGTCTGAAGGTGTGTCTCAAGACACACCTTCTTCAGTGTGTGGCTTCTGTTATTGGATAATCCTCAGGAAACTTACATCGTAGGAACACCACAACCCACAGGCATGGGGGGGGGGGGACACTACAAAAAAGTACCTTAAGGCCAAGTAAAAAAAAAAGCTAGATGATCGTCCCCGTCCGCCCCAGTTTTTGTCAGCGCCCCAAGAAATATTTTATTTTTTAAATCGTGAGTTTTTGCCGAAATCGTTGGTTTTTTACCGATCGCGGATGCAGGAAACATGTGCACGCTTTGTTTAATACTTTCTTTACTATATGGACCACATACTACTAGTATATCACAACGTCAGTATCGATCTGCTGAAGAAAGAAAAAGAAAAAAAGAAAAAAAGAGAAAAAAAACTTTGATGTTGTTGTGTACACTGTGTGCATGAGAGGGTAAAAAGTAAAAAAATAAAAATAAAATCCTCCCGCCCTCCCCGATTTTTCCAAAAAAAAGGACGATCATCTAGTAATTTTTTTTACTCGGCCTAATCCCCGAGTATAAGTCGCACCTTTTTACACCAAAATTCAAGTGCAAAGAAGGGGGTGCAACATACAATCAAGCATGACATCATACATATTACTAGAGAGGCTGTACACAACAAAAATTCGTAAGATTTCGACCGTCCTGGTTCGAGTACCGAAAGTTGCTACGAAGATCCTTCCAAACGCGACTGAAACAGAGCAGGTCTACGAAAATATTTTTCGTAACTTGGAGTACTAAAATACAACTCTCTTGACTCTCCTCCCCACCCGAGCGCACCGTGTCGACGTACTACGAAATAGTTCACACGTTGTGCGCAACCTCACGATTTACGAATATTTGTTAGCTTTTTTCGTTGAAAATATTCGTTACGGCACTACGAATTTTCGTTCTGCGCAACCTCTCTAATGTGAATGTACCGTATAAGTACAAATTTTCGTTCACGAAATCTTTCGCTGGTTAGATCACTTCACCAACAGGCCTGTTACATACTGAATTTCGTTTTTAGTCGAGGTCCGTCACCTCGAACGTTCAGAAAAAAATCTTTAGTTTGGTACAAACTTTAGTGCCCCCTAACGAATACAGCGAAGGTTAATTCCAAACGAAAATTTGTAACTGTACAGTATACATAAACCTTATAGCTTAGACCTGACAACTGGGGTGTGACTTATAATCGGGGAGTAATGGTACGGATAAGTCATTGCTCAGGTTCTCCGATAACCGGCATTCTTTCTTTCAATTCAGAACTGTGGATGAGGATGATAGCAAGCATCCCACTGGTCCTTCCCATTTCGACATTGCCATGCGAACGCATTCATCTGCGGTTATTTGCTTCTTCGCAGTCCACAACGACGGTTTACTGGACACTCAGTTTCTAGGAGTTATTGGTGATAAGTAGTAAATCAACATCCTACTCTCCAATAGCCTCGGAGTCGGTCGCTTGTTGCTGCTCTCGGCGTTACTAAAACAGATTAAACAGATGAAAAAAAGTTGAAATGATTTTTGTCACGAAATGAAGAGAGTAATAAAATAGATATACTTTGATGATGTCACTTGCAGAAGCATGTGCACACTGTACATAAGTGAGAACACACGTTCACACGCTCACTCACTCACAGACACAGACACACACACACACGTACGCGCGCACACAAATCTAAGGTAGACCGCACACAGTGTAGTAATGTTTTCACTGCCGTCGTTTCTCCTCCTTCTCCAGCTCCATAGCAATCTTGGTGTTGATCTTCTCCCAATCGATCTCCATCTGAAGAGGAAGGAGAGAGAGAGAGAAAGAGCAAGAGAGAGAGCGAGAGAGAGAGAGAGAGAGAGAGAGAGAGAGAGAGAGAGAGAGAGCGAGAGAGGGCGAGAGAGGGAGGGAGAGAGAGCGAGAGAGGGAGGGAGAGAGAGCGAGAGAGGGAGGGAGAGAGAGAGAGAGAGAGAGAGAGAGAGAGAGAGAGAGAGAGAGAGAGAGAGAGAGAGAGAGAGAGAGAGAGAGAGAGAGAGAGAAGAGACGATAGTGTTTTTCTTTTCAAAGTACAGTAGAATGCTTCTTTTCCAAAATAATGATTACCTTGAACGACCGGTCACATTGAATTGAATTGAATATGGGGAAGACTAATTTATGTTACCGTGAAAATCTTAGAAAGTGGAGAATACTAAGTACTATCATTACAATTGCAGGCTGCGGGACCAGTACCTACCCCCTGGCCATACTGCAGGAAGCGTTTGTTGGTTTCCTTGCGACCAAAAGTCTGCAGGTGCTTTTGACGGTGAGCCACGACGGTGTCGACGTGCGTCTTGTGTTTCGTTGCCAAGTCCAGAGCCCTGGGTGAATGGTACACGTACATACACACACATTATGCATTCGCGCACACCATGTGCCATGTATTCGCCCGTCGCAAGAGAAGCACGCCAATCTGCAAATGCACTGGATGTGCACCCACAGATTTTCTTTTCATAGCAATGGTAGCAGATCTGATTCTGATTAAAATAGATCAAGACTAGCGCCAGATAACTGTCCAATCCACACAACTGGCAAAGTCATGTGAATCGACCCTCAATGCACACCTGGTCCACACCGCACAGAGTACAGTCAAATTCGCTAATATTGACTGCGGATATAACGACAAATCGCGAATAACGACAGAATTTTCATGTCCAGAGCAAAGTCCGGTCAAACTGTAATACATATTATTGAGACTTCAAGTATAAGGACACTTCGCGAATAAGGACACTTTTCGGATGCCCCGCCGAGTGTCATTATCCGCAAAGTTGACTGTACACTGGAATAGGACGGCCAAGACAGTTGCTTATGCACACACACCTTGCGCTTGCTGGGGTAACCAGTATAGACAGCACGCAGCCGCACGCACGCACCCACCCATCCTCTCTTTTCGATTTTAATACTTGGCTCTCCATCCGAGTCCAAACTGAATGCAAACAGTACTAGTGCTTAGCCACACGGAACTCTCTCTCACACGCACGCACGCACGCACACACACAACTGTAACTCACTGGTCCCAGTGGCAGAGGCGAATACGCATGTCAATAGCGCGGTACACTAATCCAGCCTGCAGGAAGATAGCCTCGGCCTGCTGCTGTTGATGGCACAGCAGTGCCAGCTCTCCGTTCTGTCCCTCGATGGACGGGATGCTGCGAATCTTCTCCAGGTACGTGACTTTGGATGCCTGCACAATTAAACAGTGACACATCATACCACATAGTTTACAGGCTCACTTCTGCCGGACACACCATGGTTACTATGGTAACACCACGATAACAAGAGTAGTCACTATGGCGATACTACAGGCGGTGCACTAGCACTCCGGTTACTATGGCGATGCTATGGTCGCTACGGTAAAGACACACAGAAACAATCTTTCACAAACACACAAACACACACGCAAACACACACACGCGCGCGCGCGTGCGGACACCGACACACACACACACACACACACACACACACACACACACACACACACGCACACGCACACGCACACACGCACACGCACACACACACACACACACACACACACACACACACACACACACACACACGTGAACGCACACACACAAGGGAGAATCTCTAGACACCAGACAAGATCATATCACTTAAAATGCCCCTGTGCCGCACGCTTACATTGCTTAGCGCGGCATACGCTGCAATCGCCGTGCTGACGTCTCTGTTCTGCAGGCTCATAGCCGCCAGGCACGCCCAGAGGTGCTTGCGATCGACGAAGCGACACAGCCGTTGACAATCCTCCCACTTGCCGCTCTGCGCGTACATGTGTACGTAGGATGGGTATGGATCAATGCTGTGCACGGAGGGGTGAGATGCAGAAACACAATGCACACCAAATGTATCAAATTGAGATTGGCATGCCTCAATTATTTCTTGCATCGTATTTTCCTTAGTATAAGCCGCATTGCAGGATAAGCCGCTCACATTTTTTCATCAAATACAGACATCTACCCTGTACTTCATCTACCCTGTACTTCATCTACCCTGTACTTCATCTACCCTGTACTTCACAGCTCTTTTGACCATGGTAGTAGAAGCCGCACCACCGACTTTTGTTTTGGGTGAATTACAAATGTTTAAAGTGCGGCTTCCACTCCGGAGAATATAGTACCTGATACAAAAGAGAAAGACCAAGGAACTACAAGTTACGCTATACTGTCCACTAACACCACCAGTTACTAAGCAATCAGCTCATGCGATAACATTGCACGACGCTGACCGACGGTGCGGACGTTCTACAACTAACTGGCCAACAGCTCTAGCACATCTTGGATGCGCACTCCAACAGCCTTCCAACTTGGAAGGTTCTAAGTTTTAGAAATAACAATCGCCATCTGAGTCCATTCCTGTATACAATCATTATCCGTTATTGAGAGTCTCGCTGGATAGGTAGACGAGGAGGCCGAATTGCCTGTGTATCTGGTGAAGTAAAAAAAACCCAGACAAACACACCTACGGAGAAGCTCTGTCTCATCATCCCGCACTGCTAGAATTACCCGTTCTCAGGAATTGCTCGGCCTGGTACTGCCCCATGCCAGATTGTATTTTGGCTATCACTCTGTATCTTATCTTGGAGCTGACCGATGGAACGCCCTCCCTGCCGCGATTCGCACCATATCCCTACCTGCTGCATTTCGCTCCGCTATCTTCACGTGGCTAGGGCACCCTGTAAGAAGAACATAGATCTGAGGGGACTGCCCTAGTAAAATATGAATAAATAAATAAAAATAATAATAATAATAATAAGTTCAAGGCGTGTGTTGGGTTTTGAACGATTTGCGAATGGCAACCAACTACTTGACTTTGGTTGCTTGTGGTGTGCAAGCAGTGGTGGCCGAGTGGTTAAGGCGATTGACTAGAAATCAATTGGGCTCTGCCCGCACAGGTTCGAATCCTGTTCACTGCGACTGTCATCATTTTTTTCTTCCTTTTCCGCCCTAAGCGCACACACGTACCCGAGTCTCAGGCTGCGTTTACACGACAACGCTGGGGGTGAAAACGCAACAAAATCCTTTCGGATGCATGGTTCATTTACACGGTACGAAGAGCAAAACATAAAAGTTGTACACCAAAACGGAAGAAAACCAAAACGCTGGCCAAGGTGGAAGAATTTGAAAACGGAAATGTTCTGCCGGATAAATTTGAGTGCGTAAACAGTCGAAACGGTATGCTGGCCTCGTTTTCCGTCACGTTTGTTTCGTTTTCGGCCGTTTACACGGATCCGGCAATCCAAAAAATTGTTTTTACAATTTTCGTCATGTGACAAGTGTTGTTTTGTGGCCTGTTTTCAACTATTCCTTGAGTGTGATTGGTGCTTCCACAACAACGAATGCACATGACGAACTTTAGCGGATCCTTTGCTCCCGTGTAGACACGCGAAAACGATACAAACGGAGACCACCTCGGATCAGCTTTGATCATGTAAACGCACGAAAACGAAAGAAGAAACGCGGGACTGAAAACAGAAAGCTGGCCGCGCCTTGTCGTGTAAACGCAGCCTCAGCCAATGCAATTCTCTGAGATTGTAGCACTGGCATTCAATGGCGAGTGGTAAGGAGATACATGTACAGTCAGCTTTGCTTATAACTAGGGCTGAAACGATTATACCGAATAATCGAGTACTCGTTTGATAACTCTAACGATCGAGCAATCGTTTAGATTACCGATTACGATTAATTTGCGTTTTTTAAATTTGTGTCCAGAAAGTACGGTAAAACCTCGTTTTGTGAAGTTTGAATCAGTTTCCGCTGGGAGTATGCAGTTGCCAGGGGTATGGTTTATGTTCTGGGGTTAAATTGACTTCAAAACTGCCATGCTTCGGAGCTACCCTTTCACTAATGCAGATTTGTTGGTATTGTGAAGGCATAGTTTGTGGAAACAGAGTAATGTTTGCACAGAATTATGACTCTATTTGCTAACGATTATAATCGATTACTCGATCGTTAAGCTAAAGAGTAATCGATATGTGAAAATCCATGATCGTTTCAGCCTTACTTATAACGACACTTGGCAGGGCATCAGAAAAGTGTCCTTATTCGCGAAGTGTCGTTATACCCCCAAAGTCTCATTATATTTATGTACCGGTATACAGGTAGAATGGACTTTGTCTGGGCATAAAAATTCTGTCATTATTCGCAAATTGCCGTTATACCTAGTGTTGAAACGATCTCACCGGATACTCGTTAGCTCGCTCGCCAGAAACTCGGCTCGTTCGTGCCGCCAGCTCGTTTGCACTAACGAACACCGTACACCGTACTCCGTACACATGGCAGTACATGTCGACCGGGGAGTCGTAAAATATTTCACGACTCCCTGGTCGATCGAGAGTCCAGTCCCGCGCAAAGTGAAAATCACTCGCAGTTACAGGTGACTGTATGCCTGCACGACACTTGAGTTGTTTCAGTTGTCGTTGCAGCTTTGGTGGACTCTACTGATGTCTTGTTCCGCATCTGCTGACCTGTCGCAGGATATGCTTCGGTCACCTCTCCATTCGAGTGAAAGTTACGCTCAGTCGTTTGGAAGTTTTCTCCCGCGATGCAGCGAAGACCAGGGCTACTTGCAATCTTTGCAAAACGGTCTATTCTTACAAAGGCTAATCGACGACGGCGCTGAAAAGACATCTCGACACCAAACAGCAGTCCGAAGTGAAGCAGCAGCAACCCCAAATGCCGGCGGTGATAATTTGAACCAGCTGAAAAAAATCGAATTTAGAAAAAAAATATTCAAAAAAATAATCATATTTGCCACATCAATGAAACTCGTTAGCTCGCTCGATAGCTTGCTCGTTAGTGGAACTGATCGCTCGTTTGTTATAGATACGCTCGTTTCAACACTAGTTATACCCGCAGTCTTTATTAGCGAAGTTGACTGTATGACGTGTGGTGGAGCCTTGGGACTCGGCCGACCATGAGGGTCTCGGCATTTATTTATTTATTAATGGTCACAGCTCACAAGCAAAGACAAGAAGTTGCATAGTGGGAGCATAGTGATGGTGAGGGTGTCGGCATCACCGCACACAGGACACCCCCCGATATAGAAGTAGAGCAGGGTGAGACAGAGGTAGAGAAAACACAGTTGTGGAGAACAGAGACATAAAACCGAGCCTGAACGATTGAGCACCTGCACACTCGCGCCTGCCCACACACGCGCCCGCACGTATGCACACGCACACACGCACGCACGCACACACACACACACACACGCGCGCACACACACACACTCTCTCTCTCTCTTTCTCTCTCTTGCCCCCCCCCCCCACACACGCGCACACACACACACTCTCTCTCTCTCTCTTTCTCTCTCTTGCCCCCTCCCCCTCCCCCCCCCCACACACACAGTCTGTTGAATCGATCAGCAGCACCATAGGGACCATACATATCGTTTTCACACTTCTCATCACTACATTCCGGACAACTCACGATGCCAGGACGATAGCTCCATCGGTACGCCTCAGCGTGGCTCTGTTTCCCGAAAACGCAATGATGGTAGAGTTCCTCGCAACTCTGCAAGTCCACACATCAACACAAAACACCGATGCAGGTATCAGTTAGAGAGCGCTGCCAGCTCATGATGTATATACCCCCAGAGCGCCTCTGGTCGGCGGAGCTTAATGGGCCCCACCGCCACACTCCATCATTCACCCCAGTGTCTGGAGATATGTGGATTTTGTAGAAAAAAAAATCGACCGAATTCCAGGACTCTACTGCGTGGTATTTCACCTCATTCCACAGTGCTACTATGCTGTGCAAGCTGCCCACAGGCCAACTGACGACGCCCTCCGTCAACCAACCATTAACACTCCCTAGCTGCGCAGCCCAGCTAAACACGGTTTAAAAAATCCACGATGGCGAGACGCCAATAAGGAAGATTGATATGTGTGATAGTCTTGATACTAGTCTGAAACAGCTAGATGGGGATTTTTTCAACCTGGGGAGGTAATGAAAAATGGGTCATGAAAATCAGGCGGGGACAATAAGAGGTGTGGTTGAGGAGGAGGAGGGAGAGTAAGAGAGGGACGAGAAGGTAACTTTTGTATTAAGTAAAGAGCATGCCGGTTGATACCAAGAATATATCTACCTACTTGGTCCGCGTCAGCAATATTGTCGCTTATCTTTCGACAATTCGAACTGAGACTTTGGATATCAACACGTGCACTTGAGACAATAAAACTTGGTATGATGGAAGGTAAGGTACAGAATGACAACTGGCCATGAGGAATTTATTGTCCAAGGAAGGGTTCATACTTTTTTGGACCTCCTCATCGCTGCTCTCGGCCCTGGTGACAAATATATTTTGCTCGGGATCGACACTCTTGCTTTCGCAAGCTCATCTCTCTTCCTCTCCGCTGCCAGGCCATTTTCTAAAGGGAAGTCGACCGTGACCGTCGCCTTCTCTATAGGACTTCGCGTGGGCAGCATGACCAGTCTGTGTGGTTCAAATCAGTCGCCGTTCTTTTGCAAGATTTATTTTGAACGACGACGACGGCTACAGTACTTGCAAATCTCCACGACACGCTGGAGGTGAGGGAACTGCGATCTCAGCTTGGCAAGCGATCCCAGAGGTGAGCGATCTCGGTCATTTTGCAAAATGGAACTGATTCCGAGTAGCCGATTACTTTCTTGTGCGTCGCGCTGCTCTTGCCTGCGCAGTGTGACAAGATAATCTATGTTGATGCGGCGCTGTATCGTCGCTATCGAAATCCACTCGAAATCTAGCTAGACCTTTCAGGTACTAGTAAACTAACTTACTAACCAAAATTGGCATGAAATGGGCTGCCAAGTGAGCTTTGGCGACATGAAAACAAAGCTGAAAGATAAGCGACAATATTGCTGACTCGGACCAAGTACTGTATAGCAGGAAATTTTCGGACGGAAATATTTTCGGATAAAGCCGAATTTCGACCTTTCGTTCGGATTTTATTTTCGTACAGTGCTGCATGCTAAATGAACGTGTTCGCAAGCAGTACCCATGTATAGTGTACATACTTTCACATGAACAAATTTTAGTACGGAATTAATTTTAGTACAAAAGAGGCCGTGTACGAAATTGTACGAAAATAAATTCCGTCCGAAAATTTCCTGCTATACAGTACTTGTATTGAGAGACTCCCAATGTACATGCACACAACAACAAAAAACGCCGTTTGTCCCTTACTCATTATTCGGCAGACGTTTTGTGATGGACAGCAGGCTCTGGTCGATGAAGGCACCCGCCGGGTTGCAGTTGAACCAAATAGCACCGTCCTCGATGGTGGCCAGAATGTTGGCCTTGTTGTCCCACATCATCTGTGACACCATGGACGCTATGCAATAGGACATTTAGTAGACACACACACACACACACACACACACACACACACACACACACACACACACACACACACACACACACACGTAAATACATACATACATTTATAAACACGCGCACACAAGTAGATGCGCACACACACACACGCGCGTGCGCACACACACACACACACGTACGCACAAACCCATTTCGAGGAATTCATAGAACTGAGCTAGCCATCGTGTGATGGCACACATTTCAGCCATATAACAGGATTGTCACCAATTAATCCCAACAAACTATGGAGGGTCAACGTGGTTGTCGGCAATCCGTAACGCTACCACGTACTTAAGCGGACATAGAAATCCGTTGAGAAGTCAAGCGGCCATGGGGCGCTGGCCTTGCAGCCGCGAGCACTGCCGGTCCATTCTTACAGTGTGTGTGTGTGTGTGTGTGTGTGTGTGTGTGTGTGTGTGTGTGTGTGTGTGTGTGTGCGTGTGTGTGTGTGAACTACAGTGCATGTACGCGCTCAAAGCAGCAAGGGTGCCGGCCCCGGTAATGACATCGGATTGAAATGTCCACGGCAGTATTTACTGCTTTTAAAGGGGAAGTTAAGGCAAAAATTAAAATTTCACCAGTTGTAGTCTTCGGGGTGCTGAGTCGACTGGTTTTGGTCCGAAAAGGCTGCGATGCAGCGTTCCTCCTTTATTCCCAATCGAACATGGTTGAAGAAGCGGTCACGTGCTCCTGGGTGCCAAAATCACCTGGTCACCACGCCAGCAGGCGACAACTTTCACACCAAGGTTCAACTCGAGTGACAGGACTGCACCCAAAAAAGGTCAAAACAGGCTGTAAGTTGTACCCTGCAGGCACGGTGACCAGCTGACTGGTGTACGCAGGAGCACGTGACCGCTTGTTCAACCATGTTCGATTGGGAATTAGGGGCGAACGCTGCATGGCAGCCTTTTCGGACCGAAACCAGTCGACTCAGCGTCCAAAAGACTACAACATATGGGCCAATCGCGGTCATCCGTGCTTTTATAAGAACGAAATGGCGCTTTTAGTGACATTTTGCATACAAATCCCCATCTCGTAGGGCGCAGTCACCCAGTTTCGGTGGAAGTGCGCGAGTTCGATTGGGATTCAAGTAGGAAGGGAGCGTCTCAGCTTTCTCGGACCAAGACCATTCGACTCAGCACCCCGAAGACTACAACTGGTGAAATTTTAATTTTTGCCTTAACTTCCCCTTTAACATGGGTGCTCAGGCACCTCTAAAGAAGGGATACTATCAATTATTCTATGATAGTGACAATCTTCCTGATGACGATGGCGAGGGACGTCTTTTTTCATTTTCCCCAAACCCACTGCAGTTTACTGACAAAAGCCCTGGTACAAAGCTACCTTAGAGCATTCCATATGTCTCATCACTGCATTGCTGCTTTGTCCGCCAGATGGTGTGTGTGTTTAAAAAAAACAAAAAAAAACAGAAAAAGAGTGATACTAACCGATTTTGATCGCGCTTGCCAGCGCCTGTTGCGCTGGTCGCACGGGGAGCAGATAGACATCCCGGTTCCTGTCCAAGATGGCCAGGTTGCGTGTGGGCGCCGGGCCGCACTGGTCTAGCAAGATGTCACTGATCTCAGTCTGCATGCCAAGCGGCAATACGCAACAGTTACGTCATACATAGAGAGTGAAAGTGGGTTTAGAATTATACACATATGTACAGTAAAGCTGGTGTAAGTGACCGCTGGTTTTAGCGACCACCTGCTCTTAACCACCGTCTTTCCATGCCCGGACAGTTCTACACAGACACTGTGGGACCTGGTTCAAAAGACCACCTGGCTTTAACGACCGCTTTTCCTTGTACCGCGGGGTGGTCGCTTAAACCAGGTTTTACTGTACATGCAGGCACACAATCCCCCCGTCACCACACACACACACACACACACACACACACAAACGTGCACACACACACACACACGCGCGCACGCACGCGCGCCGCACGCGCACACACACAAAAACACACACACACGCGCACACAATCTTACCGGGTGTTTGTACGGATGGCCGTCCATCAGTGGCTTTCCGCTTAGTGCGTCAAAAAGGAACACCGCTGCAGCAGATAGTGAAACAGAAAAGCAAAGAGCAGACAATTATTGGCCACAACTCATATAACAGGCTGCCATTCCTATGTGTATCTCTGTGCGCTTTTGCCGGCGCTTGCACCATGATGGTTTGTGGTTATCTTGTAAAAAAAATAAAAATAGAAAACCCCAACAGATCTCAAGAATAAGACCTAATATCTCCAAGCTAACATCTGTATATAGCAATATCGGCTAACCCTCATCGACAGAGGGAAAGAGAACCCAATCGAACACAACACCAGCAGTGCGTGCAGTGTGACGCATTCGTTGACAAGATTAACTGCTGCTGAGGCCAAACATACATGTATGCCCCTATAATGGCAGCAGCAGTTGATCTTGGGCACAAGAACAATGCTTCAGAAACGGAGATTTTGAGCTGAGAGTAATCAACAGGTCTAGGGGAAGCTTCAGGCAAAATTTAAGTGTTTTTAAATATACACTACAGTAAAAGCTGGTTTAAGCGACCACCCCACGGTGCAAGGAAAAGCGGTCGTTAAAGCCAGGTGGTCTTTAGAACCAGGTCCCACAGTGTCTGTGTAGAACTGTCCGTGCATGGAAAAACGGCCGTTAAGAGCAGGTGGTCGCTAAAACGAGAGGTCGCTTACACCAGGTCTTACTTTACATAGTAGCTAAACAGCACAATGAGAAATTGCTGACAAGCTGACAAGCTAAAGGGGTCTTCAAGGAAGCGGGCGGGTGATGACTGAATCAGTTCTCAGTCTAAACTGGAACATTGCCGAGTCACCTGGATCAGCGATACGTTGACTCACCTTGCTCGTTCTTCCTGTCTCTCAGTGCCACAGTGTCACAACTAATACTGACTGTCTGCTCTGTGAGTAGCTCACATTGAACACCTTGTGTGCGGAGAGTAGCAAGGACACGACCCTAGACATGGTAATGACGGCAAGGAGAAGCGAAAGAGAGAGAGAGAGAAAGAAAGAGAGAGAGAGTCAGTATGCTGGACAACACGGCAGTTGGAGTGAACAATGCAGACTGGGCGCTCCGTCCGCATGCCTGCAGGCTGCCAGTGTGTACCTGGTGTTCTCCCTTGAAGTACAAAGAAATCACTCTATGTGTATGCTCCCGATCGGGTCACAAGTCACCCAGTGTTCTTTTTCAAATAAGTTCAAGTACCCCCCCCCCCCCATCATTGACCTGGCTGACCCTGCCCCGGAGCAAACAGTGGATATAACACACACGCACGCACGCACGTGCGCGCACGCGCGCACACACACACACACACACTACAGAGCTGGCAACTGAAATCCAAGCCCGGATTTTCGTGCCCGAGTGCAGCACCGATTCTAGCGATCTCTATTTCATAGTGTTACAATCCCATGCTGGGTCTTAGCAATGTGAGCGCACCGCAGCAGGGGTTGGATTTCAGATGCCAGCAGTAGACATGCTGCATGTGTGTTATGTAGTCATGACAGACACGTGATCTTACATCGTATGAGTAGACTTGCATGCCGGCCCCACTGATCAAGAGGAAGTGACGTTCGGTCTGTTTGATGATTGACACGGCGACGTCCTTCAGTTCAAACATTGCGGGTGTGTTCCAGTTCTTGGAGCTGAGAGCAAAACATGAGGACGAACAGACAGACGGACAGACAGATGTAGCATTCATACTCTCAAGGTTCTCAAGGCACACATCTACGGATTGTGAGTTAGTTGTCCACTCACTCACACGAAGGAGAAGAAGACAAGGGCAGTGCGAGTATGCACACAGCTTACCATTAATCCATACAGTGTGATTTTATGCGTAAACTTATTTAAGAAAAAATTCATCCTTGGCTCTCCATCCGAGTTTTATCTGTATACTCATTACGTGTGATAAAGTACCCATACTACACAGACGTGCAAACACAATCATGGGCGTGCAAGACACCATAGAAAGACAAGTTTGATCCAACCGACAACAAGCTCACACAACTCAGTTTGGGATATTTACAGGATACAGGAACAATATGATACAGGTGAAACAAGAGAGAAAGAAAGCTATCCGTCCATCACGGAAGGAACAACAACTAACTAGAAAAGGAAAATATCGAAGAAACAAGTAGCGCAAGCGAAAGCCAAAACGCTCTCCTCAGCAGAACGTGCACATACACGTGCGCCTACAAAGCACCCACAGCAGCGCAAACGACGCCAACGTACTACACTAATCTACACTAATTTACATGCATCAAATAAGGAATCCAAAAGCAACCGAAAAAGTAGCCAGCTCTGCAGAAGGATCCGCGACTGAGTACAGTCCGCGTAGCCATGGGACCTCATGACGTCAACCAAACAAAAGACACAGAAAAGACGTGTCAAATAAACAATAAATAAACCAAACGCAGATTCAAACAGCAAACCAGTAAGCTAACGATAAACTAGTAACACTGAGACAATTCGACTGTCACAAACTGTACAACAAAATCACATGCAAGAAGTCCTTTCACTTTGTCCACCGCTCGTTGCGTGACATCACTCCCCACCAAAGGACTTCCTGGGGATCACAATCCTAAACAAACGAATGCACGAACACCACAATCGACTCTGGTATTCCGGACCTCACAATGAATACGACTGCGTGCCAAACACCGCTGATCATCGTCGCTGTACTCTTCCCTGAGCATGTTACCCAGGCGCTGCATCCTGCGACTGACATTCCATCTTTTCATCAACTTGATGGCTTCCGGCACATCACTTTCTGGTGGTCGTTGGTTACCCTTCCTCCGTGCAACAACTAGGCACTGCGTTTCAAACCGCTTCGCTGGGTTCTCACGCGTATTGTTCGCTACACGTGGTGGCTCCTCCATCTGCCACCGCCGTTCCATTTTCGCCTCGATACAGGCCACCGACACAGTGCATCCGGCTTTTGTGTCCAATGCGCTGTTACCATTGACGACCTTCATTTCTGTCTCCACCTCAGCCGTATCCATGGCTGACACTCCAAAGCACTGTCCACTGTGCTGGGTTGTTGGAGCGACCGACTGATTCTCCACTGACGCTCGTCGTCCACGCGCCTCGTGGTCAAACACAACCATTGTTTCCTTGTACATTGGAAACGTAATCCTGGTATTTGTACTTGGGACTGTCATTACCCCCACAGCACTACTGTCCACTAGTCCACAAGTAGACGCAGCCTCCGCCGCAGAGCGCTCCCCTCGCAACTCCGCTTCGGCCGCTCGGAACGCATGCCCCCGTTGAGCACGCGCCTCCTCCCATTGGATAGCCTGCTCCCGTCGAGCGTTGACCTCCTTCACCTTTCTTTCCACGTACTGCGCGAGTCGGCTCCCCTCGAAACCCAGGGCCTTACCAACTCGCAGCAACCGCTCCTCCAACAGCAGTCCCCCCGCGGACTCTGCCGAGTATCCTGCGCCCTCACTGGCTCTCTCCTCGAGCATCGTGGCCACTTCCTGTCAGCGCCACTGGATCCAAACAGCGTATCTATCCTGGCGTGATCGCCATAATTTGATCCAACCGACAACAAGCTCACACAACTCAGTTTGGGATATTTACAGGATACAGGAACAATATGATACAGGTGAAACAAGAGAGAAAGAAAGCTATCCGTCCATCACGGAAGGAACAACAACTAACTAGAAAAGGAAAATATCGAAGAAACAAGTAGCGCAAGCGAAAGCCAAAACGCTCTCCTCAGCAGAACGTGCACATACACGTGCGCCTACAAAGCACCCACAGCAGCGCAAACGACGCCAACGTACTACACTAATCTACACTAATTTACATGCATCAAATAAGGAATCCAAAAGCAACCGAAAAAGTAGCCAGCTCTGCAGAAGGATCCGCGACTGAGTACAGTCCGCGTAGCCATGGGACCTCATGACGTCAACCAAACAAAAGACACAGAAAAGACGTGTCAAATAAACAATAAATAAACCAAACGCAGATTCAAACAGCAAACCAGTAAGCTAACGATAAACTAGTAACACTGAGACAATTCGACTGTCACAAACTGTACAACAAAATCACATGCAAGAAGTCCTTTCACTTTGTCCACCGCTCGTTGCGTGACAACAAGTGACTTCATAGCTAGATCAATGACATAATTGAAAGATGAATGACATCATAGCTAGATGAATGACATCATAGAATGGTGAATGGCAGCGCGGTTGGAGTACTATTAGCGCCACTAACTTACTTGTAAATGACAACATTGGGTGTTGAAGTCACAACGACGAGATGATTCCAGCCGACGCTGACTCGTGCTATGTTGGCATTCAACTCTGTGTAGACAGAACACGAACGCCGAACTCCAAATTCACCACTCACATCTCACACCCCAGAAACTCCCAACTCCCAACACACGATCTGCAAAATCCCAACGGCCACCTCACGTCCCACAAGCTCGCAACTCACGCCCTGCAACTCAGTACTCACCAACAGTCTCTCGCACATCGTTGCTGGTGTCGTGAATAACGATGGAGCGCTCTGCCGTGACGGTAGCCTCCAAGTGCCGCCACAGGTAACGTCTGCACAGCCAAACAGAACAAAGAAGCAACAACTCTCACAACTAGAAGTAAAAGAAGGATCCATAACATGCGGACGTTGAAAAATTTATAGCCATGCATAAAGTTGAAGCTTGGCATGAAACAAAACTCTTGCAGTTTTTGTTCTTTCGATATCGTCCGTAATAATTCTTTCGACTTTAGTCTTCCTACGTTCATCAATTCTTCACTTCTTCTTTCTCTATATTAGCACTTAACAGTTCTGTATTCAACAAAGCCTCAGTGGGGGCAGCGAACTCTAAATAATTTAAAAACCAAACCCGAGTGGCGTGCTGATTTAGCTGAGCCTGTTGGATGCGACTGGGAAACCACCGCTCATTGCTCGTCAGTCTACCCTCGGTGGTCGGAATGCCGTAGTGTCTTGTATAAAAGCCTGTTTCATCTAGACGCCTGTTTTGAATAGAAACCTGATTTTGAAGATACATGTACGCTGTCAGCACATACGCCTGGTTTTAGTGTTGACATACATAGAGATACGTGGTTTGAATAGAAGCCTGACTTGAATAGAAGCCTAGCACTGACATTGGCCTATACAGGAATACGCCCGGCTGTAACACGCGACATTACGGTATGCATTGATCACAGTTGATTGATGAGTTCAACATTTCCAGTATCGTAACTTGGTCAATTCTCAGTGCCAGATCACTATAATTATCTCCATACATTCCATGTGGGTCAAAGAGAAACTCTCGGCTTTCGTCCGGAACAATCGCCTAAGCAAAAGGAGAAGCGGTTCATGGGTAACGGTGCTCTTTGCTGGCGTCGTTCCAATTTCGCAATCAGCTCACTTTGTTGAAGGAGCTGGCACACAGCTGATGTTCTGACTAATAGCCGGTCAAAAACAGTAGGCCACGGAGAGCAGAGACCGTGAAGGTACCTCTACGTGGGGTCTGCTATGAGTCATAACAATGACGGAGCAACACCGGCGAAGATAACGACAACAGGAGCAGGAGGGAGGTTTAAACAACATTGATACATGTGCCTAGATTTTCTTTGGATTGGACTTTTTCAAATTTCCATTTTGATTTCATCGCCGAGTTTGATCCCTTGTATCTTTTGGTGTTCTTCCTTCTTTCCAGGTTTTTTTTGCCATAGCTGGCTATAATCGCCCTCACCTCCTCCTTGATTGGCCTTTGCCATGAGTGTGTGCGTAATAATAATAGTAATAATGTCGTATTGTTTGATAGAAAAAACCGTTTTAGTACTGTAGGTGTACAGTAGTAGGAGCGGCAGCATGGGGGGGGGGGGGGGCGGCAGCATGGGGGGGGGGGAGCGGCAGCATGGGGGGGGAGCGGCAGCATGGGGGGGGGGAGCGGCAGCATGGGGGGGGGGAGCGGCAGCATGGGGGGGGGAGCGGCAGCATGGGGGGGGGGGGGAGCGGCAGCATGGGGGGGGGGGAGCGGCAGCATGGGGGGGGGGGGGAGCGGCAGCATGGGGGGGGGGGGGGGAGCGGCAGCAGCATAAGCAACAGGAGCGCCAGCAGCAGCAGCATGAGCAACACCAAAGCCAACAGCTCACTCACTTGTCGGTGACTTTTCCGCAGACGACACGCCCGTCCCCAGCTCCACACACGAACCCTGTGCTGTCACGACTCCAGTCTATGCTGTAGATACCACCAGAGTTAGGCTTCTCGAGCGCCTCCGACCACTGCAGGAACGTGACACGAACACAAGAAGGTGGCGCGAGGACACACAAGGACATGAAGGCAACACCGTGACATCAGAACACCTAGAGATACTGATCAATTTGCTACACGTACACAAATCAACCTCTACTCAGCTATTCCCCCCCCCCCCCCCCCCCCTGCGCCTTAAGAGTGTATTACAGTGAGGCCTGTCACGGCGACCACTGGTTTTCCGTTCCTCAGTCGGTTCGTCTCCAAGGGACCAGTCTCCTTCTCTCCCTAGCCGCTTCATCTCCATTAATACAGCAAAGGCCAGTGCTGGAAAATAGGTTTCATTCCGAATTGGTCTCCAGGCGCCCACCACCACCGTGGAAATACTCTATGAGTCGTATATTGAAGTATTCACTGGTTTAAGGGAAAGAGACAAACGAGTGAAGAAACAATTGACTGCCACCACCAGGATTCGAACCAGGGACCCTCGATTGAGGCCAGCGATGCTCTAACCACTGAGCTAAGGTGTAGCTGTCATACCAGCAGAGACCATATAGAAGTATGCTTGTGTGAGAACTAAGAAGTGCAGATTTCTAGCTGCATACCTAGGTCAGTTGTGCGAGTACTCACCCCGGCATTGTTGCACAGACGGATGGTGTCGTAGGAGCCTGCGGCAAAGACTGCACCGTCCGGTGACCAGGCCACTTCCAGAATGGGGTGTTGCTGAAACAGTGCCTTGGTGCTGTACACAGGCCGACCGAAGGAGTCCCACAACTGCAACAGCATAATGCAACAGACACACGCAGTACGAGTTTCTTTCTCTGGATATTGTCAACATCTGTCATGCTTGGACTCTACTTAGAGTATCCTAGCCTGCTGTCCCCATGTTACCCTCACTGATATCAAACAACTTTGGACAATGGTGTGATCTCGGCAGCTTCAGAGCTCCAGAAAGCAAAGTTTTACTCAAGGAATTATCCACAGTGAATTATCCAAACACACTGCAGACGGAGGCCTCGAGCATGTGCGACGGCATGTCAAGCACAGCGATATTAGGTGATTACTGATGACATCAGAGTCCTGCAAGCTGGAATCAAGTGTAGTGAGGCGGGGAGCATGACTAACCCTGATTGTTCTGTCCTCGCTGCCTGAAATGATAGTATTGTTTATGGGGCTCCAGTCCACACACAGTATCGTAGCATCGTGTGCTTTCCACTGGAATGGCATAACAATCAACCAAGTACGCAGAGAGACAGATAGACAGACAGACAGACAGACAAACAGACAGACAAACAGACATGGTTGCAAATTCTTGGAATGACATCGACTCATAGAGTTGGCGCAAGGTGCCAAACCAAATGCACCTTGAGTGGATCATAGATCACGTGCACCAAGACATGTGGGATGACTTGCACAGCTGGCTCAAACATCAATGCCACCTACAACAGGGTCTGTTTAAGCAAGAGAATTCATTCCTGCTGCTGAACTCAATCTCGGCTCATGCACGAGCCACTCTCAACCGCACGCCTAGTAAGCTCACGGCGAATCGTGCAATTCCTTTTTAATCAAGCATTCCAAACCCTCCATGTGATGCAAATCCCGCTCTATTATCTCTTATTGGCCACAGGCCACCATGACAGTACAGATTTGGAACGTGAGGCATGTGGCATTCGTGCGCAACATTCCACAAGGCACGGCCATCAAGTCTCGACGCAGATAACACCCAGCGTAGCAGCCACTAATGACGAACCTGAGTGCTCTTCGTTTGGGAATAACGGAGGAAGCGAGCGCTTCAGCTTCCTCGGACCAAGACCACTCGACTCGGCACCCCGAAGACTACGAGTAGTGAAAAAGAATACTGATTCTGGACACTACTTCCCCTTTAACGCCCACCATAGCAGCCGCTTGTGACAAACCTGTGTGCTCTTGGATCCAGCGTGTCTGGGCTTGACAGTCAGCATGGTAGCGTCCGTATAGATAATCGACTCTCCGTCAGGGCTCCATGCTATGGCATACACAGGATTGCCTGCATGAACAATTCAGCAAGCATCATCACAGAACTCCATTTTCTAGACGTAATGAATAACATGTGAGAGGAGCTAACATCTACAGCAAGATAACCATGTTGCTTTTTGGTGATAGCTTGGTGATTGGATCATGAAAGGCAGGAATAGTGAGATGGTTTAAGACCATGATTCTCAGCCTGGCACAAGGGAAACCTGGATGCAGCGAATGAGATTTTTGGTCTTTGACCACTTTAATGGATGAGTTCGGTTGTGCACAAATACAGTTAGACAGACAAAAGAAAGACAAACAGACAGATAGAAAGAAAGAAAGGTACAAGATTGCCACACAAACGTGCCCACGTACACAAAACGAGAGAGTGGTAGAGAGGGGCAGCCAGATGCCGCAGCAAAAATACCAGCGCAGCGTGTCAACATACCACTTTGAACTAGCGTGTTGCGGTACATGCCAGCTCGTGACCAAATCTTTACTTGTCCATCCTCACCAGCTGCAAAGCACGAATAGAGCAAAGAGAACAAGAGCACAATTGAATGGAAAACACTGACTAAAAAATCCAATATACACACCCCACTGTGATTGGTAATATAGAGACTCGGATGGAGAGCCAAGGATTAATTTATGAGAAAGAAAAAGGAACAAGGAGCTAAAAGTTACGCTACAATGTCAACTAACTACTAAACAATCAGCTCATGAGATAACATTGCACAACACTGACCGACGGCACTGACGTTCTACAACCAACTGGCTAACAGCTCTAGCACATCTTGGATGCGCACTCCAACAGCCTTCCAACTTGGAAGGTTCTAAGTTATAGAAATAACATAAGGAGGGAAGGTGCTCCTTGGTCCTTTTTCTTTCTTCTAACTGGTACTGTTTGTTTTTGTAACATGGAAATTGTGGGCACAAGTTATGAGATCGAGTCCACCAACTAAAACCAGATTTTGAACAGTCAGACGTGCACAATCTAGCACAAAAATAACAAGGAGTACTGAGACATTCCACAGCATGAAATTCAGCTTGAGGACTGCTCGATAGCGCTAACCAACGGCCTTCCGACTTGAAAGGTTCATAGATATTAGTGCTAATTCCAAAGAGGGGAAGTTTTTTTTACTAAGTACACAACCTACTCGTCAGAAGGGGAGAAGACGACAGAATATAGAAGAACAAAACAGCAGGGAGAGTAGGGGCTGCGACGCAAAGCCTGTGCTGGTGAGGCAAGGCCACAACATCGACCTATGGTCTCTTTAGGCGATTACATTATTAGTTGAGTTGCTTTGGCGAAGTCGCGGGTTAGCGGCCAGTGCTGCACTTGCATTAGCAATTCACGCTGCAGAAGTAGCGCCCATTAGAAAACTCCCTGACTCGCGATGTACTGTAAGAGTTGAATCTCTAACGGGGCACAAAGTCTGGCACAAAGTCTAACACTTTAACGAGGAAGAATAATAGTATTCCTTCTCGCCTCTGTACTAGAGGAATAGAAGCCAGGTGTGTGCTGGCAGGGTCGTTAAACGTGTGCCCGCCAAGTGGGACATTTTTTGCAAATCGCTAGACTTAAGATTCGTCACACTTTCAATTCTTACAGTATAGTGAAGATCCATAAGACTACACTGCAAGGAGATGTATATTATTTTGGTAGACTGTGTGAGAAATGCTGGCAGCTCTGGTATAGCTGTCATAGGTTAGCCCGGAGTGCTACATATCACACCTGGACGGGCATTGCTGCACTTTGACTTCGTGCCTCTCAACACAAACAACTCAACTTATGATGTGATCGCATACTCTAAAGTGAGAAACTTTCGCTATTTCCGCAACCATCATATATTAAGAAAGGGTTTGCTCCCCACACCGGACCTCGCGCTATTCCGCCGACTTTAATTGACACTTGACTGACTCACGACTGCCATCCAGAGCACGAAAAGTCCATCGAACCTTCGACTCGGCAAACCTGCAAGAAAGCACCACTCCCTGCTCAATACACAGTGTTTCGGGGAATTCATCAGTTGAGCTTGAGTAGGCTGAGGAAGAGTGTGCCTGAAGAGCACCACTTATATAGTGATGTTTGTGCCTGGAGAGCACTATATAAGTGGTGCTCTTCAGGCACAATCTTCCTCAGCCTACTCAAGCTCAACTGATGAGGGGTGAATTCCCCGAAACACTGTGTATTGAGCAGGGAGTGGTGCTTTCTTGCAGGTTTGCCGAGTGGAAGGTTCGATGGACTTCTCGTGTGCTCTGGATGGCAGTCGTGAGTCAGTCAAGTGTCAATTAAAGTCGGCGGAATAGCGTGAGCTCCGGTGTGGGGAGCAAACCCTTTCTTACAAATCATCGCCAAAGTCGCAACCACTACTTCGTACCATCATACATTCACGAATATAAATCACCGCAAACTGTTGCTCTGTACATGGATTGTAGACTGCACAACAACCAATTGAAGAGTTAGAATCGCAAACATTTCTCGTCGTGAACTCGAGCGATTCTTGAAAGCGCAAAATTTGCACGCCACGATAGTTTATCTTTTTACATTAACCTGTTTCTTTGTGTGCTTGGCATTCCAAGTGCAATTCAGTGAGATACACACACACTCATACTCCTGCCCATCGCTGAAGCGATGATAACGAACAAGCTATGTCAGAAATAGCAATTCAACAGCTTGCAAGGCTGATGAATTGACCGCCACTAATTTTAGCCTGGTCTACAACACACAGCTGGTTGAAGTGGCTTTTTCTGGCCAGTGAATCCCACACACACTCACACAACCCCACACCCCCCCCCCCCCCATACACACAACACCCCCCCCCCCCCTCCCCCAACAATACCCCCCCCCCCCGCCCCCCCCCCACACACACACACAACACCCCCCCCCCCCCCTCCCCCAACACACACAAATACCCCCTCCCCCAACACACACACAAATCCCCCCCCCCCCCCACACACACACTCACACAAATACCCCCCCTCCCCCGACACACACAAATACCCCCCCCCCCCTCCCCCAACACACACAAATACCCCCCCCCCCCCACACACACACATACTCCAGCCGTTCATCCACTCCCTACCTGTAGCGAAAGCCGTGCCGTCAGCCACCCATCGTAGCGTGAGAACAGCACCTTGATGTGCTTCAATAGCTTTCTCCAATCGACCAGACCGAGACACTGAATAAACCTTGCCTGCAATTCAAACAAACACGAAAAATCATAACAGCACCGGAGCACCCCTTTACGAACACCGCTTTCAAAAAACGAATGTCATTCACATCGAGTCTAGTTCGATGTACTGACCTAGTAAGAAATGCTTGAAAGCCATTTTTAAGTGTCCAGCATCACCTACGATTACCGTCACCGCAGGCAATGGTGAGTGTGTTATGCTATACTGACTTTAAATAACCGACGAGGAGACAACAGTCGTAAAATAACAATGAAAAATATCAATTGTGCACTCATAACCATGTATAAACAATTAAAATGAAACAATTCCAGAACGTTTTCGTGTGACCATCATCAGTGGAACATCGTCACATAGTAAGAATCACTAAAACAACCAGTTATATAGCTAGAGTAATATGAAAAGAAGCACTCATAGCTGCCACATTCATCTACTGCTACCATTCTCAGATACACTGCAAAGGTTCACACTACACGCGCTATGCATAACCGCTAGCTGTGCTGCATTCTCACCCTTCTTTTCATATTACTCTAGCTATATAACTGGTTGTTTTGGTGATTCTTACTATGTGACGATGTTCCACTGATGATGGTCACACGAAAACGTTCTGGAATTGTTTCATTTTAATTGTTTATACATGGTTATGAGTGCACAATTGATATTTTTCATTGCTATTTTATACTGACTTTGTTAACGCCAAACATGAGCTGCAGGTGGGAAAGCATGCGGAACATGAACCGTGTCAGCACATGCACGGCACCGCCCAGCCAGCATGACCTACCAACACAGCACGAAATGACGAGTGTGTTACGCTATACTGACATACGCGGCACCACCCAGCCACCATCCCCTACCATCACTGCAGGCAATGACCAGTGTGTCGGGTCCTCCTCCGCGTCGACCACCCGAGCCGCTCGTAGGCTGTTGCTTCATGCACGTCGGTAGCGCCTTGTCGGGTAACGTGAATAACTGGGAAAAAAAAGAGAAAAAGGAGAAAATAACTATCCATCACGTTAATGTACACGTGTAGGGGCAGGGAGGAAAGGGAGGAAAGGGAAGATCCTCCGAGGAAAAGCTAGTTTGAGCGACGGAGTATACCTAATTGCCAGGAATGCGCGCGCGCGCGTGCACACACACTCACACACACACACACACACACACACACACACACACACACACACACACACACACACACACGCGCACGCATGAACTCGTCTTGCAGCTGCTCACTGCCAGAAACTGGTGACATTGTGGGTCTCCCCGTGAAGAAGGGAGAGAGATTCAGAAGAAATGTCCAAAGGGTCATCTTGTTACCTTGGTAGCAGTAGCGTCCTGTACATTGTTGTCTGGAATCGTCCACTTCAACACATTCTGGTCATCACTGTGAATGATCGAATACACACACACACACACACACACACACACACACACACACACACACACACACACACACAAACACACACACACACACATACGCACGCACGCACATACACACGCCTTTGTCTTCAAAATTCAGCACGGGTAGGTGCGCACACACACACACACACACACACACACACACACACACACACACCTCCACTGACCTGACACTGTAGAACTCGCTCTGAGACGCCCACACGGCACAACTGAGCGGCTCGGAATGTGCTTGGATCATCCACAGTCAAGGACAACACACTTGGCGGTGACAGCATCACATGAATGCCAGAATGCAAAGCTGTAATGAACTGCTGTAATCCATAAAACGTATTTTCCGGAGTATAGCCACCAGTAATTCACCCTAAAAAAAACCCGAGTCGGTGTGGCTTGTACCGGTACTACACGGTAAAATAAACAGTACTAAACGGGGTAGATGTCTGGTTGTGCCTTATACTTCAGTGCAGCTTATACTCCGGACAATACGGTGCACGTATTTGCAGGACCTATCTCTGGACTCACATGCGGGTCAGCATCTTCCACAAGGCCTGAAGGGTATTACATGTGTATTATGAGCAATCTACCAATTCACCAGCCACTGCTGCTGTGCTGTATCTCAACAATAAAGTGATGCCAGCAGTTGCACTAACGTTACTGCTCCTGTCGTTCACATTGCCTGCTCGCTGTGCTGCTCACGTATAGAATACGTCCGGAGACGGAGAACAAGCTGCATTGCAAATCGCAGTATTCTACAGTGCTGCTCAATGAAATCCAGTCGCGTCGCTCACGTTTGGGACTCGCACCATTTCGCCACCCAGTGTTCGCATGTCTAGGGCTGCGCAACGCCCTGCCGGCGTGTAGTTGAGTGATGCGACTGGATTTCATTGAGCAACACTGTAGTTTCACGAAGTGCAGGCCTGCTCAGGCAACCTATGTCATGGATAATGTACATTTTTTTCAATTATTTTTCTTCTTCTCTGCATTGAGACAGCTCTCATGCAAGAACATCTTCTTTGGTTGGAGTTTGCTTACAATAGACACCCTTAGCAAAAAACGTTATGTCGTAACGGTATTATCGTAAGGGGGAAAATACCGTGATTTGGGTTCGACCTTTAGCAAGATGCACGCTATTTTTGGTACGCTGTTGCCACGAGAATAGCTTTGATTTCGCGCGGTACAACCATTTTTGTCACCATATACGCGATACAAGGTGAAATGCGTACGGACTATGCAATATTTGGCCAAAACACGTACCGTTGGTCACAACGATAAATCAGCCCCCATAACGTTTATACGCTGCAGCTTCAACGCTATTTGGGTGATCAAGGTACGAGTACCGTAAAAAATTAGCGTTACCGTTGTTTGCTAAGGGTGTCTACTGAAGATCTCAAAAACTTATGATGTGGCTCACTATCTCCCCTTCAAATACTAGACAAATAGCTCCCTTCTCCTGATGAAATTGTTATAATTGTCGTGCACATCCCCTAGTGCAGACTAAATGCGACACCAGATATCTTCAATCAACCCTTTCGCCTAGGCTGTCCATTCATCGCTGTACTGAGCACTGAGGTTCATGGTGTATTGCTCAACTAATGACAACTATTCAATAATATTGTCAACAACGCACAACAGCTTTCAAAGCTCTAATGGGAGTTCAGAGGATATGGGCTCGCTCGTTCGGCGTGGAGATGATCAGCTTCATTGCGACACCACCACCGGCTGAGCACTGGAATAGAGCCGTGAACGGCGAGCTGCGTGACGGAGCACAAGCCGCTCCTGCGAACACAGTGCCGCTCGCACGCAACCGTCGATGCCACACCTCCCTTTCAAAGCAGGCATGTAGTGTGGCCACTCCAAACGCAAGCAGGGCAGCTCCAGAAATATCGAGCCGACTGTCCAAAGAGAATAATAATGAAGATAACCTGCAAATGCGGGGAGCAATGGGACTCTCACGACCGAATGATGTTTGTGTCAATCATATGCACAGAAAACAGAATAACCTGCTCTGTGTGACTGTTAGTGTTACACTTACAGCGTCCCTGCAAAAGAGTGAGAGTCACTCATTCAGACTGGTCTACGCTATAGCAACCGAGTCAAACAAATCATCGCGGTTTTTTGCTAGTTGCTAGCCTGTACTGCAGTGGACGGTCGGTATGCGTCCGTCCCTAGCCCTAGCCTAGGCGCTAGGCCTAGCCTAGCCTATCGCCTACACTACACTAGTCTACAGGCTACACCATGTACACTAGGAGTACAGAGTACACAGGTACACAAGGCCCCTGCCAGCCCTGGCGAGCTGCGCTTACGCGTAGATCTACGCTTGTTCTGTCTGCTGTCACCATGGGCACAGCGTCACAGATGAGCATCAGAATGTAGTGTTGAAACGAATAATCGAATAATCGAATAATTTAGAATATTCGTGGGGTGAACGAATAATCGAATAGTCGTAGGAATTATCAGAAATCGAAAAAAAAAAAAAAAAAAAAAACGATCTATACTCAGCGCTGACCCTGCTGATATTTGCACTGCGTAGATCTGCTCGTAGTATTTCTTCTCAATCTCCTCTCCTCCAAGTTTTAATCTCTTATCGGTATCTAGTAATACTTCTGTTCTTTCCATACGAGGGAAACATGGATGCAGTGAATGTGATTTTTGGTCTTTGACCACTTTCGACCAAGACCCTATGCAGAGCTGGATCAGGCGTTGCACACTGGGGGGGGGGGGGGATGTACTCTTGGCGGTACAGGTTAACCGGTTTTGCACCTCCACATAACAAAATCCGATAATCAGAAAAAAATAAAAAATACTTTTAAAAAAAAGTGCTGAAAAAGTGTTGAAAAATGCCATCATGCGTATGATAGAATATAGATTATTCGTTCGATGGAGGGCGAAATTATTCGATAGATTATTCGTTCGAAGAATCCGTGTTCGGTTTAAACACTATCAGAATGCGAGGGAAGTAACGCATAGTTCATGCTAGCTCGGCGGCTTCGGCTAGTGCCAGTCGAAGTCGTCATCATGCATGGTCAATCATTACAGACTCAGACTCATGCCATGGAGTCATGGGCCATCCAAGTGACCAGGTGACAGTGTTCCCAAGCCAAGGTCAAGGACACAGACGTCAAGGGAAGGTCACCATGGTCACCAATGATACCATGGTCGCCGGAAACCATGGAAACCCGATCTGGCCAGCACAGTCACAATGGTCACTGTACTCTGTAGTCTGTGTTTGCGACTTGCTCCTTTCTGCTAGCAAAAGTCCGTTATCATCAACTTATGTATTATGAGCAGAGAAAAGGCCTCTTTTACGGGCAAACAGAATACAATTGACAGTGGCATGGCGAATGATTAGAACACAACACCAAAAAATGAAAACAATTGTATGTGTAAACGGTACCATTAATTTTGGTAGAGGAAATAGCCAAGAGTCCCTAATCCCACACTGGAGCTCGCGCTATTCCGCCGACGACTTGACACTTGACTGACTCACGACTGCCATCCAGAGAACACGAGAAGTCCATCGAACCTTCGACTCGGCAAACCTGCAAGAAAACACCACTCCCTGCTCAATACACAGTGTTTCGGGGAATTCACCCCTCATCAGTTGAGCTTGAGTGGGCTGAGGAAGATTGTGCCTGAAGAGCACCACTTATATAGTGCTGTCCAGGCACAAACATCACCAGGGATACAAACTTACAGAGACACTCCGTTTCCAGCGCGACAAACACCTCGTGAATACCAGATAGCAGCGTGAGTCCGTGTCCAGTCTGTGTGCGTGCGTGTATCCACTCTCTCAGATGCAGCGCATTTGTAGCCCTGATGAGTGGGGCGTGATACGCTTCGCTCATACATCTGTACATGGCATGCACGCCACATCAATCTCCGGGACACATCCGCCGCTGCTGCTACTGCTCCTTTTTCTGCTCCTGGTTTTCTGAGCTGCACGTATACCGCATTGTCAACATTCAAGGCTACCGGCGTCCTATCTGTTAGAAGAGCACCAGCAATTTATCTGTTAGAACGGCACTCGCTCATACAGGTGGCAGAGCTGCGGACAGTGTTTCTCCAAGTGCCCAACAAATGCTTCCTGCGCTGCACTGGCCCCGTGATAGTGAGACAAGGTCATGTCCTGCAGCAGACACAAACGGACAGCAGGGGCGTCGCACACGGTGTGGTCACTACGGTATTGACCGTACCACTTTTTGCCCCGGATACCCCGTGAATCAACCAAATACACTGATCTGGCATCTAAAATTCCAAAATTTTCGGCTCAGCCACCACTCACTCCCCCACGATTCAATTGTACTTCAGATGGCTGACTGTACCACACTAAAATACCTTGCAACGCCCCTGGACAGGCAAGCAGTTATACGGGAAAATACATTGACCTTTGATAAATACCCACACTCATTAGTGACCACACCATCAACAGTATCAAATTCAAATAAATTTGCTTTGACTCAATAAATACCACTGTACTTTTCCATGCAGCACTGCACTTTTCCCTAGAAAGGAGTATTTATGAACAGTATTTATTGGCCTTAGTGGTATTTTATAAACAGTATTTATTGGCTTTTGGGCAAATAAATACTGTTTATAAAATACCACTAAAGCCAATAAATACTGTTTATAAAATACTCCTTTTTTAGGGAAAGCGAAGGTCAACATATGTATAATAAATGTAGTAGCCTCAGGATTTATTGCAATTACATACCAGTTATAAAAACCTCGGGGGACCTCGGTTTTTATACTGGTATGTAATTGCAATAAATCCTTCGGCTCTACATTTATTATATACATACATACACACACATACATGCATGTACGCCGCATGACACGATGGTGAGAGATCGAGGTATAGTGAAAAGGACACAGAAAAACAAATCGGGTCAGACAATTTTCAGAACGAGCCGACATAGAAACATGAAACCCCATAAGGAATGCGGCAACAACGGCAGCGAAAAGCACCTGCTAAACTTTCTCACCTGTTCAGCTGCTGTCTGCCGGTCAGCAAGCTGCACGTCCAGGGAGCATGGCCATGACTGTTGATACTGTGCGAATACATCGCGCACATCGTTCATCATACTGGCACGACTACTATACTCCCGTCTCCTGTGGGTGTGCATGATTCTGCAGAAGTTCGCCGTCGGGTCCAGTAGTGTCGACTGCAGCAAACAAAAGAAGAGCTCCAGAATCAGCAGTCCCTAATCATTGAGTTACGATTGCATCAACAATATCTGTTACACGTTAACTCAACCGACGAGATCATGCAAACTTTGTCAGAATCAACAGTCCCTAATCACTGAGTTGCTATTGTAGGGGCGTCGGAAGGTATTCGACATTGGTGCGGCCGCATGAGTAGGTGGGAGTCCGAGGGTCCCTTACCGGGAAAATGTTGGGGAATTGGGCCCAAATAGCCGATATTTTATTGCTTCAGAATTCACAAAGATGAAATTATTGGTGCGGCTTTGGCGGGACCTGCCGCACCGGTTCTGACGCCCCTGTAATGCATCGACATTACCTCCCTACTCATAAACCTAACCGGGATCGAAATGCGTTGCCAATGTGTAGGATGGCTGATGCATGTCATTCATACTTCCTCCGTATACAAAAACTTCGTGACTTTTTTTCAACGGTGTTTTTGAGTAAGAACCTGCTTAACGAACCGCGCCAAAGGCTGTCATCGACAACCCACATTCATGTTGAGGTAGGTTTGGTTGATCCCGAACAGATTCTCCACGGAAGCCATGCGTGTGAGGACGTTGCCGACAGGAACTCGCGAGTCAAATGAAAAAAACTAACACTTACTTACTCGAAACTGACACCGTGACGAAGTGGAGCTCGCGGCTGGAACATGGAGTCATGCAGCACTCGCTGCCATGAAACTGGCCAGGCTCGTACTTGCGGTGCGCGGCCCCATATGCAACGTGAGAACATAAATCGGTTCCGCACGCACGGCAGGATGAAACATCTCAGTCGTCGTGCAACCAGCGCTGACTCCAGATCAGAATGTCGACGACCTGGCTTTCTTCACCTCTCTCCAGTCAGACGTCTCCGTTGTCGTCTAGGAGAATCACAGGGACCTCCTCGAAGCCGTTGTAGAATGCTGGGAGGATTATCCTGCCGAGAAAATGCGAAGCGTGTGGATGTGCTTGAGCAACTCGTTTCACGGCATAATGGAGGTCGCGGGTTGGAACGACTGAATATAGTCGACACCGATTCGTACACAGCTCTGGAGATGAAGAGGACGTAGCCAAAGTCCCGCGTCGGATCATTACTGCAGCTGAAAAGAATCTGAACGAAATGCGAGCAGAAGCAGCGACTGTTGGCGATGCGGCGTCAGCGTCGTCAGGTGACAATGCCAGGAGCGACGAAGACTCTGAATAAACTCAATCTCATTTGTCTGAGTTGCCTTTTTCTTTGATATAGCTTGTAAAAAGGTTAGGCAATGCCACGAGTCAAACGGAACAATTCCAGAGCTGTGCGCAGCCTTCAAAAAAAGTCACGGAGTTTTTGTATACGGAGGAAGAAGTAGTCATTAATATGCACATGCGTATGCTGAACCTAGGTCGAAATGTTTAGGGGGGGGGGGGGGGGGTGGAGTGCACGTGCCCCGTACTCCATGCAAGCCAAGCACCTGTCCGCGATGTAGTATTGTCACGAGGAAAAGCTCAGTTCCCGATGCTGTGATAAAGTACTGTAGGGCGTCAACGATCGACCAGCCTTGGGTTTCCCCAAGCACAGCATACCAATGTGTACACGGTGACTTGACTGTGCATAGACTGTAATACATGAAAATAAGAATGGTCTAGGCTAGGAGGCTGATCCCCCCCCCCCCCCCCCCCCCTCTCCCAGTTCTTCGGTGACCTACGGTACTGGAGTAACTGATTATAGAATGGACATAATCATGGTCTAGAATGACACAAATCTGCTTAGTAATTTAAAGGGGAAGTTAAGGCAAAAATCAAAATTTCACCAGTTGTAGTCTTCGGGGTGCTGAGTCGAATGGTCGTGGTCCGAGGAAGCTGAGACGCTTCCTTCCTACTTTAATCCCAATCGAACTCGCGCACTTCCACCGAAACTGGGTGACTGCGCCCTACTAGATGGGGATTTGTATGCAAAATGTCACTAAAAGCGCCATTTCGTTCTTATAAAAGCACGGATGACCGCGATTGGCCCATATGTTGTAGTCTTTTGGACGCTGAGTCGATTGGTTTTGGTCCGAAAAGGCTGCGATGCAGCGTTCCTCCTTTATTCCCAATTGAAAATGGTTGAACAAGCGGTCACGTGCTCCTGCGTACACCAGTCACCTGGTCACCGTGCCTGCAGGGTACAACTTACTAGCCTGTTTGACCTTTTTTGGGTCCAGTCCTGTCACTCGAGCTGAACTTGAGTTGAACCTTGGTGTGAAAGTTGTCGCCTGCTGGCGTGGTGACCAGGTGATTTGGGCACCCAGGAGCAGTTGACCGCTTGTTCAACCATGTTCGATTGGGAATATAGGAGGAACGCTGCATCGCAGACTTTTCGGACCAAAACCAGTCGACTCAGCGTCCAAAAGAGTACAGCCTATGGGCCAATCGCGGTCATCCGTGCTTTTATAAGAACGAAATGGCGCTTTTAGTGACATTTTGCATACAAATACCCATCTAGTAGGGCGCAGTCACCCAGTTTCGGTGGAAGTGCGCGAGTTCGATTGGGATTCAAGTAGGAAGGGAGCGTCTCAGCTTTCTCGGACCAAGACCATTCGACACAGCACCCCGAAGACTACAACTGGTGAAATTTTGATTTTTGCCTTAACTTCCCCTTTAAAAGCGACAAACAACTCACCTGCAGGATGCTTTGGGAAGACGCACAGTGGGGCGTCATATCCAGCATCCAATCCCCTGGTTCGCTCGCAAAGATGCTCTGCACGGCTTCGTTTAGTGCCTGTGGGAAGGTAGATACACACGTGGAGAGTGCACCATTGTCATTGCGCAGTAGAGTCGCACGCCCAAGAACTTTGTTTCCAAGCTAGGGATTAGCCCGGGACATTCTTATCTTTCAGCAATCTGGCTGCGTTCTTATAGCACGTCCTTAGAAGCAATCCATTCTGAATTATATCTATCCCACAAGCTCCCAGAGAACCAACACCACCGTTCTTAACTTTAGGCGGTGGCGTTCTTAGTATTTCAGGCTGGACGTTCTCGGACTTCACGTTCTTTAGCGCGCGACTCTACTGTAAGGAATTGCAGGTGTGTGCCTGTGTACATTCACATGCACTGTGGATAACGCCACAACGCGCGCCGCTGTGAGCAGGGGACCAGTACACGTACTTGACACACCGCCTGAAAGCCTGTAGGCAGTACCCGGGCAGGTTGAGACCGAGCACCGGCCGTAACTAGAAATTATCCGTTGCTCACAAATCACAATATACATACTTCTATAAGAAATGAAAAAAGGACCAAGGAACTACAAGTTACGCTACAATGTCCTTTAACACCACCAGTCGGTCAGTGTCGTGCAATGTTATCGCGTGAGCCTGATCGTTTAGTAAGTGGTGGCATTAGTGGACATTCTGGCGTAACTTCTAGTTCCTTGGTCCTTTATATTTTTTATAACTTATCCTTGGCTCTCCCGGCATCCGAGTCCATACATACTTCTGCATGCAGCAAACATAATGTTATGCCAATCAATGGTTTTAGGGGCCATTTTTTGTTGAAAAGCCAATGTTTGTGACTCTAGATGAGCGAGTAAGGTGCCCAGTAGACGAATGTGCCCAGATTTAGGGGAGTTTTACTGAGCTTCCACACGCAAATGCCCATTGACATTGTTAAATAAAGATCATAATCATGGCAACGGTACAAACCTGCAAGTCATCGTTGAGGGTGGCATCCCCGGGTACTGTCTCTCCATAATCTCGTAATGAGTTGGTTGCTTTTGCTTTTGCCAACGTAGCTGCTGGTTTTGGCGTGTTCTTCTTTGCCTCTGGGGTTGCAAATTGCTTCTTTGGTTTGCTTGGTTTGGGTTTGGGTGTGTTTCTCTTTGCCTCAGACGATGTAGCCTGCTTCTTTGACTTGCATGGCTTAGCTTTGGGTGTTGCTGGTACTGTCGGCGTGGTAAACGGTGTTGGCGTACTCAGCGGCACTGACTGACTTGACTTCGCCTGGCGTACGGCCCTCTGCCCTGTCTGTGCCGTTTGCTTCCTCTTCTTGGAAGGCGCGATCTGATATGCAGTTGAGCTTTCATTGTTCAGTGACAGTTGCGATTGAGAGCCATGCAGTGATTCTTGAGCAGCTCCATGCGTTTCCACGGAGCTCGTCTGCCGCTCTTGCTCTGCTTGCCGACCTTCATAGTGAACGTAAACAAATTTCCACAGTAAAGCACCATTTACAGTGACTTCACATTCGTCATGTGACCATACACGACAGCCATGTTGGTCCCAGATCCAGTCAGCCCCTGCATCTACATCTATGGGTCACATGATGTCGGCCATGTTGGTTCCACTGTCAAATGACATGATCAATTTCTATACAAATTTAGTCACATGACTTGACGAAGATGTGAAACCCCTCCAGAAGAGCCTGGCATAGACACCTTGTCACCTACCCCCTCTCCCCCCCCCCCCCACACACACACGCACGCACGCACGCACGCCCACCCGCACCCACCCACCCACACAGTCACACACACACACACACACACACACACACACACACACACACACACACACACACACACACACACACACACACACACACACACACACACAATACACACTCTTTGACCTTGCACTGTCTACAACACAATCATACCACTCTTTCGCTTTTTGGGCTTGACAGTTATAGGAGATGATGGTTCCCAAGTCGTGTCCTTATCGCCTTCGTCAGGACTGCTGTCGCTAGGCAACACACCATTGTCGTCAGGACTGCTGTCGCTAGGCAACATGTCATTGTCCCCATGGCTACTGTCACTGGACGCCACGTCATTGTCGCTAGGGCTTCGGTCAGAGTAATTGTCGTCATCGGAACTGTCACTCAGTACAATGATACCGTTGTCGTGACTACTGTCACTCGGCCACGCATCACTGTCGTCAAGGCTGCTGTCACTCGTTGCATCATCAGTATCGTCGTCGTTATCATGTGAGGTCGTGTGCTGGAGAAGCACAAACAGGGGTGAAGGATTGTTATGTTTCTTAGCCAGCCACCATTAGGACAATGCATTTCCCTCTCACATCGAGTGCAACAGTTGAGTGGTATAAAGTGTGACTTGTCTAAGACGGTCAGCCATCTGAGGTACAATTTACTTACTGGGGTTAGGCTGGCTGTGCTGAACATTTTCCAAATACAGCCCAGATGATAGCTTTTGATTGATTCATGGGGGGAAAGAGTGGTGCAGCCAATACCATAGTGACGGTGACCGTAGTGTGTGCGACATCCCTACCACATGCACTGCTACCACCATGATGCGCCGCTATAAACAGAGACCAATACGAACGGGCTTGACACATAACCGCACACATCTATTTTTCATAAAAAAAAATATCCGGATAGACGAGGGAACCGGATAATCGAACACAGGTTATGTTGGATGCATCACGCATGCTGTAAATCTGCAACCAGCTATTTTCTTTCGGATGGCGAGGGATCCGGATATAAGAGGACCGGATAAACGAGGTCTGACTGTGTACCGTATTATCTCTATTACAAGCGCAGTCTCTTTTAGAAGCCCAGTCTCTATCATAAACGCACTCCAAGAGGGCTTCGAAGATATACAAGCGCAGTCTCCAATATAAGCGCAGGGCTTATAATGGAGAACTGTATGGATCATGTCCATGCATGTTTGACATCACAAAGTGTCACATACCCACATGCTGATTGCCGTGGTAAAAGTCCGTGATCCCCGAGATCTAAAATTCAGACTCATTCAGTGTACCAGGAAGCACAAAACTGCAGTCCCGGTACCTGCTGGGAAACTTTGTGCTACCGATACAATGCAAATAATAAGCAATGTACATATACCAGGGGTTGAAAAATTACAAGCCCAGCCTCTTGTAGAAGCCCAGTCTCTAATATAAGCCCGGGGTCCGGATGGGTTGAAAAAATATAAGCGCTGGGCTTATAATGGAGATAATACGGTATTCATACGCAAACGCGTGCCCGTTGACATTGTCAACGTCTAAATCACGATCAAGGAGGCACTGGCACAAACCTGCAAGTCATTGTTGAGGGTGGCATTCCCGGGTACTGTCTCTCCATAATCTCGTGACCAGTTGGTTGCTTTTGCTCTTGCCAACGTTGCTGCTGCTTTTGGTGTGTTTTCCGTTGCCTCTGGGGTTGCAAATTGCTTCTTTGGTTTGCTTGGTTTGGGTTTGGGTGTGTTACTCTTTGCCTCAGACGATGTAGCTTGCTTCTTTGACTTACATGGCTTTGCTTTGGGTGTCGCTGGTGTGGTAAACGCTGTTGGCGTACTTGGTGCTGTCTGTCTCGGCCTGGCTTTGGATGTCACTGGTGCTGTTAGTGTGGTGAACACAATTGGCGTACTCAGCGGTACTATCTGACTTGACTTCGCCCGGCATACGGCCCTCTGCTCTGTCTGTGCCGTTTGCTTCCTCTTCTCGGAAGGCGCGATCTGATATGCAGTTGAGCTTTCATTGTTCAGTGACAGTTGCGGTTGAGAGCCGTGCAGTGATTCTTGAGCAGCTCCATGCGTTTCCATGGAGCTCATCCGCCGCTCTTGCTCTGCTTGCCGACCTTCATAGTGAACGTAAACAAATTTCCACAGAAAAGCAGCATTTACAGAGACTTCACATTCGTCATATGACTATACACGACAGCCATGTTGGTCCCAGATCCCGTCAGCCCCTGCATCTACAGCTATGGGTCACATGATGTCGGCCATGTTGGTTCCACTGCCACATGACATGATCACTTTCTACACAAATTAATTAGTCACATGACATGACCAAGATGTGAAACCCCTCCATAAGAGTCACAACTGCTGTCGCTAGGCAACACACCATTGTCGCCATGGCTACCGTCACTTGACACCACGTCATTGTCGTTGCCGGGTGCAGCGTAATTGTCGTCATGGCAACTGTCACTCAGCACAAAGGCATCGTTGTCATGACTACTGTCACTCAGCAACACATCACTGTCGTCAAGGCTGCTGTCACTCGTTACATCGTCAGTATCGTCATCATCATCATCAGGTGATGTCACACTCTGGAGAAACACAAAGAGGGGTGAAGCATTGTTATGTTTCTTAGCCTGCCACCTGTACTAGTACTACCAAGAGTACAGAACCCCCCAGAGTGTGCAACGCCTGATCCAGCTCTGCATAGGGTCTTGGTCGAGCGGAATCGGATCTTTGCGTCATAATACCGTACACATCTGAGGGGAACCCGGGGAGTCGCGGGTACTCTTGGATCAAAAACAATGGTGCCCTGCCTCGAGACCGGCCTTGCGCTGGTGTGGAGTGTACGCATGACATCAGAAGATCCGATTCCGCTCGACCAAGACCCTATGCAGAGCTGGATCGGCGTTGCACACTCTGGGGGGTTATGTACTCTTGGTAAAACCTGTCAAGGCGACCACTCGAATAAGGCGACCACCTGTCCTAGAAGACCACTGAAACTAGGATCAAGGAATGCCATCTCCAGTCAAATGACCCTGGATAAGGAGACCACCTGGTAATGGAGACCACGTTTTGACGGTCCCTTGACTGCTTGAGCTGTCGTCTTAGACAGGTTTCACTGTAATTCAAGATACATAAATGCATTGAGTGCAACAGTTCAATACCAAGTTAAACCTGTGTAATTTAAGCGGGGTTGACAGAAGCTTTTTTTGCGATGCGATGGGCGATGCGACGCGATCTGCGACGGAGGCGTGCGATGCGAACTCACGAAATACCATTCACAGAAGAAGTCAGCGATGCGACGACACCCTGCGGATTTGGCGCGAAGTTCAATGCAGGTGGGTATGTCACCATGGTATTCACGCGGTTTGGTACAACTTGTACAAATTTACAGGCAACTCTTGAACCTTTGTACAACTTTGCTGTAGAAAAGGTCAAAATCGTACGTCAGATCGTTTGTCGCATCGCAAAAGTTGAGCCAAGCTCAACTCCTGCAATGGCCCTGTTGCGGCAGTTGCGTGGGCTGCGAGATGGCTGCGATTCGGGGATGTCCCGGTTTCTCGGCCGTCGTATCGCGTGTCACATCGCAAAAATGCTTCTGTGAATCCCGCTTTACTCCAAGCCGACCACTTAAGGGACCTGCAAAACGTAGTCTTTGTTCCCAATCCCAGGTGACCCCCTATCCCGGGTCACTCGAATGGAAATAGCATCTCTGGATCCTGGTTGCAATGGTGTTCTGGGAGAGTTGGTCCCCTTATCCGAGTTGTCGCCTTGACAGGTTTTAGTGTATAAATGCCCTGATGAAGTTGGTTGTTCCCACTAGGAACACACGCTCCCTGCCGAACTTGACACTTGACTGACCAACGTCATCACTGGTACCGCCGAAGTCGCCACTTCTAAGTTCTAAAATGCCTTGGATGATTTATACTATGGGACCATAGCTCAGACGGCCTGCTTGGATATTGCTCATGACAAGCAAGGTTCCAGGTTAGAGTCCTGGCTGGGTTGGCACTTTTTCAGGTAGTTCATTTTCCTGACCGATCCATTGAATTGAGGAATTTACTAGTAGCAAGAGTACATAACGCCAAGAATGTGTAACTCCAGCTATGGAGTATGGGGTCTGAGATAGGCATAGCCCGATTTTGCTAGCAATTCTGCTAGCAAATTATCGAAGAATTTTGAAAGGGAATTTGCTGGCAAAATGGAGCAAAATATCGGTGTGTTCGCTAGAAGTTGGGAGATTTTACACTTATACGGTGTACGTGACTCATTTTCACACAGTTTTACCAACACGTGACTCGCTTTTTCTTTTTTTGCCAACACGTGACCCACTTTCGGTCAGTTTTCCCCTCACGTGACACAAATTTTGGAGCAAAAAGGGAGCAAAATATCGAGTGGCCTGGCAAAATGAAAGCAAAATATCGACAATCAGCCAGCAAAATTATGCGGCAAAATATCGAAGCTTCCCTGGCAAAATCGGGCTTTGCCTAGTCTGAGACGGCAGAACTTCACTTCACGTGGTGAGCTCGTACACATTATTTGCACTCTGTGCATGATTGATACAGGGTTGTACGCAACCCAGCTTTGGGTGCAACTCTCTTGTGATCACTTTGCACTGTTTGCCAGTGTAACCCTTTGAACCATGTCACGTCACGTGAGGTTCTGCCGCCGCAGCACAGCATTTGGGGGGGCGTTCGTTTTTGATCTACAGGTTTGGGTAGAAACTACTTCTTTCGGTAGAGGTGTTTGTTTTTTGAAAAAAATTCTACTCAAAAGGGTAGATTCTACTTTCCTCTACCGGCTCTACCGGGAAAAAGTTGGTAGAATCCGGTAGAAGTTGGAAGAGCTACGGAATTTCCAGCAAGATCAAGGATTTGTACACAACTCCATAAAAAAAAGAAACATTTCACGTATACATCGTGTAAACTACTAGATCTGGTTGCCAATTGTTGGTGCAGTACAAGTTTATCGGGTGTTAGCGGCCGTCGTGAGTTCCCTTCGGGAACGGATACGATAATTTCCTTTTTTTTTTTTTTACAAGTTTAGTGTTGAAAGCAGCATTTCAAGTGTTGTGATTATTGTGAGGTTTTGTGTGAAATTTGAATTTTCGGCTATCACATTTCGTTAATTTCTTACTTTTTAGACGGGGTCCATGGACTAGAACACAATAACTTTTTTAGAAAACTGCCATAAAGCAGTTTTTATTGCTATAATAGAGGTTGTGCAGGCAGTTGCACACTCTTGGGGGTTATGTACTGTAGAACGGGTAATTTTAGCGACGTGAAAACCCTAGCGAATTTAGCGATCGACTCATTTTCGCTCAAGTTTCAAGTCGCTAATCCGTTGAGATATTAGTAGTGCACTGGTGATCCGCGAGTAAAATCGCTGCATATCGCTAAAATAAAACGTCTCTAACCGGTTGACAATGGGAAAACGGCCAAAACGCTAAAATTAATAGTCGTTAAAATTACCCGCTCTACTCTTGCTAGTAGTAATACATACGAGGACCTCGTGTTTTACTTTTTAAACAGTCACGTGAAGTCGGATACTAATATCCATTGAATTTTGAGAACAAATAACGAAACAAATCTAAAACAGGATAGGATGTACTACGGTAAAAACCTGTCAAGGAAATAAGGTGACCAGCTGTCCTAGAGAACCACTACAACCAAGGGACAAAGGGATGTCATTCCTGTTCAGTGAACCTGGATAAGGAGACCACCTTTACATGGGGACCACGCTTGTCAGGTCCCTCCTTGACCAGTCGTCTTAGACAGGATAAGAGGTAACCGTTTAAGTTAGTTTTCAATTAATACCTCAGGATTGGAGAATTCAAACGAGCCTGACTCGTCCATATTTAGACATACACTCTCCGACGGTGACGCTGCCGGGGACTCTGTCGACGTCGGCGTGACGACGGACTCGCCCCTGAGGAGTGGACTGATACGATGCTGTCCGGACATGCCTCGTTTGGGACGACGGGCGTGTGTGGCTCTTGATAGTGCGATGGCCCTAGACAAATGGAAAGCCTGCACAAGCCGAAACATAATGCCAGCGATAGTCAGGAGCACAGCACCAACGGCGCAGAGATGCACATGAAAAAAACCCATCCAAATAGCAACCATAAGTCTCCAGGCCAGGGGACCGGTGAAATGTATTATTGTACCGTAGAATCCCCCGAATAAGCCCACCCGTGTATAAGCCCATGCTCGTGCATAAGCCCAGGCCAAGTTCGAACAGCACGAACCTTTGTTGTTCAAGCCCATGGGCCTAGGTCGTACCGTGTACGTTGTTTATCTAATATTCGGCAAGGGGACTTTTTCTTTTCCTTTTTTTACATTTCAACACAATCATCGTTGGTTGTTTTTGTTTGCACAGTGGTTTTCAGCAATGTACTTCTCACTTCCTTGATACTTTTCAATAGCACAATTGTGAACCTGATGAAGGCAATTTGCCGAACCGTTGGAATATTGTGAAATGAGTTGAGTTATTCCAGAGGTAGTGGAAGAGAGCATGTGAGCTCTACTCTTAACAATTTTGGTGTCTGCGTATAAGCCCGCTGAAATGTCTTTGTGAAACAGATAATCCGAGGGGCTTTTCCGCAGGATTCTACGGTATCTGGACTAGGGCTCACCTCCTGCTCTTCCGCTGCTGCTAAATTCTGTGGAGGTCGTGCTGTCTTGCACTTCATCTTTATTGCTTTCTTAGCTGCGTCCCCCGAAGCGCAACCATGACGATCATCTCCATTGTCATGACAATAATCAAGATCGGAGTCGCCGTCCTCAGCCGCCGAGTCAAAGCAGTACTCTTCGGTTGTGTAGCCATCACTCGTGTCAGCGCTTTCCGCATCCGAGATGAATGACTCGTGAACTAGGGCCGAGGCCTCGCGGTATTGTCGATTGAACAGCTGAAAGTACCACCGGAAGGAAGGTCCACAGACACATGCACAAACAGGGCATGCACATACATACGCATATGCAAGCACACACACACACACATACATGCACACGAGAATAGACCTGAACCACATTGAACTGGAGGAAGTGCTATCCATGCTGAAATTGAAAAGTCGAACAACTCCACGTAAAGAGTGGTGTGTGGGTTACAGCGAGGGCTGCGTACCGCCAGCATGTTTGGATTAACAGGAAGCGTGAGTTATGAAGTATGAAGAAAATGTTGAACGGTCTCTGCTGGGATGACGACTACACCAGTGGTTAGAGCATTGCTGGCTACAAGCGAAGGTCCCTGATTCGAGTCCTAGTGGTGACAGTCAATTCTTTTAAAGACTTTCTCGTTTGCAACTTTCCCTCAAACGAATGAAAAAAGTGAATTATTGGTACATTTCCGGTATCAACTGTCGCATGATCAATCATAGCATAACGGCCATACAAGACGTGAGGGTTGCCATAGCAGCCATGGAATTTTCACGTGGGCTCAATAGGTGGCGGTTTCCAGAAACGCCCGGACGAGGTGCACAACGAGAGAGCTTGGAAGCTCAGGGCCCTACGCTATGCTTTTTTGCCTTGATGACCTAGACAAAAAAAGCATAGGGATGTTATAAATTCTTTAAAAAATATCCTTTTTTTAAGACATAACCTGGGATTCGAACCCGCGCTATCGCGCGCCCTGCATGCATCCCCCGATACACTTCGCATACATACTAATTCTTCCAAGTTGCTTCACGTTATGATCTTGCATTTGAAAGCCCTATTTGAATATGCATTGTGGCCAGCCGTCTTTGATGGAACGGTACAGTACGGGATAGGTACGGGACAGGTATGATCGAGGGTAACACGACACCGTCTACCGCCTTGATGACGGCAAAAAAAGCATAGGGATGATATCAATTTTTCAATTCTCCTATCTTTTTTTTCAGGCATATCCTGTGATTCGAACCCGCACTATCGCCCTACATGCATTCCCCCATACACTTCGCATTCATACCCATTCTTCCAAGTTGCTTCACGTTATGATCTTGCGTTTGAAAGCCCTATTTGAATATTGCGGCCAGCTGTATGTGGCCAGCTGTGTTTGATGGTACGGTACGGGACAGATATGGGATAGCGCCAGGCGTGACACAAACAAACAAACAAACAAACACACAAATACCAAATTAAAGCTGTGTGGACCCTGGCTAGCGCCAGACGTTACTGAAGTAACATCTTCTGCATAGGTACGGGAATAAATATTTAATTATATACCGTATTTTTCAGAGTATAAGCCGCACTTGGAACACTGAAAATTCACCCAAAATAATGGGGGTGCGGCTTATACTCTGATGATCCATTGACGGTGATAAATAGGATAAACGTCTGTATTTCTTGGCAAAAATGGGGCGCGGGTTATACTCCAGTGTGGCTTATACTCCGGACAAACGTTACAGTACCTTGCATTCATAGCAAATGTCAAGTTTTGGCGCCCCCTCAGTCTTGCACGTGGTGTGCCAGCATCCGTTGCAATCAACACACACCAGCATGTTGTCGAGATCACCTTTCTGCTTGCACACCCGACACTTCTATAAACAGCCAGCAAAGAGAGGGAGTAGAAGACATTAATCAGTCAGGCTTTGGCTCGGTGATCCATTGCACTTGACGTGAGCGTGTGTGTGTGTGTGTGTGTGTGTGCGCGCGCGCGCGTGTGTGCGTGTGTGTACAATTGATGTGCGGGCATGTGTGTGTGTGTGTATGTTTGTATGTATGCATGTGTGAGTATGTAGGTATGTCTTCGTTTGCACTTGTGGAAAGCGCTATCGCCGTCGCCAGGACTTGACTCGCCACGCCCGATTCTGCTCGTGACTTGAACACTGTTTGTCCCTTCGGGACCTGCTATCATCTCCGGATGGGCATATTGTATTTGTATGTATGTATGTATGTATGTACTCAATCTGCGGACAGAACTGTTTCGTCCTTTGTGGACTCGTCAGCGCAGCACAGAGGAAATGAGGCCGAACCTGATAGCAATGGAAATAAAAAATTCCAATCAGGCCCGAACGTACCTTGCCAGAGTGCTCAAACTGACAAGTCAGTGAGCTTTGCATAACGCAAACAGGAATGTATGTGTGTATGTTTGTATGTATGTGTATATATGAGTGTATGTGTGTGTATGTGCATGCGTTTTTGTGTGAACGTGTGTGTGTGTGGCGCGCGTGCATGTATGTGCATGCATGCATGTATGCGTGCACGTGTGCATGCGCGTGCTTGTGTGCTGCACAATCCGAACCATTTACAATGATGCCTGATTTGCAAATTGCGTAATGCCATTCCTCACAGAATCCTACCACAGCCTTGATTGAGCTCCTCCAGTCAATACTCTCAGAGAGTAGCCTCCACAGCAGCAGAAGTTGACCATAGGACTCAGCCTTGGAGACGAAGAACTCCCACTCGCGAGGGTATCCCGGTGTGACGCTCGTTTTCTTGAGTCGGGCCATGTCAACGCGAAGAAGAGCGGTCTGTACTTCTGGATCACACAAGTACCCCATCAGGAATCTCTCCTTTATGGCTAGCTTGACGGTGAGAATGATGTCTTGCTGCCCCAGAGGACGGGGAAATCGGGAAAGTAAGACACGTGGACAAACAGATACATGTACACACGTACACACGCACACGACCACATTCATACGCGTGCACACACACACACACACACACACACACACACACACACACACGCGCGCGCGCGCGCGATCGCACGCACGCACGCACACACACACACACACACACACACACGCATACATACAGAACACAGGGATCAGTAGTTCGTAGGGAGATGTGCGATCGGGAGATTATCGTGTGCTACTAATCTTTGCCATCCTGCTTATTGGAATTCGGAGTTGTTGAATATCTCCTCAAAACCCTATGCATTCACAGTTTTACTTTCTGCTTATTCAGAGCTTCTGATCGCTTGGAAAATAAAATTGAAAAGATAAAATTGCAACAATTCAGGAAACGGTTTTTCACCCACTACCAACAGAAATATTTCAATCACGTAGCTTGGGTGACTTAGCCGGTTGGAGAGGCACAAGAAGCGTTCAGTGCATGCGTCTAACCGCACACATGCATGCACATGCACATGTGTATGTACTGCACACACATACACATACACACATACATGTGCGCACTGCGCATACACATACATACACATACACACACACACATACACACACACACATACATGCACATACACGCATACACATACACACATACACACACACACACATGCATGTGCGCATTGCACACATATGCACACGTGTGTGTGTGTGCGTGTCCACGCGCAGGCTCGCATGCCATTAACTCTCCTTTTAAAGAACCTACCCATTCTGGAATGCTCTTCGCCGTTGCGGCAGCTTCTTTCAACCGTCCGGCATCGTCACCAGACTTACACAGCCAGCTGTCTTCCAGTCGCTGGCACAGCGACGCGACATTCTGCAAATTGAGGACAGGCGGCCATGTGAGCATCGATATAAACCAGAAACTAAGCGATTAAAGAAAAAGATATGCTTTGCGTTCTTCACCCTCTCCAAATACACATTCGCTTTCAGTGAAGAATATTATTATGCTTTTTTGCCATCCAAAATCCATGAAAAGACTTCATTATAATCCAGTCTACCAATGACTGACATTTTCGCAAATTTTAAAACCCTTTTCATCCCAAAGTTGCTGCGACAAGAATGCCACCGACCCGTACCCACAGCCGTAATGGAAATGTTGCAACGTTCGTTTCTGTTGGACTCACAGTTCAGGCAACATCACAAAAACCATTCACGGGCCTACACAATAATAATTGCTAAGGGATATGACACATCATCCGATGCTGTCATTCACTGCAGGTGAGCGCCATGCAAAGCAAGAAAATGTCCACATTCCACATTCCCCATTCCAATGCGAGCGCCTGCCTGAAAGACGCCCAGTGGACGGAGAAAACTGGGCACACCAGGACCGGATAAGAGATCGCGACTTTGAGAGGCTCTACTGTACTAACTATGATGTCACTATGATGTCATCATTATGCCATCGGGAAAGGGTTCTGTCAAGGGCCTCTTTAGTTCTCGCAAATTTCTAAATAAGACTCGGATGGAGAGCAAGGATTAAATTTAATGGAAAGGACCACGATTCCTGAGTGTTGTACGAAAACTTGTTGGAATCCTAATGTTTCGCTACACTATTTCTTCCTATTTTCATCGCTGTATTGCACATTGTCTCCACAGTTTTACATTGCATGAATAAAGTATACACAAATGTCGATCTAGCTTGTCTTATTGATTGCGGTTACCAAAATGTTCTTGCTTATAACTGTTAGTGTTGGACACAAGCTACGGATAACATGTAACATTTTAGTCCTTTCCATTAAAAATACTTTCCAAATGTAATTGAAAAACTGTATGCTCACCGTCTTCAATGTGGCTCTCAGCTGGTCCCGCTTCATGTCAGTATGCAGTGCAGCTATACGTCGTGTACGCGCAGCTGTACGTATATGTGCTGCAGCTTGATCAGGCAGGATGAAACCGTCCACTTACAAGAGCCGCTGTACAGGCCCTACTAGAGTAGAGTAGTATCACACACACACACACACACACACACACACACACACACACACACACACACACACACACACACACACACACGCACGCACACACACACACACACACACACACACACACACGCGCGCACACACGCACACACACACACATGCATACGGCAAACGCTTGCGATTGGAGTCAATTGGATGATTGACTCGACTCTCCAGTTTCGTATTTCGCGCCCACTTACTTTCGTGATTTCACACCCATCACGAAAATCACGAACATTTCAGAATCAGACAGGTTTCTGGGTTTGCAGCACTTAGCAAATAATTATGCTGACTTCATTCCAATGGAAGAATCAATATGGGTATGTGTGGGCAGCAAACGTGAAGCATACGAAGATGGTGGAATAATTCACTGGCCAAGCTAGGCAAGAGGTTAAAACAACCAGTGACAACTAATCACTTACCGCCGCTATGCCGAGCTTCGCAAAGTCACTGGGATGACCAGATTGACAATTCTTTAGTGATTATAGAATAGTGGGATGACGCCAAGGCTGGTCGAGTTGCTTATCAAGATTTTCACACTGTTTGATAAGGGGTTTGTCCTGTCACCGAATCACCGCCGGTGTACCACCAAATGATTCCTAAAGAACAACAAGTAAGTTAGTTCCCAACAAACAACCAGTTGAACAGTATATCGAAGTGTAAATGAACTTAGTTGTGTGGACTAGTCTTCTGCAATCAAATAACTCAGCTTCCTGTGGAGGACTAGGTCGAACGTGAACTGTGGAGTAGTGTCTCTGGTGGAGCATTGATAGCCTGTCAGGTTTGAATCCGACAAGCGACAACGGTCTCAGCGTCTCCTGATCCTGGACGTTCCAAGCTCAAGTCAAGTCGAGCTGTCGTCCGGAATCGCCCTAAAAACTCGAACTGCAAGCCAAGCATGCGAGTGCGTGTAGACTCTACGCAACGCGATAACGAATGCGCTGTCGACATGTCATGTCTTGTGTTTCTTGACTTGTTCTCGGTCACCTGTCACAAGGTACAGCCTACTACTACTACTACTACTAGTACTACAGTCTACAGCAATACAAGCCATTCATCCGCGAACGAACTTACTTACCTGCAACGGCGCTGCTGAGACTGAGAGCTGTACAAACAGGTTTTCGTCGCCATTTTTGAATCTTCTTGCTGAAAGGCTCTTCTGAGAGAGTGCCCACTAGTGCCACTACACTCCCGGTTGCTTGCTACAATGCTGTCCGCTGGGCGCGTCGGACATGCAGTGACCAGGGCTGACGCGATATCCCCACGCTGAGCCTGTGGTCGGCTGACAGGATTTTGTCCAGTCGATAAAACCGCCGAATGTTGAGCCGCACTGATTTCTTCATCTCTGCCATTGAGAATGACCATATGAAACCAAGCATCAGCGGACTTGCTCTTTTTATCGTTTTGAAGTGCGAGGATGAAACTATCGAAACCAATGGCACGCGCTCCCAAGTCATGAACTCAATAGTTGCTAACATCGCAACTTTAAAAAAATTAATGAGAGTTCTTGTACATGTACATACAATGACGCCAAAACAAACAAAAAAGGAGCGGAAATTGCAGAAGTGCAGAGGCAGCAAACTCTTTACCCCTTCTGCGGCTGTGAACTACAATTTTACACCTAGTGCAAGTAGCCTATTGCACGCATCCTCCATCATTTCTCTGCGCGCAAAAGGGAATGCACATAACGGAACTGCCATACATGTAGATCTACTGTTTCTCTGAAATGAGTCTGAACTACAACTTCAGGGCTCACAGTAGGCATGCAGGATCGACAAAAGCGTCGTGCGAGGGCGGGTTTGGTGCACGTGAGTCGCGTGACCCCGGGAGAGTACCGATCGTGTACATCCCACGCATCCAAAACAGAACAGAAAAGAGAAAGAACCCGAGTTGTACTTGTACCATGTGTACTGTTCTCGTAGTTTTAGAGCCGATGTTCGCGATATTTTGGAGGAGAAGGCGAAACGCAACCTGTGCTAGTCCCAGTAAAAACAACATGCCATGTTCGACCAAGAGCTGATCCTACATTGAGCGACCGTGATGATTCCACAGGTAAGAAGACAAACAAACGAGTCAGAGCTCGCCAGGCAGGTAACGCCGAGAACATGATGATACCACACGGAGCTGGTGATCGGATGGAGGTGAACGGGACCAGCAAATCCACCGGGCGTTTGTCGAGGGCCACTGAAGACCAGGTTTCCCAGGGTGCTAGTTCCTCCATGATGGCGAACTGCGCTGCCACAAGAACTCCAGCGAGAATGAAAGCACAGCAACCAACGCCGAGGGCGAACTGAGGAGAGAACACTGAACAATCTGTGCACAATGATTTTCTCTTCGACGGCACGCGTTGCTGTTCTGCTGCATGCATGCGTTTTTCTTGTTGTTTGATCTTCACACATTTTCGCGCAAGCGGTTGCGCGCCGCTGGGACTCGGGGTTACTAAAATTAGTACAGAGCATCTCCCCCTTGGTCGATTTGGACAATCTATGGCTCAAAATTTTCAGGAGACCCTGGCAAAGAAATTTACCGAGACGTTTCTGGATATTCCTTTCGAATGCTGTACTATATCTCACGAAGTTTACGCATATGCTCTGGCATACCCGTGTGAGTAATGAAAATTTGTTTCGGTAAATCTTTTGGAACACCTGTCATCTGTGCCTGGGCCAAGTCTCAGCTTCGTAGAACCAGGCTGAAGTGCTGCTAACTCCTTCAAACACCCCCTACTTCGAGCAAAAATGCGACGAAATGCTGACTGCTGATTGGCCAAGCTGGCATTTTGGAGCACGTGCACCGCCCCCATCTAATCGACGCTTTTCTACGCAACTGTGAGCCCTGAACTTACTTGTAGGCCTAGGCTAGGCACCGGCGGATTATGCCGGCATAATTATTGGCATAATTTGATGGTTGAAAATTTGGAGCATAATTTGGCATCCTCTCGGAGGTAGGAGCATAACTACATGATTATACCACAGTTCTGGTGCATGTATGTGTGTACACTGCACCTGATCAGTGCTGGACCTGCTGGTGGTCTGCATGGCAACAACCACTGAACCAGGGAGTAGTACAATACCACCTGTAGACTGTAGTACTACTCCCTGCTTACAACGACTGTACAACTACAGTCAGTATCGCGTTGGTGTTTGATTTTGAGCATTTTATCACTATAACTAGTATAAGCGATATATTACTATGACCGATACTGCATGCAATGTATGCCAGTGGGGTGTCAAACGACTCAGCGCGCCGTGCACATACATGTACATGTACGCACTACATACATGTACAATGTCATGTAGCTGGCTGTAGCTCCTGACACACAAAATCAGCATTTCCTCATGATGGAGGCATATTTTGGCAACTTGTACGAGCAAAACTCACCAAACAACACTCACTGGACAAGTTCTTCACGAAGAAGTAACACCCTGTTCTCCTCTGACATCGCTTGATTTTACATCAATCACTATAAGCGATGCAAAAATAATGTAATAAAGGTCTTTTGAAATATGAATTTGATCACTATAGGCGATATATTACTATAGACGATTATTACTATACGCGATAACTGTGTATACTTAGTTATGGCAAATGAAAATGAATTTGAGAAATTGATCACTATATCCGGTATATTACTATAGCCGCCAACCTTATAGGCGATACAGACTGTACTTACACCAGTTACCAGGTTACTAAACTCTAATTTCGCCGAGTCTACGGACCTTGTACCTGCGCTTGTTCTGTCTGCTGTCACCAGTCCATGGTCACAGCGTCACAGATAAGCGTCAAAACTCACGTCGGCTTCCGCTAGTGCCAGTCGAAGTCGTCATCATGGACATGATTATGACTGTCGCATGGTCATGGAGCCAAGGTTACAGACGTCAAGGGAAGGTCACCATGGTCGCGGGAAACCCGATCTGGCCAATACGGTCACCATGGTCACCATGGTCACTATGGTCTGTGTAGTTTTCTTTTCTGTGTAGCTGTGGTCTGTGTAGTGCGACTTGCTTTTTTTCTGCTAGCAAAAGTTGGTTTTGGTTTTTGGTTTTTTTCAGTTCGTTGCCTCAACACTAGACAAAGTACAAATATCAAAAGTCCGTTATGTCCTATGATGCCTATTATCACGAGTTCATGTACTTTTGCTATTATTCTCCTCCTCTTAATACACTGAATAAAATTGTATATCCACATTATGCGCCTACATGTTTGATTATGGTACGTGTGTGGCATCTTGCATTTGCTTGCCTTCCTGCCATTATTTCTTTTCTCACTCACGGACCATGTGAGTTTGGCACATTTTCCATCCAGGACTTTTTGCACCCACCAGACCTCAAACCTTCACAGATTCCTTCCTATGCTGCTGTATAAATACCACACTAGCTGTGCATCACTGTAATCAGTTGTCTGAAGATTGCTATATGGCATGAAACTTTAAGTTACGACAATCAAAACGCGTGGTTTTCTGTGACTCGTGTGTTACTGCTCTGCTTCCGCATTGAGCACTCTATCGAGCCGGAGGACTCAGCTCTCTGTAATTATGGTACGTGTATGTACTAATACATGTACTAGACGCAAGAGAATGCAGTGTTGATGAGCACCGAACACAGCCAACTAATTTGGTATGAGCAGGGAACGTCAACCAGCCATCTTGAATGTATTATTGTAAGGTGATGATAATGGTCTAAGACAAAATGAATTAGGCTTTTTAAACTAATGAAAAGCAGCATACTACACTCAACTCTCAAGGAGGACGCTCCGAAACAGTGTGACCAGTTCTGGCAACACACACGAAATTTCCTTCCGGTTGTGTTTCAACACCAGCAATATTTCCACACTTCCAGTTATTCAACACGCGCTGCATCAGCGCTGATGAAGATGGCTTACAGATGCGTTCATGGTGGGAAGCAGTCTTCTTCTTGGGTTGATGAAGGCAGACGAGTAAACACAAGCTCTGAATAATTGAATAGCAACATGTTCCAAGGTTGGTGGTTTCATCTGCAGCTTCCTCTGACGCCGAGTGTGGCGGACATCCACTATCACATCCTCGGTCAATGCTAGACTCCCACGATACGAAGGAAAGTCTTTCTTCATTGTGGCGCCATTGTCAATTTGTCAAGCAACGGGTATGCTAGACGATCTGCTCCTTCCCCCAGTATTGACTATTGGCCTGAGCTCGTACACTTTGACCAGCGAAATATCTGCTAGCTAGAAACTAATTGCTTCTTCGATCCGCCTCACTCACAGTTTTGCCAGCCTAAACTGCCCTGTAGGCCGGTACATGGCAGCAGTAACTGTTTTTGGTGGTGTTGATTTGGATTTCTCGGGTTACTGT